GGGGGGGATGATGACGATGACAACGACGATCAGGGAGATAACTACTTACTACCAGATGTGCTTTTCGTGGAACATGCTAGTCAGGTTGCTTCTCCAGTTGCTTCGTGACCATCGCGCACACTGTTTCAGGAATTTCGAGTTGTCCTCCAAAGTGGTCAAGATTTCAGCCTCGGGATGGTACTGCATGTAGGTCTCCCAACCGTGCGAAACCATCCAGCGTGTAATAAAGTTATCGTCGTCGGCGTTCAGCTGGTACTTTCCCCACCACCATTCTTCATTGGTGAATGCGTTGGTGAAACCTTCCTCCTGGATGATTTTAGTTCGGTAAGCGACTGTTCGTCCCGAGAGGCATGGGAGGCCTCCATCAATATGAGTCGTAGCGGCGCAATCAAAATTTCTGCGTTCGAGGTAAAGGGCCCCCAGGAAGCCCCAGATTCGCTGAGAAAAGGATGGGTCGAACGCACGGCGCAGGCGCTGACAGGTGCCAACGCCCCCGAACCTTTCGTCGGCCTCGAATGGAGCGAGAATCCACGGGAGCACGGTGCGTGGCCAACTCACATCATCGTCAGCAAAGACCGTGATAGCCGTTCTCACCTCAGGGATTGCCCGGGTCATCTGACGTCGTTTGTTGGGGTGGGTGACCGAGAATAGACGAATTCTTGACTTGGAAGCAGGCATTGCCTGCAGCATCCTCTCGGCCTTTTTCAGGTTGGCCTCGATGGTCACAAGAAGCAGCTCGTAGGGATGGGTCTCCAGAATTGTTCTAATGGTTTCGACCAACTCGTCGCCACAACCTTCCAGGCTCGGAATGATCACCGTCACATCTTTAGCTGTCAACTTGGGATTTTCTGGGATCGCAATAGGCTTGAAGGTCCAGAAAGAGAACAGGTTCACCACCAGACGGAAGTAACGGTAGAAGCTGCAGAGAGAAAACCACCAGAACATTAGCTTTGCACATGCTATGCTATGCAATCGCAACAGTAGAGATAAACAAGTACTAACAAGAGCGCTAGGAATGCCCTCATGAATGGGAAGGCCATGATGAGCGATTGATGTCTAAAACTGTTTTCTCTACTGTTTTCAGAGAATGCAATACTGGAAAATCGCGTGGTGAACTGGACACCTCCCAATGAAGTGAGAGGAAAAGCTACCAATCAATTGATTAGAGCCAGAGGATGGAAATGAGGGAGTCAGCAGAGAGGAAGGAAGAGTCAAGAAAGGATCTATTTCCTGGGCTGAGCGAAATTGAAGAGGAAGGAAGAAGAAGAAGAGGAGAAGGAGGAGGAGGAAGAAGAAGAGGAGGGAGGGGGAACAGAAAAGTGAGAGAAGGAGGGAGGGGAGTTTATAAAAATAGTATCTACTAGGTAGGTAGGTAGGCATTGACATGACTGAGAGCTTTCACTACTAGGAGGCAGGTACTACCTACAGGTTACCATTCACGGACGATACAGGTTCTAGACCACAACTAGATACCTACCTAAGGTACCTACTACTCCGTAGCGAACAGGCGAATGTGCATCCCAGCAGGGCCATTGGCGTCGTAGTGTTTTTATCATCGTCTGTCTCTTTCTTTTTCTTTTTTTTTTTTTACAGGCACATGTTCCAGGACCAATATGGTCGAGGCAAACCAAAAAGAGAAAAAAAAAAAAAGACCTGTTGGCCCCAGCTCCTTTGTCATTTTCAGTGTCATGCAGGTGGTGTATTTCTGCCTCGTGCGTCAAAGACCCTAGATCTAGATGGAGGATGTTGAAGGTGGAGAAGGATTGGCGGCGGCCTCTGCAGCTCTTGGGTGACATGGGTGGAGGACTCAGTGGGGAGCAATGGGCCATGGCCGCCGGGGTGGACCAGGGCCAAGGGTGGTCAGTGTGGCGCTACGGGTGGACGGACGACGTTTCCTGTAGTAGTAACTAGTAGGTACCTAGTTAGTAGTTACTAGTAGTGGCTACGTGCGTACACTGTCCGGACTACGGAGTCAGAGTCCACTGAGATAGTTAACAGTTACTAACTAACTACCTGGTATTAACCAAGTAGTATTAACTAGTGAACCACCTACTGTGTAACTACGGAGTACCTGGGTAAGAAACTACCGCTGACTTGCCAGGTTGGAAAGTACTAAAGTACATTTTCCGAGTCATGCTCCCCTTAGGTAACGTCGTTCTCTTTCGCCTCCCCCTTTTCAGCTCAGATGCTTCCCCCTCCCCTCCCCTCCCCTCCCCCCCCCGTGTTCAATATTATACGGGATTCCTAATCTTATCTTTAACTCGAGGAAAAACCGTGATACCGAGCCGCATTATTGGTGACCAGAGTATAGTAGTACACGCCGTCTTCGTCAGGAACAATTAGTAAATAGATAGTTAGTGCGAACGAACTGATATACGGAATAGTCTCCGAGAACAAGTGGAGATTCCAGGATGTGCAACTATACTATTTCACATGTACGTACAGTAGCGCGCCGTTCCTAGTACAATTATGGACTACGGAGACGTACGGAGTAGTCCCATCGGAGCCGTCCCGCAACCCCCTGTTGAAATGAGGTGACCAGGTCAAAGAAGTACCGGAGTAACTGTGGGTGACGGTGGAAACTTGAAAGACCGTCGTTGTACGTGGCTTTTTGAATTTACAAGCGTGGTCTTTTTATGCTGCGCGCTACCTTATGTAGTACTGCAATACGACGTTCATCTCAAGACGTCACCCGTTGTCTGTCCCAGAATCTTCAACATATCTGGTTCTATTGGTAGTCTCCTACTAAAAAGCTATTTCACAACAGTAGTTTCAACTCCTAGAGAGCTAATAAAACATCCCTCGGGCAGTTAGCGACAGCCACACTTAGTCCTGTGTGGAGAAGAACACTATCCGGGGTTAATTAAGCAAAGTCTAGGAATAGGGAATAGGGAGAGATACATTTCCGTCCCTACTCCTGGTAATCCCCATCCCCATCATCCTGACCAAGCTCAGACTGCGTATAGGCTGGGGGAATTAATTGAGGAATCAATCAAGTCATAGTAGTCCTGAAAAGATAACTTGTTAGGAAAGTATCGAGCAACTAGTCAACAGGTAGTTCATGCTCTGTACTGTCAACCATCGCATGGATGACTCGACTGCCCATCTAGAGAATCATTTTTCCGTGTCAGGTACTACGTACTGCGGGATTGTCTCATGCATACTTGTCGTTTCATGTAGCTTTTAGCCAATTCGGTTTAGCCTGGCGATCAATATTGAGTAAACAATCACGTTCGATCTAGAAAGCACTAGAAGTCTGATATATCATAATATTGATCCTCGGCTATGAGGATGCTGATGCTGGTGATTACTCAGCTACATGGTTGTCAAGGATCTGGAAAAGTCCATAGGCAGATCGTTATTATACGAAAGACGACTCCGAATACTCATTACAATGTAATTCAAAAGTTATGCTACACTCCGCCTGGTGGTATGGTGAGTGAGACATGCGTGCCATCAACTGACGCCGACGGTTCCTGTAAAGTCACGTGTTCCAGCGAGCGGAAGCGGAAGAGGAACTGCCGACTACACCTCGAAATGTTTTCCTAATTGGAGGAGCATCACCAAGTCGCCCAAGGCAGCACATTGACACAATGACAGGCGACTACGCCTGTGGACGGTGCATACAAGCGCTCAGCCATGGAATTCGAGCTCAGGGGCATCCAGCCTGGTCGCGAGTTTTGTCGAAACGGAGATCCAATTTTTCTGCCATTTACAACTCGAGCCCACGGCACAACAGTCGCCTGTTGTTGAAGAATGCTCAAAGTTCAATTCAACGGCTGTCTTTCTCCTCTACCGCGAATGTGTCGCATAAAGCTCGATCATTCTCCCAGAGCACGGTATCTGGACAACAGGCCCAGCCAGACGAGTCACGCGTGTTGCTGAAGCGTGACAACCTGTTCCATCCGTTCTCCAAATCGCCGTCCCCCGCGATCCGCAAGAGGGCTGCCTTCATTCAACAAAATGCGTTCTGCCCGCATCCGAGCCATCAGCAGACGCGTCTACCGGCAAATCACGACCCGGAGTCAACCCAGAGCCAGCAGACGCCTACCAACCCACCGGCCCATGCTCATTTCGAATGCCCCGACTGCGGAGTCCCCCTATACTGCTCCGAGGAGCATTGGGTCGATGATTTCGAAAGACATCTAGAGGTCTGTGAGACCATCAGGCAGATCAACGAAGACGACCACGATTTGCATTCTGGTCGGTTCTTCCCTGAATTCACCTATCCGGGTCCCCAGGACGACAATTTTGTCATCAACATGACAAACTGGGACACATTCCTGTATACCAGAGAATTCGAGGCCATCAATGACGATCGCAGCATGAGACAGGTCACTCGCATGCTCACCTACCCTCTCACCATTGGTAGTGTGTTGCATGAATTGAGCCCTTACAGCCTTCGCAAGGACAGATTGACTGTTGAAGGCCTGAAGAGCATCAGCGGTAGGATATCCGGAATCAGCCTGGAGCTAATCTTGAGGTTCATGCTAATTTTTCTTTCCCTCTCCAGCTCTCCGGTATACACTTCACCCACCCAAGACAGGCGAAGGAGTCGACATCAAAGGCTTGCGTCTGAAGGCCCCTCCCGTGCGCATCTTTGTTCTCGGGGCTCGCGCAGAGTCATCTCTGCCGCGCGATGTCTGGCTTCAGCTAACCCATATGTTCCCCCGTGCTATTTTCAACATTATCTTCATTGGCCCGGAAAGCATGGCCAACCGAGACAGCGAGTTCCCGCTCCCCGAACGGACACCTGGAAATCCCTTTGGCGGTATTGTCGAAGACCGCCTAGGCCCGTCGATGAAGATCACAACTTACGTGGATTATTTCCATACGATGTACAAGGCCCAGTACTTCCAGCCCTTTGACCCATACTTCGACTGCTTCATGCTGTTCCATCCGGGTCTTGGCCACCCAGCAAGCTCCCATGAATGGGAAGAAACGCTTCCCCAACTTCTGGAGACGAAAGTGCCGATTCTGTGCACAGGATACACGCAGTGGGACATGGAGAGAGACATCAAATGGGTCAACGAGAAGTGTGCCGGAGAATTCGACATGCTGCTCGAGCCGGGAGAGAACATCTTCAGGAGCTTGAGGTGGGATCTGAACGATCTCGATCCGCAGGATGTCTCGTGTGGAAACTGGGGTCTCTGGGGCTTTAGAGGAAAGAGGTATGTGATTTGTATTCCATTCTAGGCGCTGATAACTGAACTAACCCTGCAACCTATGATAGATATGAGGCCCTGCCTACGGATTCCTGAGTTGTACATACCCACCCCATAGTCCTTGTACCATACATAGTATCATCTTTCGTCACTTTGAATTGAACTACTCATTTCTTCTCATCTTCATCTATCTGGACAATCTGCCTAGTACTATATAGTAAATTGGCGTATAAGATGACAGCGAATCAAATATTTATCTCCGCTGTATTATATCTAGCTAGATGTAGACGCACAAGGAGTCATGCTCTCGTAATAAAAAGTGCGAGAGAACAGCATGAACTATGAAGGCTCTTTTAATTTGCTCTTGCAACCCGGTCTTATCCTCCGAAGAAGAAAATAACTCAACGACTCTGACGAGTCTTGCAAATCCAGCTCCAGTCAATCACAGTCACAAGACGTGACAATGTGGCAACTGTCCTTCGCGGGGAAGGGTCTGTGTGAGGTGTCTTGTATTCGTTCGCCCCCGAGTCCGTATGTATGGACGAGGAGCTACTTGAAGCCGTTGTGACGGAGACAGCTGTCTTGCAAAGTTGCGATGTATAGATTTTCACTATAGTCGATGACAATCTATATCCATACCCGTACACTTAGTCGTCAAGGTGTTCGGCGAGAAGACAATTCTTAAATTGTCAAGAAAAAAAAAACCATTTCAAGTTAGTGGCAGCAGTGATGCAGTTTGAGCACATTTCATATGTGTATCATTGTATAGGAAATGGCTCGCAGCAATATCCAGGAGAGTGGGTTAAAAAAGGTTGTTGTTGATGATCCGGAGGAAAAATTGCCCAGTGGGAAAAAGATCAATAGAAAAAACACATGATCACGTGATAATCCCCACCCGTTGACAGTTGACAGTCGTATACTCTACTCCGTAGTAACAGTTGACCCCTCTACTCCATACTCTGTAGAGGTTATCAGATAAAAGCAGGTGAGTCCACTGTCCAAATTTCTAAGTTTACTAGAATATGGCTTATCTTTTATTCAAGTCATACGACTTTGGAGGCATACACTACGTACCAGTTGACTGCTTGCTCAACCCACCGCCAGATAGTCTCATATCTCAGTTGAGTAGTTGGCTAGCTGGTTAGTTAGCCATCACATCTTATTAGTCAGCGAATTAGAGACCTAGATCTTTACTTCGAAATACCAATTATCCAATGCAATCTGCCCTATAGTTATCTGGAGATATGCCATGCGGCGGGGGAACCGGCCCTGCTACGTCATCACACCGCAGAATCCCTGCGAGCGTGGTAATTTATGGGCCCGCTGATGCTCTATAAATACGGGGTGGACTGCTCTGCGTGTCTGCATGTTATTATCATGGGCTACTCCGTAGCTATCGGTGCTCTGTATCTGTGCATTGTTTGTCAACACTTCTGCGATGTCAGGACCATCCAAGTTCCAGCACCTGCCTCGGGCTGCATTTGGGTCTTTGACTTGCCCATATGAGGTGAGCTGCAGTCCCCCTGAATTTATATTTATTCGATTAGAGTGGGTCGACTAAGCCATCTGCTGTGCGAGTATTAGGGTACGGAGCTGTTGCTCTCTTCGACGTACAACAAAGGATCTGCCTTTCCAGACGAAGAGCGGGATGAGTTCAAGCTATACGGCTTGCTACCACCGAATATCCAGACACTAGACGAACAAGTCCAGCGGGCCTATGAGCAATATAGTAGCCGTCATGACGAGTTGGCTAAGAACACCTTTATGGCAAGCATGAAGTCTCAGAATGAAGTTCTGTACTACAAGGTTTGGAACAACTGTATTGGAGAAATTATAGAAAAGCATCGACTGATTTGCATCACTAGCTCCTGCAAACACACTTGAAAGAGATGTTCAGTGTCATCTATACCCCTACTGAGGGGGATGCAATTCAGAACTACTCGCGCCTGTTCCGGAAACCAGAGGGCTGCTTCCTGAAGATCACTGACCAAGATCGGATCGACGAGTGCCTGGCTAATTTCGGCCAGGGCGAAAACGTCGATTACATAGTTGTCAGCGATGGAGAAGAGGTATTCATTGTTTGGTCCCTCGCAGGCATTGCGGCAAAACTGATTAGCTACTATGCAGATCTTGGGAATCGGTGACCAAGGCGTCGGAGCCATCTTGATATCAGTCGCCAAGTTGGTACTCACCACCTTGTGCGCGGGGATTCACCCTTCGAGACAGCTTCCTGTGGTTTTGGACTGTGGTACGAATGTAAGGGGTCAACATATCTAAATAATCATGGCTAACTCAGGTTTCATAGAACGAGAGGTTGCTAAATGATGAACTATATCTTGGTCTACGTCAGCCTCGAGTCCAGGGGAAAGAATACGATGAGTTCGTGGACAAATTTGTACAGGCTGCTAGGAAGCGATTCCCCAACGCATATATTCACTTGTAAGAGGCGAATCCTCTGTGCATCAGGTTGTCAATTACAAACAGCTCACGGAATGGTGCAGTGAAGACTTTGGTCTGCACAACGCGAAGCGGATCCTCGATAAATACCGGTCCCACATTGCGTGTTTCAATGACGATATTCAAGGGACGGGATGTGTGACGCTGTCTGCGGTCCTGGCCGGTCTTCACGTCAGTAAAGTGAAACTAGAGGACGTTCGAATTATCATCTTTGGATCTGGCTCTGCTGGTACCGGTATCGCAGATCAAATTGCAGATGCTATTTCCACCGAGATCAAGAAATCCAAGAAAGAAGCATCTAAGCAGATATGGTATCCTTCCTGCTTCCCGAATTGTCCGAATCAAGATTGCTGATATCAAAATAGGTGTCTCGATAAACCCGGCCTCTTGCTCAAGTCCCACGGCGACAAGCTTACCCCGGCCCAGATACCATTCGCAAGGGATGACGATGAGTGGCCGCAAGGAGAGAAGCTGGACTTGCTCTCTGTCGTCTCTAGAGTCAAGCCTCATGTTTTGATCGGCACGTCGACAAAACCTGGCGCTTTCACAGAGGAGATCATCAGGGAGATGGCAAAGCACGTTGACCGGCCCATTGTCCTTCCGTTGAGTAACCCAACGCGCCTGCACGAGGCTCGACCGAAGGATATCAACGAGTGGACTGAAGGTCGAGCATTGATAGCGACGGGCAGTCCATTCCCCCCGGTTGAATACAACGGGGTGACATATGAAATTGGTAGGAAATAACACAAGAGATTGTGTTTGCTCCCCTCCATCCCCATGATTGATTGGACCATGCTAACAGAATAGCGGAATGTAATAATTCCACCTGCTTCCCTGGTATCGGTCTTGGAGCGGTCCTGTCTCGGACACGTCTGCTGTCTGACAAGATGCTGGTTGCCGCTGTCAAGGCCCTGTCTGCGCAGTCGCCGGCGTTCAAGGATCCGAACAAGCCCCTCTTGCCCGACGTCGAGAATGTGCGTGAGATCAGCGTGGAGATTGCCAAAGCAGTCATCCAGTGTGCCGTGCAGGAGGGACTTGCGCAGCAGGAGGGAATACCTTCCGACGAGAAGGAGCTTGAGGAATGGATCCGGGTCCAGATGTGGGATCCTGTATATAGACCATTACAGAGATGACTGACTGACTCAGTCGACTGACTTGACTTGACTTGACTGTCTGATATGTTTTACATTATGGACTGCACAGTATGACTGCACATTATTAATAACCGTCATAGTTACTGCTATAATGTATCTGTAAAGAATAATTACAACTTACTCATAGGCTCATCAACTCTCACCACGACTTTCCCCCATGTCCCCCTACTCCCAAGCGCCTGGAGGGCCCTGCCGACGCTGTCCAAGCCGACGAAGCTCTCATCCTGGAAGGCGGTGCCCCTGAACCCCCCCCTCTCGACAAGGTCAAAGATCCCTTGCCAGACGTCAAGAACGGTCTTTGTCTCGAAGCGAGCATACTGACCCCAGTGCAGACCGACGATACTAACATTCTTAAGAAGCACCCGATTCAGCGCGACCTTCTCGATATCCCCCCCCGCAAAGCCAATAACAAGCAGACGCGCATTCCACGCGACACACTTGAGACTCGCCTCAATACACCCGACAGGGTCGTAGACGACATCCACGCCCGCGGCACCATTCCTCCCCCGATGGGCGCGACACAACTTCTTCACTTCCTCAGGCCACGCTTTCTCAGTATAGTCGAGGGTATAATCTGCGCCGAAGCTAGCTGCGATCTCTCGTTTGCGCGCCGTCCCCGCCGTGGCGATGACGGTTGCGCCCATCGCCTTCGCAATCTGCACGGCTGCCAGCCCGACACCCCCCGCCGCAGCGTGCACGAGCACCCAGTCGCCCTGCTTGAGGTGAGCGCGATGCACTAGCCCGGCGTACGCAGTGGGTGCTGTGATGAATAAACCCGCGGCGTCTTCATGACTCCATCCGCGAGGTAACGGGAGGAGAGATTCCTCGGGGCAAAGAACATGGGTGGCGAAGGACCCCTGCGAGGCTCCAAAGACAAGATCGCCTACTTTGAACTTGGTCGTCGTCGTCGTCGTTCCTGCTTTATTAGTAGTGTTACTAGTACTGGTTGCCCCGGGCGCTGTTGGCACGGCAAGCACCACGCCTGAAAACTCGGCCCCTGCAATCCACGGCAGAGGCGGCTGGTGCTGGTATTTGCCTTGGATCTGGAGTATGTCGAAGAAGTTGGTGCCGGCAGAGTGGATGCGGATCAGATATTTGTCGGGTGATGCTGTCGGGGTGGGCAGCTCCGTGACGGTGAGGTCAAGGGGGGACTTTCAAGTTGCTTGTCAGCCGTCTAGTTCATACCTAGGTAGACGCTTCATACCTTGACATATTCTTTGACTTGGATTGCCTTCATTGTATAAGATATATAAGATATAAGATATTATATAGTTGTTAGTTGGTTATTAGTTAGTTCTTAACTGCAGTGGTTGTTCAACTTTATAGTTGGTAGTCACTATATGGTCCACCCGAACCGAGGTTATCGGCTATCGTAATCATATGTAGCTAGTATCACGAACAGGTTCAAAAGTAGTAGTATGAATACATTGGGTATCATTATCTAATTACAAGACATATTATGATCGTTCGCATGAGCGGCCGTCAATCCTAGAATAGAAATACACCCGTGCGCCCCTAATCCAGTCAAATGCGTCAAGTCAGAAACAGAAAAATCTCGGGTATAGATAGTAAATCTCGTAGAGTGAGATATGGTAAGATGGAGCATCTTATTGATAAGGAGGATAAACCGGACACATCAGCTGCGGCGCGTTCCCGTATTGTTGCCCCATGACCATCTGACCAGGATATTCGGCCTTGGAGAGTCTCTTGTCTCCCGGAGCCGGTTTACGCTGTCTGCTGTGGCGGTCGACACGAGCATACGAGCCTGCGGCAGCCGGGTCGTGATGCACGTCCATGGCGCGCTTCCACGGCTTGACCTGCCCGAGCATCTCGGCCATGTCCTGCTGGAGAAGCGCGGCGTAAGATGTCGGCTGCGACGAGTACATTGGTGGACCGCCGGCGACAGGATCCTGGCCGGGCATCTGGTACGCTGCAGCGGGGATGGGTGGATTAAAGTAGGCCATGGACGGGGCCGGGGAAGGGGCCACGGCGGGAGCTGCTGCCGCGTCGAAGCTCCCGATATGATACCAGTTCGGGGCTGGTGCCTGCAACGAACCAGCATGACTGACACCCAGATCGAGCGAGTCGTGGCGCGCCGGCCAGGGCGCGGCCACGCCTGCAGCCGTCGGCAGCGACGAGGTGCTGGCGGTTGACAGGGACTGTGGGGGGGAGAGAGGGTACCCATGGTGGCCAGTGTAGGCCATGACGGCCTCTGGGGAGACCAGGGCGGGCTCGGAAGAATGGGCCGGTAAGTATGCGGAGCTGACGGGCATCTGCGGCAGGATGGGCGGACTGGTGGTGAGCGAATGCGAATGGCGCGTATTGCTTTCGTCCGGGGGGCTGAGCGACATCATGGCCGGACCCCAGCCGCCGGCGGTGGTGAATTCGGGCAGAGTCTCTGAATGATGATGCGAAGACGGCGCGGCGGGCTCCTGCTCGAGCCAGTCGACCTCCGCTGCGGGTATTATTGTCCCTGTCGACAGACCGGCTGTCTTGGGGCAGGCGGAGATCGCCTTGGTCAGGGGGGAGACGGGGGGCGAGTCTCGCGGCGGCGAGGCCGCTGCATCCGACTCGTCGCCGGCGGGGACGGCTTCAGTGGCGGGCTTCTTGCGGGTTTGGCGGGAGGGTTTGGTGACGCGCCATTTTTTTAAGCGACTGCGCAATTGCGTCTCACTGGAGAGTCAGACGTGGAAAAGAAAAATGAATTGGAATGAATCTTACCTCGGGTTGAAATCTGCGGAGCGAATCTGTTTGATGACCTGCTTGAGCGGCCATTCCTCGTCCTTGTAGAGGCGAGCGATTAACGCTCTCTTCTTCTCCCACACGTCGGCGGGGATGGTATTTGTTTTCATGGTATATATGTAGGGAATGAATGAGAGAGTATGTACAGAAGGATAAGATTAGAGATGTGAGAGAGTGTAGGCTTATGTGGTATAGTAGGGGTATCTTGCGTAGTGAATCGGTCGAGGAAGCAAACTGACGATTTCCGACCGGGAGGGGACGGGGCAGATATATAGATAGAAAGAAACGCAGGCAGGAGATAGGACGGACGGGCATCTGTCTGGACTAGCGAGTCGAACCTGCAGAGATGCTCTGCTCATTCTCCTCTCCTCTCAGCTCATGGGCCAGGCTCATCGAGGGGCCCACCGACCATTTGGATGAATAGTGAGCCATTATCCTGATCCACACGGTCCGCTAGTTGGGCTCCGTCGCCGGGGAGGTTCGCCCGTGCCAGGGGACGCCTTGTTTGCGAGCCGTGGTTTCGATGCGCCTCTGATGAATGGATGAGGGGTGGGAAGGAGGAGGAAGCATCCAGGATCAGGATTGTGATCAAAGAGCCTATGGAACTGTTTGATCGGGCGGGGGGAGAAGTGACGAAGGGGGTGTCAGTATCGATTCATATCCGCTCCTTCGGGTCTGGCTGGCAGTTCACAGTGCAAACCCCGGCTAGCGACTAGTGGCCCAACAGGTTGGAACTGCCCCTTGTTATAGATTAAATAGGTAGATGTAGAGTAGATTAATGTGTTAATCTCTCAAAATATCCAAGGAATATAGAATAATTGTAGACAGAGAGGAAGAAGATGAGAGATGTATTAAATGTATTAAACGGTATGGGCGTAGGGCGACCCTGTACTAGAGCTGATAATACTACCATACTTTGGACGGTACTGGGTCGGTATCCTCTCCGTACGATTCGCTTATTATAGTAGTACTCCGTACACCAAAACGATCAGCAGCCCTAACTGGATCTGCCGCGCCAATTGACAGATTTGACGTGTTTTGCCGTGTCTAGCGGAGCCTTGTAGGGCCTACTACGGAGTACATAATGGGATTGAGAAAGTACGGGGAATTCTGGACATGAGAGAATAAGAGAGGAGTAAGCCTTATGCTTCACTAATCCTTCATGCTGTCCTCCTTCAGTCAACAGTTGCAGTCTGAGCGTGATGCTGTATTAATACAGAGATGTATATAATACCTAACCATCATGAGACAATCCACTTCGGAGTACCTTAGGTAGTTAACTACCTAGTAGGTACCTTAGGTATGTAGTCCTGCTATTAAGATTGGTATGGGCTGGAAATATTACAGAGTACAGAATACCTACAAAATACAGAATACAGAATACACTTACGAGGTCATCTGCACAGTCTAACCCTCTTGGGACCCGTCGCCCTTCCTTTCTGGGATGTTTAAGCCCTAGATGATTAAGGTGCTATTTTGTCCAGTGGTTGACGAAGAGTATTGGTAGTTATACAAATAATAGTTTACTATATATCAATCTGAATGAATACAAAGTGACCCTCTCTTGGTGTCAATTGGCCGTATTATTCAGAGGACCCTCGGATAGTATCTAAGTAAGACAGGTGTGCTCCGTAAACGACTCCGCCTGCCATCCAGTTGACAGCCGGTGAAGTTGACAGGTGCCCTTTTCCCTTTATCCGCTTTGGGAGAACACTCCGCAGAGTGAGAGAACTACATATCTACCTCGGAGCCGAGATAAAGCCACCAGCCGACAAAGAACGCCTCATGTACTAACGAACTCCTCCGTACTACTGCTCCGTCTTTCAACGCTTTTGGCGGCTAACGAGAAGATACGACTATAAGGAGTAGACTACAGACTACAGACGCGAGCCAAGATGATCAGACCCGGACACGGTAAATGCGAGATGGACCTAGTAGGATCCCTAGCCACGCGCTACTACAGAACAGGCTAGTGCGATCAGTATTGCATACAGTCAGAATCAATACATACATAATACATACCTAAGGTAATACCTCATACATACTAGATATAGTACTACTACCTACTATGTCTATGCAATTGAGTTCTACTCCTCAATGGAGACTTCCAAATGCTACCACGGAAGTTAGAACTTACCTTGGACAGTTAGAAGATCTCCTGGACCCAGTAGTAAGTACCCTATCATACCCCTTGCCACAGCATCCACTCACTGCCACACCCAGATCAACGTGACTAGACAAAGTTTCTTGGTAAGTTAAAAAAGGTTAGCCTTCAGGTCTTTGATCCAAACCCCGAGGACTAGTAGGAGTTACTAGTGCAAGGTACTACCACTACTACTAACTATTCGGTACAGTTTCCGATTGCAAAAGTACGTGGTTCTCATCTACTTGCCTAAAAGAGACATGTACACTACAGTAGTTAGTTACCAAGTAGTCAGTAGAAGTTACAAATTATCATCAGTAATTCTAACTTCTACTAAACTATCTATGAATATCTAGAAGATAATCAGAGATGAAACGTCTGTTTCATGCTATCAAACGGGATGATCACCTCCTACTCTACTCCTGGGATCTCGAGTCGGTGAGCTTCCGAGGACGACTCCTAGTTTTGCCCCCGTGATCTGTGGGGAAGGGGGCGCGGTTAAGGCCTGAGGCATGTGGATGTGGTAGTAATATCCGCCTAGAACTATGGTTCAAGTAGGTCCTGGTAGTAGGTACCAGTATAGCAAGGTACCCAACCATACAATGTATAGAATGTTCACTGTTCATACTGGCTAATTTCATGGTCTCTGTTAACTAGGAATTCTCATTGTACTAGGAGTGACTAAACTAGTGAGGTGATAGTTACTCATAATCAGAACCATGGTTCCCATCTGGTCCCTGTGCCAGGCGAGGACGTTACGAGATCTAGCGTCTGTCCTTTGTAGATCCTGAGGAGATCATGCGGAGACTCACGCAAATGGCGTTCGGCAGATGGGTCGGCTAGCTATCTCCTCGGTGAGAGGAATACTACTTTACTAGGTATACCTTACCCAGTGATGGATGTGGCGATGGAAACGGTGGTACCAATTACCTCAGTCGTTGACCGGATTCTCTAGGTAAACCCGAGAATAGGTTGGGTCGAAGTCTCCTACTTGGAGTACACTCACTCCACTACTGACCGATGACCGACTGATGATTGACGGTGAATCAGAAGATCACCCGAAGTGTCTGGAGAATGCCAAATGCCAAGGTCATGACTGGTGATCCTTGCCAAGAGCACGAGTCTGGCAGCGACATGAAACGGTCTGTAGGTACTCTGTACTCTGTACTCTGTCCAGTACTATTACTATTTTGGACACTGATAAGTGATACTGATAACGTAGTGATATCATCAATGATAAATGTCTACATAGTATAAGACTGTAGTAGTTAGTACACAAGATATTAGTCGGTACCTGACTCTGTAGGGACTGACAGGGATATCGGTAAACCCCCAGAGCGAGCACGAGTCATACCAGACACGGCAGTGAACCAAGAACCAACCCGGCCATAAGGAAGCGCATGAACGTAGGTTTACCTGCGGATAGCAGGGTTGGTACCTTGCCTAACAGAACCTTGAACCCTCAACTCGGGCCGAGAAGTCGTGGTTTGTTGGGAGTACTCAGGTATTCCGTAGGTGTTCCGTAGGTAGTTTGGGTACCTACCTAGTAGGTAGGTACTCTGTAGGTACTCCGCGGAGTACTCTGTAGGTACTCAGTACTCTGTACTCCGTACTCTGTAGGTACTCTAGTGAAAGTGTTTTGCTGCCTAAAATGCGGCGACCTTCCGCGACCAAAAACGGCTAGTCCATCGATCACTGGATACGCTATTCCATTCTAGGATACGAGGGCAGGTTTTGACCCATCCATCTGGAACATGCAGGTCTGTGCGAGCAGTTAGTAGTAGTAGATAACTACTACTTGATAGTAGTAGAGTAGTAATAATAGTAGTAGTAGTAGTAGTAGTAGTAGTAGTAGTAGTAGTAGGAGTAGGAGTGGGAGTAGATAGCCAAGACGACTACTACCTTCCTAGATGGGTAGATCTGAATATGAGTCCTGCTCTACCTATTAGCCAAACCTAAAGAACTCTGTAACTGACTAGATAGACTATTGTCTCTCTAGAGAAGAGGTCAGACTTGTACTGTCTCTGCGTCATTCATCTTCCTGACAACATCAACACATAGCTCTGCTTTACAGACTACATACTACATACTTCCTACATACACATACTACATATTCAAGCGTACTAATATCGAATGGTTCCATGGGTTTAAGTTCCGTGATTCAGGCATTGAACGCATCCACAAAAAACAGTTTTGTTTCTACTCCGTAACTGCCCTATGCTCCCCACGTGTGAGACCGAATCGTCGTGCAGCATGAGGGGGGGGAAAAGAAAAAAAAAAAAAAACAAAAAAAAAACAGGGCGTTGGAAACTCTAACGGTTCTCCAATGATCGCCTCCATGGGTCATGAAGTAACTCCCGAGAACTTGTCCCAGGTACGGACTACGGAGTCCATCGTAGGTAGATTCGGTAAAAACCTCGGTTCGGTACTTGTCTGAGAGTGCCAGATTTTCGCCTCTTCTGCTGTCCGGCTGTCTTCGATGGCAAGGGAAAGTCGTTGCTCATTCAATTCTCAAGGTACGGAGTACAATACTAGTTACTTCTACTCTACTCTACTAGCTAGTTACTACTCTATTATTTACTACTCTACTACTTGTTAGGTAGTTCAGTATGAGTAGAATACTAGTCTATCGATAGTAATAATAACATAATGGTAATAATAAAATAGAATAATAATGAAATAGTAATAATAGTAATAATAATAATAATAAGCTTGTATAATACATCATCGACGTCGCTTGCCGAGTCGGTGCTCATGGCCCCGTTTCGACTTCTTCTTGCTCTTGTCGGCCGGCAACACCAACGGCTCGTCCTTCATGTGCCACTCCATGAACCGCAGCAGGTACTCGTCGACGTGCCCCGGTTGTAAGTCTGCCTCGGCCGTCGCCTCGGGAGCGGCACCAGCCGTGCTCTCCGTCTCATCGGCGGGAACAGATGCTGTAGGCACCGGGGTACCCTCGTCGCCCGTGGTAAGCGGCGTGCCTGCCTGGCTGGGAGGCTCTGCTGCTGTTGCTGCCCCTGCTCCTGTCGCCGTGGTTGTTGTTGTTGTTGTTGTTGTTGTTCCCACCGGCCGTCCGACGCTGCGATCCTCAAAGTCGCCGTCATCCGCGTGGTCCAGCTCCTTCTGCGCGTTCTTCGCTGCGTCAATGTCCTCTTTATCCTCCGCCTGCTCAAAGCCTCGCGTGCTGCCTCCCGTCGATCCACGGTTATCTAGCACCCGGTCCATCGCCGCGCTGGCCTCATCCTGGTTCTCCGGCACCTCGCTGTCGATCATCTCGCGCACATCCAGTTTGTTGAAGTAGTCCGTCGTGAACTCGCCCTCTTGGATCACCACGTCATCCAGCATCCGCTTCTGGTTGGCTTTGCGGAGAATGTTCGACTCGATCGTATACTCGGATACAAACCGGTAGATGTGCACGTCGCGCGTTTGTCCGATCCGGTGACATCGGTCCTGACACTGCTTGTCCATCGCTGGATTCCAGTCCAGATCGTAGAAGATGACCGTGTCCGCACCCGTCAGGTTGATCCCCAACCCACCAGATCGACTCGACAGAATGAACGCCAGAATGCGGTTGTCGTTGTTAAACCGGTCTGTCAGGATCTGCCGTTGTTCCACCTTGGTAGTCCCATCCAGTCGCAGATAGCGGTGCCCGTGGATATTGAGGAACTGCTCCAGGATATCGAGCATCTTGGTCATTTGCGTGAAGATGAGCGCCCGATGGCCACCGGCCTTGAGATCCCGTAGCAGTTTGTCGAGCCGTTGCAGCTTGCCACAGTCATACTGTAGCAGGCGCTTGTCTGGAAATGCGATCGACAGACGCATCTGGGCTTCGTGGAACGGATCGTAGCGCCCAATTCTCTGCTGCGCGGGAATATGGCGGGTCTGGATAGGCGTCAGCGCGGCTTCGGTGACCCCGGCTGCGACAGCCGCCGGGGTGACACATGCGAACCGCTGCACATAGCCCTCCATCTCACGGGCCCGTTCTTCAATAGACAAAACCATCGAGGCGAGCACACTGGACTGGCTCATGAGCCAGTCTGCTGCGGACAGGTTGCGGACCCGATTATGAGATAGCGCCTGGTGCTTGTTGTCGGCAGTGAGGAACTCAATCAGACTGCTGCCATACACAGGGCGGCGACCATGACGTTTCGATTCAAAGTAGAGGCATTGCTCGAGTTCTTGCATGCGCCGTTTCCTGGCAGAATTCTCCATGGAATCAAGAGCCCACCGGATCGTGGAACCATTGAATCCCATGCGCCAGTTGGTGCGCTTGTACTGACATTCCCGGAGTGCTTGAAATGGCGCATACGCCATGATCCGTGTACTGTCGTCTGCCAGTCTGCGCGAGATATTCTCCCGCGAGATGGGCACGAGATTGAGGAAGTCCAGGTCAAGCTTGGTCAGAGGATGCTCGTACAACAGTCGTCGTCTCACGAGAAGATCCTTGATCTCGTATTCCGTGGTGACTGAGGTGGTCATAGCAAACGATGTCGAGATCTGTCGCGTCTCGAACAGATCGGGGTGGTTGCAGACCTTGCGTAGTTGCATCAGACAGTTAATGATAGATAGATAATTGCCTGAGGCTAACGTCTCCTTTGTCTGTGCGCGAGACATGAATCCATCATACAAATACCTCTGTCTTTTGGAAAGTCTGCAATAGACAACGTGCTCATATTTCGCTGGCATTTGCTTTTCAACGTCGGCCTTGAGGCGCCGTAGGATATAGGGCCGTAAGACAGTGTGGAGTTTGGTCACTACTCGCTTCGCCTCGTCATCCATCGTTTCTCTCCCATGTTCGAGAATCTGTTCCACGGGGCGACGGAACCATTCCGAGAAATTCCTTAGATCAGCAAAACCGTCGATACCTTCTCCGTCTCCGTCTGAAGGCATCAGAAAGAACAGAAGAGACCACAGTTCAGTCAGGTTGTTCTGAAGTGGAGTGCCAGTAAGAAGGAGCCTGGCTCGCGTCCGGAATGTAAGAAGCGCTTGCCATCTTTGCGAACGGAAATTCTTGATGTTATGAGCCTCATCCAGGACCATATAGTGCCAGTTTCTTCGCTTCAAGACTTGTTGGTCTTGAAGTACTAGCTGATAAGACGTGATCAAAACATTCCAGCTGTTATCGTCCATCCAGCCCTTGCGTTTCGCCCTGCGCTCATCCTGGTTACCATAGTAGGTCATGATCTTGAACCCAGGACACCATTTCTTGAACTCCATTTCCCAATTCAAGATGACACTGGTGGGAACAACGACCAAATGCGGACCCCAGACCTCATGCTCCACGGCCAAATGCGCAAGCAGAGCAATAGTCTGAATGGTTTTACCGAGGCCCATCTCATCAGCAAGAATGCCATTGATCTGATTGGTGTACAATCCAGCAAGCCAATCCAGGCCGAAGTGCTGGTACTCTCGCAACGTGCCACGAAGTAAATGAGGGATCTGTGTCTTCAAAGCAGGAGCAGGTGATTCGTTAATTTCAACAGGCTTCTCTGCCGAAGGTTCAAGTGAAGATATGGACTCTGGTTCTGAGGGTTTGGTGGCGAATGTGCCAGGGGATGCCGCGCTAGATTCTCTGCTTCTTCGTGATTGATGTAGGGTATGGCCATTGTCTGCAGAATGTGGCTCGCGATAGGACTCTTCAGGGGGGCCATCGGGATCAGAGGATGAAACACTTCTTGCCTCAGACGGCGAAGATTTTTTGATAGAGTCAGCGATGTTATTGTCAACAGCTGCCGGGATATCATCCGCGAAGTCTGTGGCACCACCGGTATCATCCTCTGAGACATCTAGAACCTGAATATCATTCGTAGGGGTAGGAGCAAATGTATCATCAGCAGACGCTGACTCGATATCAATATTTGCCATTCCATGGGTGGTAGGTCCATTCGGAACAAGGGAGACTTCATCTGGCTCCTCTTCTTCCTCGTCGTCCTCATCCGATGACAGAGACTTCCTATCACCAATACCAGCCACCATATCATCATCGGCATCACCGTCACCGTCAAATTCAGTCGTTACCAACTCTTTCGAAGAGAAGAACCCTAGCAAGCCAGGACCATCATCGCTAACGTCAGATTCATCGTCGTCGTCTTCATCTACTTCCTCATCCGCATCACTATCGCCCATATCATCATCCATATCGGTGGACTCTTCACTGTCGTCTAGGAGCATTGGATCAACCTCGTCTAGCATGATCTGATGTGAAGAGGTATCAAGCTCCGAATCGTCAACATCGCTGGCATGTCGCTCAGAGTCCAGAGCGACGCTATCTCGGGTAATCATAGTATTGCCGGATAAGATCGACGCTCGATCTGATTGATCTGCGGCCGAGGGAAGGTTGGCATATTTCATTCGCAACTGATCAGCTGTGAGGGCTGCATCGTCATCAATATTATCATCCTCTTCAGACTCCGAGTCTGTTGAAGACATGTTGCTTTCGTCTTCTTTCGGTGAGTCGGAATCGTCCGTTCCATCTTCATCATCATCATCATCCTCCTCGCTAGATTCAGCGTCATCATCTTCTGTTTCTCCGAGAATCTCCTTGCGCCTCTTCTCGAATAACATCGTTGATTTCTTGATCGCGCGGTCCAGCGCTTGCTGATCTTCCACCTTTCGCTCTTCCTCCCAACGCGCGAGACGGTTTCTATCAACTTCTGCGCGTACAAGATCGAACATCTTTTGGAGATCTTTGGCGAGTTGTTTGCGCCTTCCACGCATCTCTTCTTGCTGTTCTCTCAGAATATCCTCGGGGTCTTTGTGGCGCTTTCTCCAGGCATCGGCACACCATTGAGCAAATAGCTTTGCTGTATTTCGATGCCGTTTATGTTCCTGGTCAAGAAGTTTCTTGAAGTAAATTGCATGCGCTACAAGGTGATCCTGATGGGAATATTGTTGCGGCGGTTCTTCTTGCTGTTCAGGTAGGTACGCAGAGCAGACTTCTGGGCTTAGAAGACCACCAGGATTCACAGCATCCAATATTAGTTGCCTTTTCCGAGCTTCTTCTGCAGCTTCTTCGGCAGCAAATATTGTATCATCCTTCTGCAGCCTATCCTCACTCTCGAGCCATTCCCTGAAAGAGGTGTATTTTCGAGGAGCTAGAACATGGGCAGGGTGCTGGACGCTAAGAGAGGGTTTCTTGACCTTGAATCGCAATCTCGGCAGCTTCTGCGAACGCTCCTCTTCTCGCCCCTGTCCATCTCCCATATCGGGTGTCGCATCATTGTCGATCGAATAGATATCCAGAGAAGAGGGCGTAGGTGTCGAGGGGGTGAATCGCGAGACTTTGGGACTCGGGCCCGGGAGGTGATGATTGGAAACCGCTAAGCTTTGAGATCTTGTCCGAGTGTTAACCGACTGAGAGGCTGGTGAATGTGAAGCTTGATACCGTTTCCCAGCTGTCCCTCTTGAGCCAGAATTCCGGGGTGATCCGTTTGTTGTCACTTTGCCACCTAGAGCTCTCCCATTCATATCTGACAGTGAAGGTGCACTTGAGAGTGGCGATGACGCGGCCGGTCTGGTACCAGCCGAAAACCTCCTACTTGCGACATGTTTGTGAGCTGCTCGTGTGGGTTTCTTGTCGGACGATGGCTGTAAGTTGACAGGCAGAGTGTTGGTTCTGGATGATTTGCGCCTGCCATCCACGATAAACGAAGTTGGCCCCTCAACCCCAACCTTCTTCCAGGGAGGCGATGGAGGCCGCGGCGTCGAACGCCGCGAGTTTACAGAGTCCACTAGCTTCCGCTTCTTTGACGGAGGCCCTTCGGTATCTCCAGTTTCAACCTCATCATTGTTCGATTTGGAGGTCAGATCGGGCGGAGCATGTTTCGAAACGCCTTCGAGCGCATTCGTATCGCAAATGGCGGCATCGCGGTCTGGCGTCACGCGTTCATGATGTTGTGATGTACCATTCACGCTGCCGTTTTGCATTTCTTGCTAACGCTGGCAGGGGCCCTCTGAACAGCTGACCCCAGCTTTCCCAACGAGGAGAGAGTTGAAATGAAAAATGTGGGCATTAATAGAAAGACACAACCGAGAAGAAATGCCACACGAAGTTTGGCATAGTTATCGGCACTGTAGCGCGCTTGGTTGCTCAAAAACAATTTGGTTTGAAGGATTGCGTGAAGAGGGTTTTTTCGACAGCAACAAGGAGCAACTGACGGGCCCGACGTGTATGTAAGCGCGCCGCGCCCTGTTAATGCCTGAGGCCACAATATGGGCCCGCCGCTTTTAGCGCAAACCTCCCGTCTCCTCGCCTGCATCTTAACATCAAGTTCGACTGGAAACGCTCAAGCTTGTTTTTCTCAGTGCCATTCTGTTTTCGCAAATCCGGTAGAACAGTAAGTCAACACCGCCTAGCTCCACCTATTTGGAGCATATTTAATTGCCAATGCTCACCCTAAGGAACAGATGCTGTCTCAACGAATTCTGAGCCGGCGCCTGCCTCTGGCTGCTGGTCGTTATACCGCCCCCCGGGCAGCTTTTTCCCAGGCCCGCGCTGTTCAGGCTGCTGAAATTGATGATCCGCTCCAGGTAGAGTTTCATTTACTCAATATTTCGTGCTTCTCCGACCCCAATTTATCTAACTGCTCGCTTTGACAGAACAACAACTACCCCAACCCTCCTCGGCAGAAGCGTGCTTTCAGAGACCCTTACGGCGGTTGGTGGGATCGGCAGGAAAAACGCAACTTTGGAGAGCCTGTCCACGAAGACAACGAGATCCTTGGAGTGTTCAGTCCTGAACAGTATACCCACGTTACAGCTCGCAAGGGCTTCCTGTCCCTCGGCACCTTCGTCGTGACATTTCTGGGATTCTGTGGTGTTGTCAGCTATTTCTACCCGGACAAGCCTAGTGCGCCTCGGACCTTCCCGGATGGGTTAGAGAAGGAGCTTGGTGGCCCAAATGCTGTGCTTGTGAGTACATCTCTAAAAGTGCTATTGCTCTACTTTTCATCGTTGCTAAGCTAATGTTCTTCAAGGCCCGCAAACCCGATGAGGATAAGTGGTAACAGTCAGATTTGTTTTTGTTTGATGTAAATACGGTGCAATCTATATTTTGGGCGTCAACCGAGTGTCTAGGTCTTTATGGAGCTCTGAGGTATCTGCTAGACTGCAGTAACAACAAAAGCAGCTACCTTGTTCTGTTCATGATAGAGACCAACGAAACAAGCCCGAGAGCCTAGAGCAAAATTCGGAATTTCCGATATGCCTTGGCGTCATCAGGCTTTTGTCTATCAATTTAAGGGAATTAAGGGGTAGTCGCTATAGCGACTGGAAAAAGGCTGATTTCTCCCACAAAATTCCCTAGTCATGTTTGATGCCTGACCTTCGCCCAATACGAATTTGCTTTGAAAATACCTATCCGCTTTGTCTCGACTATTTGGTCAATATATCTCGCAGATGGGAGTAGGCCTTGGTTCTCGGCACCATTTTTTGTAGGTATGAATTGCTCAATAGTTGTACTGCTGTACTTCCCTCCATAGAATATATATCTGCAGTGACAGGCAAGATATAGGAAGTAATTTCAAGATCGCTATTCATCCAAATCGCTAGTGTCCAGTATCCTGTAGTGTGACGACGTCTAGCCGCGCGCCTCGCTGGAGCCCTACGTCAGTCTATTTTGGTTCCGCTTGGGAGCTTTGTTTCAAGGTGCGTCAAACCACTTTCCCGCAGGGGTTAGACCCCCTTCCCTCATCAAACACAACGATAACGGGGATTACTTCTGTGAAACCGATAGCAAGCACGTCAACGCCATCGAAATCTCATTTCAATATTCAGAATTATCCTGGATACAGAGAATCCATTCGGCTTGCGCTGGCTGGCGGGCTGATCGTGAAGCTCTATCCATGGTGCCGCACTCTACACCTCCCCTCCTTTCCAACGCAACAAAATTTGGTTAAAAAAGCAAACCCATGTCGACGGCATCGAGACAGTCCCGAGGGATTAACCGACGGATTAATAGCATCCAACATGAAGCGCGCCACTCCCGAAATCTGTCCGCATCGCGGACACGACCGGTCAGCGCCAGTGCTGCCTACACCTACGCTCTCCGAGTAGCCTATCTCTCCTATCTTCTTCAGCCTCGTGCTCGGCGCATACAGAACATTTCTACTCCGCAGTCGCGCCTCAAGCGTTCCTCGACCTCCTTTCATGATCTCATGAAAGACTTCTCTCTGGTGAGGGATTCGAAGAGCACACGGTTTCCACATGGCCTCATATCCGAACTGGAAAAGAGGTTGACGGGGATTCTAATTAAGAAAGAGAAGAGGAAGGAATATCAAGATCCTCTGGTTGTGAGGACCTTTGCTACTTTCCTGAATACCTTAAAGGACCAGTCTTTCAAGAAACGGATGGAAAAAGACCGGCGGGCCGAAGATCTCGTGTTGATCTTCTTTTCGAACGCAACCAAAGAGCTTTCGAAGGGCAAAGATCCGGAAGATGACAGCTGGAAACTAATGGTCGACAGGCATGTTGCTCTATTTGTTCGCTTGATTGCATTGATTTTGAAAGATCACGACTGGGGTAAAGAACGTCCGGAATTGGCGAATCGTCTAGCTGTCCTGGAAAATAAACTCCTTTCTCAAGACCAGGATCTGGTACAGGCAGAAGGTCCGAAGGCAGCCATGGAAGAAGTTGTTCCACTGAGCTATGATATCAAAGATATGACACTCGTGCAGCATGTAGCAAGGATTTTTGGCATCGACCATTCCCAAGTGCAGTCTGATATAGATGCCCACAAGTCAATCTGGACCGAGAGAGCTGCTCTGAAGGATCTCAAAACCTACCAGGCCCATTTGAGCCTCAAGACTGGCCGGACCCTGTCCAGAGAAGATTTTGAAAATGAAGAAGCTTATGAGGCTTGGAAAAAAAGCGAGGCCCCGGAGCTTTCACAAATGATACTCGCCATCATTCAGTCTAACCCGGAGCTTGCAAAAAGCACACCAGGCAAGACCCACTCAAAATCCAGCTCACTCATGATCGACGCCGGAGCTCTCGATGGATCTTTTTCCGATCTTCCCAAACCTGCTGACAGAACATCATACATCATTGACCAGTCAATAGACTTTAGCTCTCTGTCACTGGATAACAGTAACGGATCAGGCGAGGAATCCGACATTTATACTTTCATTCCCCCAGATACGAGGGCACTCTATCGGTTTATTCTCGCTCAAGCCCTGAGCCATGATCTCAGAGATCAGGAACTTGAGGCTACGCAGGCGACATCAGAAATGCCTTCGATGAAACTGCTCTCAAAGCAATCCTCTGAACTTCTGAATGAAATCTGCATTCGTTGGCGTATACCTGGCTTCTCAAGGATTGTCCTGTTCCTGGATGTGGCTAGAGCAAAATTTGTGGATAATGAAATCAACCTTGATACTCTCGACTCGGCTTTTAATTTTGTGAAAGAGGCGCCTGCACACGAAGGCCGCGGGAAGCGCAGCAGCTTTGTAGCCTCAGCTCTCTATGAGAGAAACAAATGGACGACCCATGACATTTCTTTGATGCGTCAGTTACTTTCAGCTCTACACGAGGCTTTGCTTCGGGAATTGTACGACGTTATGATGGATTGTTATGAAGCCAAGCCTCGTTCGATCGGTCCGGTGATGTATGTATTAGAGAACCACATCCAGCTCGATCCTAATTACACCGAGGACGAGGAGGATATAAATCGGTTTCGCTCTTATGTCGAGGACGGCCTTGCGCAGAAAGCAAGAGACAGATACCAAGAACTTCTCGGCAAAGAACTACCAGAGGACCAGGAATTATGGCGCGCAGACCATGTGATCCAGCTTTGTCAAGCTATCACACAGCTCTCGCAGAAGATTCAGAAGCGCTATAGGAAAAATCCAGAGATCATGGGGTATGAGTTCACCTTTTCTTTCTTTAGATGATCGCTTACAGAACCTAGAGTCAATCCCCATGAGATATTGCTTTGCATAATGCTTCCTCTCTACGCCGAAGACGCTCAGGAGATGGTAAAGAACATTGTTGAGCAGGCGAAAGAAAGAGGCGAAGAGATTGATATTGAAGAAGGATTCGATCTGTATAAGGAGCTCGCGGCGATCCGGCGCCTTTTCACTAATGCAATTGCTGAGTACGAACTGTTTTGATCCCCCCTTACACCTCGCCGATCAAGTCATGTTAACGGATACACAGTGTCCCATTCCCTTTCTCAATTGAAGATCTCTTGGAGGATTTTGTCTGGCGATGGGTCCGCCTGACAGAGCAGAAAGTGATGGAATGGGTTGAACAGGCAATCCGACAAGATATCTTTGCTGTCCGTGCAGATGACACAACCGATGTAGTGCCTGAAGACCACAGACACAGTGTTTCGGTCATTGACATCTTCCGCTCCTTTAATCAGGTCATTGAGCAGATAATTCATTTGGAGTGGGACAACGATTATCAATACGCCAAATTTATGACCTCGCTTTCCAAATCAATAGGGAAAGGAGTAGCAAGGTATTGCGAGGCACTTGAGCAAATGTTTGCGAAGGAAATGGATCGGCTTTCTCCGGACCAAGAAGCAGCCATGAGTCAGTCAACGCAGGAGAAGTGGATGCAGATGGCCAAGGATGCATGGAATAGCAAGGACAAGATTGAGCCTTTCCAGTTCTTCCCCGAAGTAAGGCCCCGAGAAGCTTACTGGCCAAAACTCACATGCATTAACGCTAGCCTATAGTCTCTTGTCAAACTCAACAACGTCGAATACGCCTTAAATCAGCTTGATAAGTTGGAACGGGAGATCAATGTCGACGGATGTGCGGAAGTAATTGCAAGACATACCCCTCCCCAGTCACAGAGGCCACGCCGGTCTACGACCTACGTTTTCACTGTCAAGGTTGTCGAAGCCGAGGATCTGAAAGCCTGCGATATCAATGGCAGCAGTGACCCTTATGTCGTCCTTACCGATGAGTATCAGAAACGGATCTCCAAGACCCGTATCATTTACAGCAATCTAAACCCGAGATGGGATGATACAGTTGACATCACGACTCAAGGCCCACTTAACATCATTGCGACCATCTGGGATTGGGACGCCGTGGGGGATCACGACTATGTTGGCCGAACATCTATAAAGCTGGATCCCGTGCATTTTGGTGACTTTCTGCCCCGGGAGTACTGGCTCGACCTGGATACGCAGGGCAGACTCCTTCTGCGTGTAAGCATGGAAGGCGAGCGAGACGACATCCAATTCTACTTTGGCAAGGCTTTCCGAACCCTGAAGCGGACCGAAAGGGACATGACTCGTAAAATCACTGAGAAGGTGCGTCATCTTTTTTCTTCCGTTTAAACTGAGCCAAGGTGGACTTACTTTTTGATTCAAGCTTTCTGCATATATCAACCAATGCTTGTCTCGTCGGACCTTGAAGTCATTGCTGTCTCGAGGAATCAGCATCTCCAGCGTATCTAGCTTCCTGAACCGGAATCGTGCTCAACCCGCCGCTACAGGGCCCACGCAGACCGACGTGGAGAATGCATTGACACCCTTGTTTAACTATTTCAACGACAATTTTGCGATCATGAATAAGACTCTGACAACGGAAGCGATGAGAATGGTGATGGCTCGTTTGTGGAAGGAGGTACTAGCCACCATCGAAAGCCTTCTTGTTCCTCCTCTATCCGACAAAACATCGCATCAGAAACCCCTAACAATACAGGAAGTCGACATTGTGTTCCGTTGGCTGGTACTACTTTTGAATTTCTTTCATGCTGTCGATGAAGAAACCGGGGATGTCAATGGTGTGCCAATTGATATTTTGAAGTCACCAAAATACCATGAGATACAGACCCTTAACTTCTTCTATTTCGAGCCAACTGAAAGTCTGATCAGGACATCTGAGCGGATGGCCTCCGAAACGGCTTCACGCCAGAACGCAGCGAAGAATCGAGTATCGGCGCCCGCTCATCTCGGCGCCGGTGGTGGCAGTAGCGATTTTCTCGGTATCCCCAACGCACGGCGTGCCAAAAGTATCATGCTGTCTCGAAATCTCGGCACCATGAAGAAAGCAAAGGCAGAAAAATGGCGCGAGGCCCAAGCAGAACCCAACGACGACATGATCCTGCGCATTCTGCGCATGCGACCTGAATCAGCCAGCTATCTACGTGATCGGAGCCGCCAGAAGGAAAGATTAGCGGCTGCAGCCGCGGCGGATGCCATTGTGAAACAAAGCTTGATGGCCGGTGCTGGTGGGAGAATGACGGGTACTCTATCTCGGCACTGATACGTGTTGACCTCGCTGGAGCACCGAGAACTACTATACTATTCTTTGCAATCTCTCGTTTAATATGGCATGTCCTATTGCAGATGGGTATGCTTTAATGCGCGTGATCATTGGCCCTGTTGTGTCGATTCTATATCATATCGTTGATTTCCTAGTTTGATATCAGTTCATCATTCCACTTCATATTTTGGTTGTCTGGTCTGCATGATTGTTATGATTCCCATTTCATCGAGTTCCGCCCAGTCTTACTCCTCATAGCTTTTTAGCAAATACTATATCAGGTCTACTCATTTTCTCAGTCTGTTGTAGCTCATACTTGAGTACTGAAATTTTATAGCAAACGTTACAGTCGAAAAGCTTATCAGTAGCCTGAAGCCATTTCTAATATCGACCTTCGAAAATGTACAATATCAAGGTGCTTTTTGCGCTATTTGAAATATATAGACACAGGCTGGACCCAATCCGCTGGAGCCTATAATACCGCAGAAATGTGCACAACGTTCCAGATACTAGCAAATTTTTCTTTCATTGTAGTATTCTAGTTTACTCCAGGGCAATGCACTCAATCTCAACGAGGACACCCTTGGGCAGCTGGTGGACAGCGACGCAGCTGCGAGCGGGCTTGTGGACGAAGAACTTCTCGTAGGTGGCGTTCATCTCGGCGAAGTTGGCCATGTCGGTGAGGAAGACCTGGAGGAGATATAAGTCAGCAAGGTCCTTCTTTTCGGGGGAGTAGATGTCGGTCTATATTTCCGTAGAATACGTACGTTCACCTTGACGACCTTCTCGACGCTGGTACCGGCCGCGTCCAAGATGGCCTTGATGTTGTTGCAGCACGCCTGGGTCAGCTCGCCAATGTTGCCTTCGACCAGGGCACCGGTCGAGTCGGCGGGGATCTGGCCGGAAACGAAGATCTGGCCGTTGGCGCGGATCGCCTGGGACTGATGGGGTTTGTTTTGTTAGATAGGTATAGCTAATAAATTGGGAATGGGCTCGGCGGCAAGATCACATACGTAGGGTCCGGCAGCTGTTCGTTTAATTGTCAGTCAAATGTCTCTAATCTCTGTTTGCACAATGCAGACTTACGAGGGCAGGCTTCCTTCGAAAGAATGATAGAAGACATTGTGTTGGAGTTATTCGAAAAAGGGAATCGAGAGATCGGTGAAGGAATTGATATTGCTGCTGCAACTGGACGAGACAGGTATGATAGATGAAGTAGATTTCGCGAGAAATTCCTGAGCATGACGGTGTTGACAGTAGAGATATACTGGGATAGCTTGACTCTGTACCCCGCCCGGCATCGGAGGTTCAAACCCCGCGGCGTTTGAAACTCCGATTGCTATGTATAAATATGTGAGCTGATTCAAAATTCATGATAGAATGTGATAAGCATGGGCAGGGTACTAGATTATGATTGCTAAGATACATCCGATTAAGTATCTAATTTACATATACTCTGGGAGGTGAAGCAGCCTGGGCTTCTCCTAAGCGAAGCGAGCGAGGATCACCCCGCCTGTACAAAAATGTATACAACGCGATAAAGAAACACACTGATCGTTGGAGAGGTTATGTTGGAGTAGATAGATAAAAATTCCACCCAAGACACTCAATAATAATAGACAGTAATAATGGATTAAGTAGATGTCGTTGAAAGTCATTTCGCATTATGTTCGTTACTCAATTGTCGCAGGACCATCGCAGCCTGGTCGGCAGAGTACCCAAAGAAAACCGGACCATTGAACACAATGTTTGCCGGTTTGGGTAGCTTCGGCTCTATGTTTTCAAGAGGAGGCTTGGGCACTTGAGGCTGATCCTGGCCGGGACTTTCTGCAACCCCGGGCTTGGTGTCATGATCTGGCATGATCTCCGGCCCTGGAATCACAGGTTCCTGTGGTGGCCGTGGCCGTCCGTGACCGAATGGGCAGACACCAGCTGGCCGTCCAGGATGAGGTGCCTGTGCAGGAGAGTCGTGGATCGGCGGGAAGGGAGGGGGAGGGGTGTCGTTATGAAGTGTATGCTCAATCGGCTTGGAAACTTGAGCCACAGGAGACTGCGGAGCCGATTCTGCAGTCTCCATGGAGAAGGGAACTGGAATCCCCCAAGGTCTACTTGGAGATTCGCCCACACGAATCTCTCGCATGGGACGATCGAAATGACTCTTTCGTTCGTCCGGATCTTCATCCACATCTTCCCCGACAGTAGGGAGCGTCTCAAGCTCTGGAGACTTGAGGCTCACACTCTCCGCCCATTTTCCAACTCGGTCGGTTGATAAAGAGCTAGCAGTACCCGTGGCATTTGATTTGCCATTCGGAAGGAAAGCCTGGTGTTTCTCGCTCAACCCTCGGATCATGTTGATGAGGCTCCCGTATTTCGCATCCAATTGCCGCATGCTTTGAGAATCTTTCTGATAGCGCTTGACGCAAATTGTATGACTCCGTGGGATTTCGTGTTTGTGTTTCTCGACGTATTCTGCAATTTCTTCAGGACTATGCTGGTCCAAAAACCGGATAGGACATCGGGAAATCGGGCACTGGGACGATGACGAGCGAACAGAAGCCTCTGCGCGACTCAGCCGTCGACCATTCTTTTCGGCTTTGATAGGATCCAGATCTTCATGACCGCAGGTATTGCTGTGCACCGATTTTGCGGCGCTTCCTTCGCCAATGGAGACGCCATTTTCAGTAGTCTGGACATTCGGCTTCGAAAAGGGACACCGCAAATCTCCTTGCGTCGCGCCTTTGGTTGTAAAATCGCGTTCCAAGCCACTAGCCTGAGCAGCGACAGTTTCTGAACTGATATTCAGGTTGTCATCATTCGCCAGCATGATGGAATTGTAACATTCCAGGCCCTGTTGAATGGCATCGAGGATTTCATCTCCTACATGTCCAGAACTCCCGAGCGATTTGATTACATCTGCATATTTCAACAGCGATTCAATACGGTCGACGGCGGCCGGCGGGCGACTGGCTATTTTCTGTGCCACTAGGACAGTGTGGGCATCCTGTCCCCCGGGGAGCTGGGTTGCCAATTTCAAGTACTATCATAAAAATTTTTGAATTAGTGACTGCTTTATTTGCATCTATGAAAATGGTCTGGCTAAAAGAGTCTCATCAGAGAATATAGTTTGATCGGTCATCGCCGCAGATACGACTCTTGATCTAGAGCTAATGAAATTTTTCTCATCATCTGAGACAAGGAGTATGGTTGACGAGATTATGTACCTCATCATGAGCATATTCCAGCTGCTCTTGTAGAGCCTTTTCCTTGCAGTTCAGTTCTTGGACAGTCACTAGGAGAGCCTCGAAGGCCCGAGCAAGAGACTTCAGCTGTTGGTGTGGCTCTGGCTGGTCAACTACCAGAGCAGGAGACATATTGACTGGTGTATTATTTAAAAGCAGAGTGAATTACAAAGTTGTCAAGGCCTCATCAAGCCAGAAACAACAATTCTGCATCACGCAGAAGCGCGCTTCCAGGATCATTGCTGAAACGGAAGGATCTGAACAGTTGAGCTTTCGGAGCTGGCTGAAAACGTTCACGCCACGTGCTTATTAATTAAGCGAGATGGCCCGTGCATACATCACATGATGTATATTTTTGCCCAATGCCAAGCCAAGGCATTCAACCCCCCAGGCAGCAATCTATTCGGAGTCGTTATCTATGTTATCATGATAAACTAGTTGGGCATACTGTTGTTGTATGTCACTTTGGATTGATCTTCAGAGTGGTCCTGAGCTTTACTAGATAAGACATAGCATATTGCTCTAGAGTCATCTGGTAAGAGTTGACTATATTTTCTTATGCAGGTATATATGTTTTTGCAAAGCCTCTAACAGAACAACAATTAGTTACCACAGTTAGCCGCTTGAGTGGAAACAGTAGAGTGCCGCCAGGGTTCGGACATCATTTTCCAACTTTTAAACCGCCTTCGCCGTCTAAATATATCAAAATGCATCTCAAGGACGAACCGACCATTCGGGTTGACGATTTACCCCCAGCAACCACGGTTGTCGCCAAGGAAGCAGTGGAAACGACCGAGACCGAGCGTCCGCTTTCCGAGATCATTCGCGCCGACAGACCAGCGCTCTATTTCGCTTACGGGTCAAATCTCTCCTTTACACAGATGCGATACCGATGTACCAATGACCCGGATTTATCGGCTCACCCCGTCGCGATCGCCCGGTTAGACGGGTGGCGGTGGCTGATTTGCGAAGCAGGGTATGCGAACGTGATCCCACCACGCGAGCTGCGGGTTGGAGAGCAGGTCACACACGGAGATCTCGTTCCTATATCGAGGGGGGGAGAAGGAGGTAAAGAGGAAGAAGATCAAGGGGCGATCTACGGCGTGCTGTACGAGATGAGTGACGCAGACGAGTTTCTCCTCGACGGATACGAGGGAGTCGACCATGCAGCGCCGGATGCACGCCCGCTCATAGACCGGAAGGTCAGGCCTAAAGAGCAAGGAATGGGCGATTACAACAAGTGGTACGTGCGTGCGACGGTGATCAATTGGCTAGACGAGGAGCAGCGGAAGTCAAGGCTGGCGGATGGCGACCAGCAGCCTGTTCTGATCTACGTGGACGAGGACCGCGTGCGGCTGGGCCCGCCAAGAGAAGAGTACATCGGACGGATGAATCGTGCGATTGCTGAAGCTGAGCAGATCGGGTTTCCGGCTGATTGGGCGGAGGCCGTGATGAGGAAATCCATCCCAAAGCAATAGCGGGCGCTTTTCCCCTTCTATGAACTATATATAGGGACATGACAAAGATGATCATTGCTTTGTGCATAACTCTTTAGAATTCTATAGATACCCATTGAATAGAAAAGAGCGTTGAGGTGCAAAACATTGATTATATTTATACTATCTCAATACGGTTGTATGTCCAATGGAAAGCATGGAGAGTGCGAACAGTACTTAATTCTCGAGTCATTTGCCGCGTCAGTCGGCCAAGGACAGCCAATTGATGGCAAAATCTGTATGTAGGAAAATTCGCTCATGTTCAGGCCACAGAGGGGCTGCGAAAAACCAACGTATCTACCTGGATGTATGTCCAAGCAAGGCGGCTAGACCACCCGACTAGGATACATCGCTCATCAAGTGAATTGAATTGGAATGACCGCGGTCGTTGATCTGTCAGCCAGTTGGTGTTTGTCCTGTTTTTTACGGGGGTGGAGCCGTTATTTGTATCAACCACTGCATTGCTGTGTTGTGTGAAAAGAGTTTTTTTCGAGCGAACTTTTTTTTTCTATAGGCGACATTAAGGGGGATTCCTGAGCGATGAGCTGAAAGACGAGGCGCAGGTATCAAAAAAAATCATTTTATCAAGCAGTCGCAATGAAAAAGACGAGTTGAGTTGGTGAGAAGAAGATTTGTTTATGCCTTCTCTTCCTGGCCGGAAAGAAGGGTGTAGACAGGAGCAGGAAGTTTGTCCCGTCCCTTGAGGAATTCGAGTTCGAGAATGAAGATGAAACCCAGGAGGTTGCCGCCCATCTTGTTAATCAGCTCTCCCGCCGCGTACGCAGAGCCACCTGTAGGATATCAGTAAAGGAGGGGGAAAAAAGAAATGATTGTTCTTTACCAGTAGCAATGATATCATCCACGACAATGACCTTCTGACCGGGCTTGATGGAGTCAGCCTGCATCTGGAAGAAGTCCTGGCCGTATTCCTTGTCGTAGGCCTGAGTCTCACAGGGCCCAGGCAGCTTGCCCTGCTTGCGGACAGGAACAAAGCTGGCACCGAGTCTCAGAGCCAGGCTAGGGCCGATCAGGAAGCCACGAGCCTCGAGGCCGACAATCACGTCGGGCTTCTGGTCGCCATGGACTTGGAGGATATGCAGCTCCAGGGAGCGAAGGAGGGCCTCGTGCAGCGTCGGATCGGCGAAAATTGGCAGGATATCCTCGAACAGGATGCCCGGCGAAGGGAAGTCGGGGAACTGACGCAGCGCCGCGCGCAGTCTTATCTTAAGACTGGCGAGTTCGGTGGAGCGGGGGGGATGGGCGGCGGAGTGTCCGGCGACTTGGGTGGTGGCATCGCGAGTCTCAGCAGGATGCTGATCGGCGGCGGATGAGGACATTATCAAAAGGAAGAAGAAGAAGAGAGAGAGAGAGAGAAGGAGAAAAGAAGAGAGAAGAAGGGAGGGAGAAGTCCAAGAGGAGCAACGAGAGGGGGGTAAGGATCAGGTAACAAACGGCCGATAAGCAGGCGAAGAGAAAAGGTGATCTGAACGCAGGCAGGGTCAGTACAATACCAGCCAGAAATTAGCCCCGTTTCTCGACCGGATTTCTCTTTCAGACGGTATGGAATGGGGCCATCATTGGACTAGAAAAACCCTACTTACCTGGCCAGGGGTCCTGTCTTCAGTTACAGTCAAACGGCGATGGCGGGATGTTCTGGAGAATTTTTTCCCGATACGACGACGTTTTTGCGTTCTTTTTTTACCCCTCCAGCCAGCCCTAGCCTCCCCCCCCCCCACCTGAACCATCGAGTACACTGGACACTGGACGCTTACACTGACACTTTACTCTATAGTGTACGGAAGGCCGGTATCACTGACTGTATACGTAGTCACTAGCTAACAACAATGGACAACCCACTTCCCGGCTCACCGCAGCTCTCGAACACGCCACGACCAGCGCGTGCTAGGAATGGATCTGTTCTGTTGCCCTTCAAATCAGACGGTGCCCTCGCAACGGTGGGTATACTCCGTACCCATGCCAGGATGATTCACTGGTTATTACACCCGGACAACCCTGGCGGGCCTAGAACGTGGAATGGTTTGTGTGTAAGAGTAAGAGAACCTTGTTGTTGCCAGATGATAGGCAACAGGTGTTAACCTCTTCCGCATCAGTAATAGTGGCAGCCACTGGCTACAGGCCATGTTAATTGACCCATCAGCTATTAATTATGTAGGCTCAGTGTACTGCGTAAAGGATCCAGCAAGCCATGGCGTGACTATAGTGCAATAGCAGCAAAGAGTTAACTATAAGTAATTAGTTAGTCCATATCAATATACTTAAATGCTTGCCACTCGATGAATAGACTCCTTGGTCTATATATAGTACGAGTATTATATTCTTAGAAATCTGTCTTACTGTTCAGAGCCGAGGAATGTTACGGAGACCACGACAATACAAAACAGTTCCACACCTACTTACCCAGCGCGGGCTTGTCGTGATCTTCTTGGATATGCCCAAAGTGGGCACGTTTTGACCTGGTTATCTGCACAGCCTGCCAGGGGTCTTCGAAGCGCGCCCCTCTTGTACCTCGGTCTGTATCGAATCTTGCTGATGACCAGAATTTCCGTAGTTGTTCCTCGAGCAAAGATAAAGGTCCATGCTATATTTTGGTCCTGCATCGACCGGCGGTCGACATTCCGGGTTTCTTTTGATATCAAAGCGGGCCGCTCGAGACTCCACTCCAGATGCCCAATTAGGAAAAAGAGGATCAGGATCGTATTCTGGACGCCATGGACTACTTCGTTCGTTGAGCGAGATCGACCATGTCTCTATGCACGGGGGGCCCATTGGCCGCAAATCGTCAGCCTACTTCGCTTCCCGGTGTGTTTCCCGCGAGGAGACAGGTTTCCATATTGTCAACTCTTCAGGATGCGCGCTAACCATCACAAATGTCCGGCCACTTGAATCCCTCAAGCTGGCATCTTTGGGTTTTGACAAGCCCATACGCTCCGTCGCTTTGCATATGTAGTAGTTAGTAGAGTTGTGGACCCGAAAGTGGTCCTCGATCTCGCCTCGGCTGTAGTGAGTGTCCGAGCAGGTTGCTCTTAGTTCCAACCACCAAGTCGCCCACCATCTCTTTGTAGCTTCATATCTATGATAAGGCAACTGAATTAGTGCATCTATCAATTAAAATTTACAAAAATTTGAAAGGGTAGGGGGAATTCAGGTACAACTCAACCAGTTCACTTGTTGTGTCTTCTCGACGCCAGCAACCCCCATTAACTGCCGGCGCGAGTCTCTGTGTATTATACCTGTTTCTGCAGATGTGAATCCCCCAGTACGTATGTGAGAATGTAAAGTAGATCAGTACTTATATTCTAATAATGCAGCACTGGGAAAGCTTTGGGTAACTGGTTGTCCAGGGACGGAAGGCAGCGAGGTAAGATCGAGATTGACCATGTGACCATACACACAGCTAAGAGTAGTGAGTACTGGCCTTAGTAGACTGGATTTGTCCAAAAACCCATGAAAATTCAGGACTGGTTGTATTTGATACATTATAAGACTCATAGTCTGTCTGGCCTAGATATTCCCTGGTTGCCCTCAAGACCTGACAGCGCTGAGAAACCCGGCACCAAGGGTCCATATCTGGATCTATATTGAGACATGAGATAAGAAAGCTGCAGAAATAGATGCGGTCGCATATACAATTCTTATCTTATCCTAAAGGTAATCCAGCCAACTACATCTATAGAATATCAATATATTCGCTGCCATCTAATCGTAACAAGACCATCCTCGGCTCCTGGGAAACTCCCACAAGGTTTGTCTGCTGCTACCACCAGCTCTTGACCGTCCTCTGCAACGCCGGTATTGTGGAGGGTCCAGTGATGCACCGTCAGCAGCTGGTGACCCCCGTCTATGCTTTTCACCTCGGCGTGGAAGCCTCTTCTACCACCTCGAACGAATATCTACCGGCATGTTTGAACCTGAAGCTATATTGTATTGTATAGTTTGTTAGAGGATACCCAATCTACCAAGATATCAGAGATGAGAATGTCTTAAGAATAAACATACGGGAACGCTTGCCTGATACCCCACACTTTCAGACAGGGTACAGGGATAGCATCCTTCTAGCAGGGTTCAAAGAACAAATCCCAGTCCATTGGCATGAGCACTTGAAGTCCGCTTATATAGATCGAAGGCAATAGACAAGGGGAGTCTTGGAAACCGGCAATCTTCAGTCTATCGCTGGGATTAGTACCTGTGTAGTAGTAATAGCATGGCCGAGGTACGGAGTACACCTTGGATTCCTAATTGGGAATAGCCTGGGGGTACAAGCTCTAAGGGAACTGCCATAATGCTATCCCTTCTCTTCATTGAACTCATCTCCTACATTGAGTCTTTCAGAGAGAGACCTTGCCTGGTAAGATGATGCCAGTACAACCGTATCTCTTGATCTCAGCCATGGTTCACTCCGACTTTTTATTCCAGGTTGTCGGGTTAATGTTGGCCGATCAAGATGGAGTGCTAGATGACCAGAGAGCCAGATTGAAATACTGAGAGATAAGCGTGTTCTACAGAACCATGTTATGTTTACATTATTCGAAAAGAAAGAAATGGAAGCAATACTCTCATCCAGTATTTGATGCAACGATTAATAAATCAAGTCTATCAAGTTATAACACACCTTTGACGCGGGATTTATATAATAAACAAGTTATTGATTGGAACACCCTGGGAATGCACCGTGTACCGCCGCTTGATACCCACGGAAGTTGCGCGGCGGAGGAGCTCATAAGTCTCCTCCCCACCGCCAGCCATCGCCATGCTGATGAGATGATGGCGTGGGATGCCCCCTGTTGTCATCTGCGGTTCGTCCAGATACGGCCGGACGAGATAGGGCTCTGCGCGGTGCGCGGCGAGTTGTTGGGGTGTCGATGACCGTGGCGACTTGCTTTGAGTGGAGTCTATTGGGGGGTCTTTCTGCGCCGCTGCCACGGGAAGATCGGGGTCGTCATCATCATCGTCATATGAAACAACGATGACAAGTTTCAAAGCCGAGCGCGAGGGCGGATACGCTGCGATGTTTTTCAGTTTTTGTGAAAAGCTGCAGCCGCCACGTTTGATGACGAGAACCTGGTGGGTTTGCACCACTTCTTTGGGCAGGCGTTCATCACAAAGTTCGTCAACAAAGAAGATAGTAGACCAGGACAGACGACGAGCAGGCGAATCACGCGGAAAGAAGGCCACGGAAGCATCTGGGACGTCGGGAAGCGGCGCCGAGCCCAGCCCTGTGGGTAACGTAGCTGGAATGACGAGTCGCGATGATGATGATGTTTTTTTTGGCGATTTCGTTGAGCCTGATGGACTCTCATCGCGGAGCAAAGAAGAAACGTGGCTCATTAATGATGATAAAACAGTCCTCATACTTGATGAAGAGGATGGTGCCGAGGTGATCCCTCCAATTTTGTCGTCGAATGTCATAGATTGCTGTTGCGTTGATTCGAGGCCTGCTACTGCCCCCTTTTCTCCGTGGCCATGTGAATCGTTTACTTTGCGAAAAGGCTCTGGACCAACGTCAACGACGATGTCAACAATATTCGAGTCACGTACGCAAGTGAAGTTGGGATCGGTGGGATCCAAAACCTCAAACGTAACTTCGTGAGACAAGTATACCTTCTCATCTTTTCCCAAAGGTACACTGTTGATCACTTGCACTCGGAAGCCTTCGGTCGTAGTCCCGTCGAAGGAACTTAACAAGAGCAGGTCTTGGATCATACTCAGCCGAAGGCCGCCAATGTTCTTAATCAAAATACCCTCACGAACACGCTCAAGAGATCCCGGGCCTGCAACCACGCCGGGGAGGGCTGGGAATGAGATATCAAGCGTTGGACGAGTGGTCATTGGGGAACTCATTCCGTTGGACGGAACAAGCTCTGGTGGCAATGTCCAAGGGTAGAATGTGTAGTTGCTGGGTGATTGTAGATCGGCCAGCGAAACGCTAGGGTGATCATAAGCATAATCTAGTAGAGCGCCTTCAGCTCCACCCCGACCCGGCATGAGATGTAAACGTGCAAGACTCGCTGCATGGAAAATATCCGGACGCGCCGCGGTTGACGATACGCCTAGACCGGAGGGTAGAGGGGGTATCTGACATGTCGCCTGAGAAGTATTCTCGTCGGAGAATTTTTCACGACTACGGCGAGAACGGTCCGAAGAAAGGCGCTTGGGCACAATGAGGGGATGGCCCTCGGTGGAAAACACAAAGGGGGCATCCAGGGTGTTTAATGGATGACTGGGATCGAAAAGAAGAAACAAGTACTTGGCAGTTTCTCCAAGGAAGAAGCTCTCCATCCGATCGCTCAATTCACCATTCCGAACATCTTGGAGGCCCGCCCAACCGCATTTAGTCCAGCATCGCCTCTTGATATCTCGCAAAACCATTTCCCCTACATGCAAATACCATGGATCCTTGGTAGCTCGGTAAAGATAGTAGGTCGATTCGATGAACTCTGGACGACCACCCCACCAGGTCAGGCCACCTTCTATATCCCCAGTGGCAACGTTCCATCTCTCGGGAAGACCGGCGAATCGAGTCCATACCGCAGTTGTGAGTAGATGAATCCCAGTGGCATCCTCGAGCTCTCCTGCCAACGCCAAAAGGCCGGGATAGTACGCGCTGAGGCTGTCCATCCAGAAGGCACGAGTGGCGCCTGTGAACAAGTCACCCTGGATAAAATGAGGGTGTTGATACCCTTCGCCTCTGTACAGGTGGTGTTTGATTGAGGCCTGCGACTCTTCCCATACGTGAAGGAAGGCGTCGGCAGAATGTTCGTACTCGCTTAAAGGTATATAATAGTTGTCCCATATTGACCAAGGGCTCTCGCTATTCGAGGGGGAGCGATCGCCAGAAGATAGTAAGATATGGGATTTGAAGGCGTATTCAAAAAAACTGTCAATCCCGGCACCAATCTTTTTGACAGCCGTAGTATTAGCATGTCAACAATGAGACACAATAGCTGATAAAACAAATCTCTCAGGTACGTACTCCAGTATAAGAATGCACCCATTTGCCGGATTCGGCATCGATGCCTGAACCAATCAAGCCAATATCGCTTCTTCTGGCCCAAACAGCCCAAAATGCTCTTTTAGCCAACTCTTCATATCGACCGTCTCCAGTGAGCCTGCTCAGAACGGTAAATTCGAGGACAAGACTACCAGCGCCCGCGCTGCAAGTCTCTGTGATCTCAGGTATTCCCTGGCGTCTTTTTTGGCAAGACCTGTCACCCGTCTTCTCACAAACAGGATCCAAATTCAGTGGAGAGTTTTCATAGAACGGGACCCCATACCGCAAGTTGACGCGCGGGTAAGGAATAGCCGTCTCAGTGTAGAAGGCGGGTAGAATGCGGTTCGCCAAATCCACAGCAAGTCTTAGGAGCTGGCCATCGTAGACAAACCCGTTTTCCCATTGGATACCATGATCATGCTCGGAAAAAGAACCTTTGTCCCATGCCTGTGCAAAGGCTGCTTCTGTGTCTAGAGGGTGGTATCCTCTTATAGGAAGGTCACCGACGGCGAAGATATGGGCGCTGAGCAGTCCACCTAGCGCCGAATCGCACATGTTAGTCGACATGGGATCAAGTCTTGAAACGCACTGCTGCCAAGTCACACCGTACCTAGGCCTCTGATAACGGTCTCAAAGACTTGAACCTTGCTGTCCATATCAAATCCACGAGCCCTCTCGCCCTGTCCAGCAGGGCCCTCCGAGCCATCTCCATAAAGTCTGACCAAATCCTTCACCCCGGCCTGGAAGTGAGCCCACGCTATAGCACCACTGTCATTGCTCGATGACATTATCGCGAGGCTGGACAGACTATCGATCAAGGTCAGGGAGTAGTTCCCCAGGACATCGTTCAGTTCGATGTGCGCTGGATTTGCACGGTCGCGAACCAAGGGGCGACAAGTCAGCGGGCGTAGCTCGTCCTCTGGAAAGGCATGTTTCATGTAATTGTTAAAGCCATGGTAGAACATATGTTCAGTGTCGGTCCTGTATCAGAGAGACCTTGTATCAGTACACGAGAGCAGGACAGTTAATCGTTGCCATTGCCACACACACACACACACACACACCTAAGGTCATTGATCTGATTCAAAGTCATCCCTCCGGCCATGGAGATCCATGATGGCAGCAGAAGGAGCCAGAATATCCATGCGGTCCAAGGAGCAGACATCATCTGTAAGCACCAACATCGCGCACGCATAACCAGCGCAAGACCGCCGCAACAGGGATGTAAGCCCTGCGAATGATTTTCAGTCGGTCTGGAGTCTCCTGCAATCTCCGTGGATTTCTGCGATGATCTCGGCGGTGCAGAGTCCACTGTCCAGGTGGGTTAAGAGTAAAAGCCTGTTAAGGCATGTCAAATTCCTGGCTTCAATAATGACACTGTCATTATTTTGCTTCTAGGGCGGAAGGCGGCCAAATATGTATCGATACGTACCATTTTAGTCACATGTCATACAATATAGGATCGTCGCAGTTTTTTCTCCCCCTTTTATATGATTAAATTGTTGAATTAATAAAATAAAAGAAAGTAGACTTTATAGCTCATAACTATCAAATGCACAGTATATTATCTTATTGGAATTAGAAGGTGGCTAAAGAGTCTTCTTATATTGACATTAATACTAGTAAAGATACCACCAAATGTGGGCTCACATTTTGGTTGAATATGGCAAACACTTCAAATGTAGATAGATCCTATAGACCATACACTCACTCTCATACAAATACAAAATCTATATTTAACTAGAGCCCGCCTGTTAGAGCAAATAAAGAGCTTGACAAAAATAATAGATTATATGGGTATCATTCTGAGCAGTATCTCTTATACCTCTTGTAATACCTCGCGCATCAGCTGAAGATGCAGTGATTTGGAATTATAATTATTTAAACAACCTGAGTTGGCTCTGGTTAGTTATAAAAATGGTGCCTCTTGCAGAGAATATTTGTACAAGTGGTGGATTCATAACTAAATAGTACAACTTCACTTGCCCAGTTCTCCAAGCATAAGGTTCCTGTCCGAAGAACAAGATACGACTATAGAAAGCGTTAGGAGAGGCAATTCTGTATACGTATACTTTGGGGATGACTCACTGATGGGCTCATCATTCGGTGAAAACCGTACATCGTTGACCGTGCCCTTGTGGCCGGGGAGCTTGTAGAGGAGCTTTCCGGTCTTGAAGTCCCATACCACGACACTACGATCGCCGCTTCCTGCAGCAATCTTGTCGCCTTTCGGGTCCCAGCTTGCCCGGATAAGATTCTTCTCCAGCCCCGTGGGAGCACCGTCGTAGGTATTGATTTGTCGATTGCTGGGTGCGAACGGCCGGATATCCCAGGTACGCACCGTCGAATCGTGGGAGTTCGACAGGAGAGACTGAGAATCGGGAGAAATCTGAAGTGATGTGATAGTATCGCTATGACCAGCCATAGAGTAAGCCACTGCCTTTTTCCGCAAGTCCCACGCGTGAATTGTATTATCGATGCCACCGCTGAAGATCTCGCTTCCTGCTTCAGAGATCGCGACCGCAGTAATCGGCAGTTCTGTTTCCAAGTAGTCGATAGCCTCCTTCTGCCGGGGGTCCCATATTCCAACACACCCGTCATCGCTTGCACTGACTAGAAGCTCTTGCCCACGCCGGCTGATATCAAGGCAATTGATGATCTCTTCGTGGCCCACATGCCGGCGAATTCTCTGGCCTGTCTCCAGATCCCAGCTGCCGAGGGTCATGTCTGCCGAGGCGGAATAGAGTACTTTCGAATCCCGAGACCATTGAAGATCTAACACGGCTCCTCGATGGCCTGTCAGGGCGCCATAATTTTCGCATTGGCCGTAGGTATTCCAGAGCACTTCAGGTCGTTGCACGATCAGCACACATTCGGTACATAAAAGCGGATATATAAGCACGTACAAATAGACCGATCCATCGATCCAGACGCAATATGCTGTGCGGTAGGATCAAACCGAACTGCAAATACTTCGCCCGAATGACCAGAAAGCTCCATGATCGGGGCTTCGAGCCCACTACTGCGGGGAACCTGGATTCGCGGTCAACTCCTGGGGACTTGAAGGAGCTGCTCTGAAAAGCTCCGAGAAACAAGGACTATTGACCTACCGCTTGTACCAACGCTCCATTTTGCGACGATCCCTTGACCACTGCTGTTCCTAGATCAAGCTCCGAGTCCGACTTCTTTCGCTTGACGACAAGCTGGCTAGAAGAGCCAAAAGCTGCCTGGGCCGGGCGTTTCTCCCCCGACATGTTATGGAAACGTATCTCGTCGACGTATGGCGCAGGTGAGGTATTGGAAAGGAGCCAAATAAGAGCAATAATTCCAGAGCAGAAATTGGTACCAACCCAATTCAAAGTGTGCAGCTATAGTTCGTCAAGAAATATCACTGCAGGCAAAGTTGCGATGGGGCGGAGATCATAGGCGCGGAAAACGCATTTTAGGCGCGCTAAACGCAACCTGGCGGAATGTCCACGCTCCGCTTCGGCCTATCTACTTGTTGGCGGGGAAGATACGAATCTCAACGGACTTCAGACGTAACCTTATACTGATTTTCATTCATTGCTTCCCTCTCTTTATTTTATTTTTCTATTAATTTCTATTACAAAATAAATCTGGGATCTAGGTCCTCGGATAATCCATAGAAATGTCTGCTACAAAAACCGCGAGATTAGGAGAAGAGTATGTTTGTCTGACCTATTATCTGGGATACTTTGGCTAATTGTTTCTTTTCGATTACAGTCTATGGAAGTCAGTAAGCTGAACGACCCTTTGTAATATTTGCAAAACGATAACTTGGATTTCTGGCTGGCTCTTTGGCTGGCGCTGCAATGCGAGACTGATTGATTTGACAGAAGCCGAGTTGACAAGGTGAATGCGGAGCTGGTGACCCTGACATACGGTACAATTGTAGCCCAGCTATGCCAGGACTACGATGAGGATTACATGGAGGTCAACAAACAATTGGACAAGATGGGATACAACATTGGCATGCGTCTAATTGAAGACTTCCTGGCGAAGTCCACCGTGGGCCGCTGCGCCAACTTTCGCGAGACGGCAGACATGATCTCCAAGGTTTGTCTTCGAATATGTGACCCTTGTATGGCACCGGTAGCACATCCGCTAACCAATGCGGGTGGAATAGGTCGGGTTCAAGATGTTCCTGAATATCACCCCCACGGTGACGAACTGGACGAGCGATAACAACCAGTTTTCGTTGATATTTGAGGAGAACCCGCTGGCCGACTTTGTTGAGCTACCGGACGATGGTCGGGCGCAGGATGAACTGTGGTTCTCCAACATTCTGTGTGGAGTGTTACGGGGAGCTCTGGAGATGGTACGTGGCCGCGGCTCGCCGTAGGATATTGTTCTGACAATTGCACAGGTTCAAATGCAGATCGAGGCCCACTTCGTCAGTGATGTGCTGCGGGGGGACGATACTACCGAAATGCGGGTATCACTTGTACGATATATCGAGGATGAGATGCCACCCGATGAAGAATGAATGGTTTCTTTCCATAATTAAACCTGCGGATTTGAGGCGTTTGTACAGGGCCTGGGATTTGTGCTTTTGAAACCTTGAGTTATAATAACTATGCATTCAATCAACATGTTTCACCTGGAGTTTGATTTATCTGGTCTGTCTATAGCAGAAGAACATGTGTAGTAGTATATATAGTCTATCAAATTGCAGAATGCTGGGACATTGTTTTATGAAGCTCCTATACATTTTATACTCCAGAATCCATCGCTCGGCTGATCTGCCGCCACTCAAACACGTGATGCACTATTCCTCAACAGGAGTTAGCGTGATGAGGAGTGCGCGCAGGGCGGGCGTCACCGACCCTGAAGCCCCTCGCCATCTCAGCTTTTCTGCATCTTTTCCCTCCTTCAATTCGGTCATTGCTGTCGGACCCTGATCTCTCGTTGTCTACTGTCCTAATCCGGGGGGGGGAATCTGACTCCCAGAACCACTCATCGGTCGAAGCAGACCACCGATCGGCGCTCGGTCGCGGTGCTCCGTATTGCAATCTTCTTCCCTGGGCCTCCACTCTGTCGCACCCACCGCCCGTCTGCTGCCTCAGGCTCGCCAGTCCCAGCACTTCGTTGCTGCATGCTCAGAAGTACGCGTGGCTGTGGCATCTCCCAGCCCTCTGGCGATCCGCCTCGACGTTGATCCGTTCCGAACAAGCGATTCACGCCAGCCGGCGACAGCACGGCAGCCCGGCACTCTCCAGGCACCGCGCTGGTCCTCCCACCCACCCAAGCCAGATCCACTGCTACTACACCTTATCCTCGCCCAACTCTGTCGTGACCCTTCGCCTCCCTGCTATTCCACACCCCCGACCCCCGTGCGGATCTCTCCGTGCTTCCCACTCTCCGTCGTGAGATCTAGGGCACTGGAGACTCTTGGTCATCTCGAGCTTTTTTCTTTTCCTTCTTGCCCCCCCTCTTCTTCCCTCCTGGTGGTGCTGTGCTGCCCTCTTGGTCCGCTCTCGCTCTCAAGCGCCGTTCCCGTTCCCACACTTCATCATCCTACGTCGTGCGCCTCTCGCCTGATTTCCCGCCTGATTTCCTCCCTACCGCGCATTTCTCGCAATATTTGTCTTCCTCGACCGTCTTGTGGGACTGTCGCTAGGCCTCGGAGCCAGCGTTTGCCAGTGCTCCAATCTCGCGATTTCAGGAGACCGCTTGACACGTCCTTGACCTGTCATCTTTCTGTTCAGGCGAAAAAAAGACTATAAAGAGTATCGCTGATATTTGTCGCGGCTTGGTCTCCTGCTAGCCGTCGTTTGCCTCTGTCATCTTCCACCTGGGGAAACTCGGCGCCACCTTTTCCCTTTTTTTCTCTCTCTCTCTCTCTTTTCTTTTCCTCTTCTTTCCTCTCTCTCCGCCCGGCGCAACTTCATCCTTCCTCCGTGGTGGGCTGTCCTCGCCGCGAGACGGTGGATGCGCGTCGAAAACTCTCCGATCTCCGGCCGCCTCTTTTTGACGACAATCATCGGTGAGGGCGGTGGAACCTCTTGACCATCATCATGAATCAAATGAATGTGGCTGGGATGAACCCCGGGGCTGGTGGCCCTGTCGGCGGTGTCCCTATGATTAATAACGGCTCGACGGCTCCCCGTAATGATGGAAATCTGAACCATATCCCTGAGAATATGATCATCAACCTCAACACTTACATTTACGACTATTTCTTGAAACGCGGCTACTATGATTGTGCGAGAGCACTCGTGCAGGACGAGTCGATAAAACTCAACACCGACCCCAACACAAAAACAAGTCCTGGCCATCGTCGCGACGGCGATATTAATGGCATTGACGGTGACGCCATGATGACAGATGGCAAGGACGGTGAAAGACTGAAGATTCCTGATGACCTCCCTCGACCCAGTCTCCCAAGCGAAAGCCAGCAATCGTCCTTCCTTTTGGATTGGTTCAGCCTGTTTTGGGATTTCTTTTGGGCGCAGCGCAAGAAGGGGAATAGCAATGATGTCAGACAGTACCTACAACATCACCAGGTACTTTTCTTTTCGTTCGGATTGATACTGAAGCCAGGCTGATCTACCGTCATAGAATATCATGCGTATGCGCGAACAGCAACAGAATCACATGCTACGTCAGCCCATGATGCCTGGACAGATGGGCCAGCTGAACAATATGCGTCGTCCTGGCATGATCCCGAATCTGCAGAAGACGGTCTTGCAGAATAATACCGGTGGCCTGTATGTTTCATAACCCTCGAACCTTTCCCCCTTCTCCCTTCCCCCCCTCCCCCGGGGAGGCAACTTCATACTGATTGGCTCTTGGGCAGGTCCCAACAGCAAATTGCTCATCTTAAGAACCAACAACAACAAGTCCATATGATGCAGCACATGCAGAGAGAGCATTCGGACATTGACATGAATGGCCATCGCCCGCAATCTCCCTCCTCGGCCGAGAACGCGCCTTCACCCCCCAAGCGACCCCGTCTGGAAGGTGGCCCCATGAATGGACAGCAACAGTTGGCTCCCAACGGCCGTGGTCAAGGGCAGGTGATGCCAGGTCAACCCAATCAGCCCGCACTTTTGATGCAAAACGGAATGGCACGGACGATGAATCCTGGACAGTTCCCGGCCTTTCAGCAACAAGGCGGCCCAGCGGGGCAGCAGCAAAAATCCATCCAGGTATATGCTCACAACTTGGCTCTACATCACTCACGCTCAGCATTGAATAACCAGGGCATGCCGAATGGCTTGATGAACCCCGGTGTCATGCCAAACCAGACGGACCTGGTCCCAATGCCAGACGGCCAAGGGATGTATCCCATGAGTGCGGATTTCTACGCCGCGAATGGTCAGATTGTGCAGGGCCGGACTGGTATGCAGACACCTGGCGGTCAGCACGGGAACCACGCTCTCCAAGATTATCAGATGCAGTTGATGCTGCTGGAACAGCAGAATAAACGGCGTCTGATGATGGCTCGTCAAGAGCAGGACAGCATGACCCGCGTTGATGGCCAGCCCCCAATGCCTGGGCAGCAAGCGCTTCCACCAGGCACTTCTCCCCAAGGCAGCCGGGCGGGCACCTCTCCGAATCCCAACGATCAAATGAAACGGGGTACACCCAAGATCCCCCAGACCGGTCTTCCTGGCTCCCCGAGCGCTGTCGACGCCATGGCCCAGGGTCGCGGCTCCCCGGCTTCGATGAACTTCACTGGCCAAATGCCTTCGGATATGAGTTCGTCGTTCTTCGTCAAGGGTATGGAGGGTATGGCCGGTCCGAACGGCATGCGCCCCCCCAGCTCGAACCCAGCCTTTAGTGGCCCTCAGATGGTCCAACCCATCCCGGCTGGAGCCGCGAACCGTGTGCCCAATGGAGGTTGGCAACCTGGCCCGCAAGGCCAACCGATGGTCCCGCAACAGCAACCGACAAACCAACCTCAGCCTACGGGCACGCCTCAGGAACGGGGCGCGATGCCACCTCCACAGGCACCACCGGCTCCAGGCGCTGTTGCTGGCCGTACCCAGCCTGCATCGCCTCAAACAGGCGCTGCCCCTCCAACGCCGCAGCAGGCCAATAAAGCGGCGCCGAAGAAGAAGGACACCAAAGATGTTAAGAAGGTATGGGTGGTTCTTTCGTGTTTCTACTTTTTCATATTGATAAACCATTGGTTCGATACTAATCTTTCCCCCCCCCCTCTGTTTATAGCGAATTAAGAAAGCCTCAACCGCCGCCGCGAACTCAAATACGGCCGCAACTCCATCCTCTGAAACCGAGCCACCTCCGACTCCTACCCCATCTACCCCTATCACGCCTCAACACCCGAACTCGTTTAACAAGACCGGCGCCAATGCGGCGACCAGCGCTCCGCAACAGCCAACTTCTGCGCCTGCCCCCCAGCCGATGGTGCAGCAACCTCCTGACCAAACCTTCCCCGAAATACCGATTCCTGATGTCTGTTTCTCATCCCCTTTCCTTTTTCTTTGAGCTGTAGGCTAATCAAACACTCAGACTGCTGCCTTTAACCTGGATTTCACCACACTAGAAAACCCAGATATCTTGGAGAACTTCGACTTCGATACTTTCCTCAATACCGATGCGGATGCAACTGGATTCGGCTTCGACCCCAGCATATCCTACCCCACGGACGGTGTCGAAACGGGTGCCGGAGATGGCTTGTAAATATAGCCTGACTGTGCTTCCGCTTCTCTTACCATATACCCTTGTTTGTGTAAATTTCATACATTTCACAGCTTCGGCTACTCAGCTCTTGATCTTCTGTGGTACCAACCTTTTGCCATCCACCCTTCCTCCCACTATTCCCTTCCCCGCCCCATTCTTTGGTCATTGAACGATTAGGTTAGTTATCTGAGGATGGCGTTGGTGTATCCCTTTTCATGTTTCCCTTTGCATACCTCTCCTAATCTTTGCAAACCACACAGCACAAGGACTGCAGTCGACGTTTTCTGCCTCCCTGTGGCCGTTATCTATTCCTTCTCGATCAATTTCTTTTTCTTGTTTAGCTACAGTTGGGCTCCCAAAGTCGTCATCTACTTACTATTTGGCTAACCCGCACACTATTGACATAATACATAGCTATCAATACATAGCTAGCAATCCGGCTTGTCTCTCCCCAACTTGTCACCTTCCTCCACTTGCCTTCTTTTTTTTCTCCTTCATGTCTATCTTGTACCCTGGTATCCTCATTTCAGTTCAGAGCACCAGGAACCTGAACGACACGAAGGACAGACAGGGATGAACAGTCATTCACTCGTGTGCGTGTGCGTGTGTGTGTGTATTCTGATTCTTCTTCTTGCTACATGTTTCTCATACTTGTTTTCCCTTTTTGCCCTTCCCTGGGGCTTATGTTTCTATTTTTCACCATTGGATAATTGGAACAGTCTGGAGTTGCTCTGTGATATGTTTTTTTTTCTTCTACTTTTTCTTCATCTTGATTGAAACGGAGCCTCGCGTCGGCTGTTGTACATGGTAGTGGTAGTAGGTAGGTAGGTAACTCTTTTGAGATCCAAAAATTTTCAAGCTGTTCATCCCCGTGGTAATTCGTACACTGCCATTTCAGCGGAGTGGTCCATAGAGCCACCAACCATCATAGAAAAGTTAAAAGAAGCTGTAAAAAGAAAAATGGATGAAAATAGGCCTTGATTTTGGACAGGTCGTGGTAGCAGACCAAAGGATAGATCACATGAATCTAGCCCTCTGGTAAACCCTGAGCTCTAGCTAACTATGAATAGGGATAGAGCAAGAAACTATCTTTCAGAACACCCACTGTCAGAAGTCCACTCAATACAAATTGAACTCATATCCCCCATACCATCCTACTTAGCCGGCTGTTTCCAGCTTTCCATCCTCATCTTCTCCTCCTTCACGGCAGCTTCCGCAAGAAGCGTATCCTCCTTGACTATATTGATCAAGTACTGAACCACCTCCGCGCAGCAGGACTCTCTAACGTTCTCCTCTGGACCCAAGATATCCATGACTTTGCCCAGACCGCCAGCCCGGGCAAGGAAAGGATCGCCCTGGAAATATGCCGCGGCGCTGTATCTGGCTTGGGTGTCGACAAGACGGCCGTCTGTTTCAATTCGGAACTCTGGGAATTCCAAATGAATGAGACCGCATAGTTCTATTTTTTTTTCTCGATTAGTCGAGATAAAACGGGAGGGGGAGGGAACTACGCACTTGCAAGCTTTGCGCTATGAGGTCCTTTCGTCTCATTAAGAATCGACTTCAGCTCTCTATGGGTATAACCCCATCGAGTTTCGGCCTTTGGAGAGCCCTTATCCGGCTCGGTAACCTGGAATCTTGCATTTGCCAGAGGAATCAGGTTGGCGTTGCCCTGCGGAGCAAAGGGCGTAGGGTTGGTCTTTTCCTTCGCAGTCGGTCTTCGCAATGTCAGCGCATCGTTAAAGTAAACATTCTTTTTCTTCTTTAAGAAAAAAAAGCAGGAATCGAAACATACCCAAATGAAACGGGGCTGCTACGAGGGATGGCGGCGTCTATCAGCAGCACTGGACTTGTAGTGTTAAGGGAGACAGTGCTTCCACTGACAGATGTGAGCACCCTATACAGTGCCGCATGTGCGGAGGCATTCTGGGAAGCCTTTTCCGTGTGATAGAATTTCAGAAGGCTAAAGTATGAAGCGCCGCCAACCTCGACTTCGTGACGATAGCCATTCTCATGGACATATCGTGTAAAGACCGGAGCACTCAAACCGTTCTGAGCACAGTAGTCTATACAAACTGTTATCAAGAGCCCATTTAGATGGTGCAGATCCGCGAAGCTCACTTTTTAGAAGCCCGATCCAGTCCCAGAATATGGTCGTCGCGGCCAACTGGTCACTGGGATCACAGGGCACAACCCACGATGAATAGTCATCCTTGAGTGAGTATAGGGCCACTCGACAGGCCTCGGCTTTGGCCTCCGCCTGCGTGTTGAAGTATTGATACTGTCGGACTGTCTGGCCGTACATAGTCAGCTTTACGCGCCATCTCTGTCCATTTGGCTCCTGTTGATAGTCAAACAAGGGGAGAAGGGACATCTGCATAGCCAGAACACCATAGCAGAAAAGCACCCGAGTGCCCGGCAACTTGTGAAGATCAAGCAACCCGAGCGTTTGACCATTGTCTCCCCTCGTCCTCTCCGTCTATGCATTGTTTTTGGTCAGCCAGGTGTCTTGCGATGAATTGAGCACAACAACAAACCATCAGAGCATCAAGAAAAGCCATAGACTGGGATGTATTGAATGGAACGAGCATGTTCACATCTGACTGAACAGTCGAAGAAGTGTCTAGGGAAGCAGGTTTCTCTAGGCCCTGCACTGTAGAAATGTTTCCCGCCTCCTCACCCCTCGAGATATCAGTAGTTTCGGCATTCAGTGGGTTGACTTTGCTGACTCCATAGATTGAAGGATGTCCTGCCCAGTCGCCAAATCCTTGAGAGTTTCTTACCACAAAAGGCGGGGGTGTAGGAGAGAATCCGCCATGCTGATCAGGCCAGGGAAAAGGAGCCACGGAAGAAGACGACTGGCGATCTCCAAGGCTTGTTGTTGTTTGGTCTCCTTGGCCTGAGCTTCTGTTTCTCTTCCTAACAAAATTGGAAAGCGGACTCGACGAAGGAAAAGAGGCTTGGCCAAAGATTGGGGTACTCGTGTTGAGATTCTCCATCTGGGCTTGTCGTCCAGGGACACGCTCGGGGGATCCTTCTATTATTATAGATGGTTGTTAGCGAAGACCACAGGTATAGAAAGAGACACAAGAATATTAGGACTGAGGAGAGGCAAACTTTCAGGGAGGACTTGTGGCTTATGAGATTGGAAAACAGGTTGGATGGTGCTTTATTAACAGAAGGGGTGTCTAACTACTAAATATGGAAGCAAGAGTTGTGTTGTCACCATGGCGATCTAAAAGAGACAGTGGCAGACTTATCAATAGAGTATAGGGGTTTTTTTAAATAGAGGATACTATTATAATTCTATACCTTAACTAAAATTATAACAAGTTCTATATTATTCACTAAAAGAGTAAAGTAGATTCAAGAGATGAATACCAGCAACATATTCTGGGATTAAGAAATACTGACTAAGAGATCTAGTATACTGCCTATTAGCCATGAGTTTTTGGGCCTTTGACAAACATATGGTCGTGCTCTTTATAGGAAGACTCAGGTATACAACAACGAATGTAGTAGTGGGATGGATATTAATAGAGCGCCCCGGAAACTTCAAGTAGAATGCCCCAAGTTGAACTGGACGCACTTCCCTGGATCTGCTCTTGCTCTCCAAGTCTGCTTTGCTCAGTCAATGACTTCAAACTCGACCTTGGCTTTCTTAACCTGAGCCTGGGGGTTAAGGAGATCCTCCAAACTGTCGTCCTCGCCAAAATCACCTGCCTCAGTTCGGGGAGTAGTTTTGAGGGTAATAGTAATAGCATCATCTTTTGTGATATGTACCATTTCCTGCATGAGCTCCTCAAATTCCGGGTCGGAACCTTTCTTTCTCTTGGGCTCACTAAAAATATCGATGTTCTCGCTCATACGAGGCACAGTCTTTGATGGAGAACTTCCATCCTTTGGGGTCTGTCTCTGGCAGCGTTTTGAGATCATCTCGTTGTCCCTGTTTTCCTGAGAGGCCGCTTCCTTTTTACTTCTGACTTGGCCGCATGGACTGACGTGGAGTTTGTTTGTCGACTGTCCTATCTCTGCCGTTGTTTCTAGCTGTGGAATCGATTTAACGCTTGAGCCTGATACCTCTCTGGTGGGGGGCTGTGAAAGATCTTTCAGTGAAGATGCTCGACGTGTCCTCGCGTAGGATGCAGAACGTGCCTCTGCAGCTGCAGAAGGCTTAGTTCCCATCGGTAAGATGGATGATGGCACGGTGGGGGTCTCCTGAGCATTACCGGCAACGAAATTTACCGGAGCATCAGACTTCACCAGTTGATCAAACTGCTCTTCATCCGTGGGGGCGGCAATGCTCGGCTGCTTGCTGTGCTCATAGCTAACTCCGGTCATGCTTGAAATGGCGCGGCTACTCGCCGAGCTGGCATAATCAGGCATCGAAATGTCTTCCAAGGATGTTTTGGTATTTCGACGCACAGGCTGCTCGAGCATGAATGGCTCGATGAATGGATCCGGGATGAAAAGCTCATGGGGTCCAGGAGGAGGAAGTTGTTGGGGTTGGGAAGGAGGCCATCCTGGCTCCCTAGGACTACTGTTCTGCCAAGGAGAAGCAGCTGGAGCTTGGAGGTTCCGATACAACCATGCGTTGTAGAGGGATTGGTTGTCACTCGGAATATTTGCTGCACCGGCGTTCCTGGTTTCATGTCTTGTCGGAGAATGGGCATGGGTATCTTCTGCCTCTTTGAAGTCACCGTATGTGCTCCCTGTCTGGTACTTGAAGACATTCCGAGGGGCTTGAGTCCACATCCCAGCATTTGGCCAAGCAATATTAGAATATTCCAAGACATCTAGAATCTGTTAGCGTACCTCCTCAGTTGTCTCCCAGCATCTTAAACAGCCGGAACTCACGCAGAGGGGCATGCTGGAAGGAGAAAGAGATGATATCCTTGACACGTTCAAAAGGCGGAGAACGGTGGGGTCGAGCAAATCCCTCCGCTATCACAATTCTGATCCTTCCGTGAAGCTCACCCGCATCCCAGTGTCTCTGTTCCAAAATCTCCTGGTGGAATGGGGGGAACCGGAGATGGTCCTGGTTACCGCTTTTGTCCACATCTAAGCTAGTCAGATCATGATCTTTGCAGGCGAAAACGGGATGAAGAAGGGGCATACGAGAACTGAACTCTGGAATTTCGATGTTAGAGGTCTCCTTCGGCAGGCATTTGTGTGACTGTATCTCACTCACCAATGACATGTGGCCAGGTAGTTCTCTGCCCAAAAACAGTGCCCCTGTATTTCACCACAAGTCAGGAATCTGCAGTTCTTGGTGTCGCATGGAAGCAACATTTGACTCACGCGACACAGAGTCCATCGATAAAGACCCTCGTCTCGTAAAAGACCGAGTCGTCCGGCTGCATGAGACTCTCCATCACCCGACTGGGCCGCGGCTTCTCCCAACTATGGATAGACACTCGAAATGGCGTATTGTGTGGTAGACTGGGGATGAAGGTGGTCAGAACGGGCAGCTGGCCCAGGTTGGAGTGTTGAAGCCAGTAGGATGCAGGGTTGATAATAGAAGGATTATGGAGATAGGGTGACTCTGAGAAGGGAGAGTCAGCCAGATATCTTCTCCAGCGGTTGACAACTAGCACCTATGATGAGCAGTACCGACCTTTTTCTCTCGTAACAAAACATTGTGTCTTGAACTCCTGGACGGGAACCTTGGAGCGCTCAGGAAACAAGAGAACGTCCCAATGTTCGTAGCGCATCTTTCTACTTCTGCCGGCGCTGACGGGTGGTCTAGCTCTCTAATCAAAAACGATGCCTTGAACAAATGACCGTTCGAGAGACTGAAAACGACGAAACATTCACAACTAGGAGCTAAACCGTGTCAGAAGATCAAAGTAACAAGCGAGTCTTCCAGTGAGCAGATTAAATAGCGAATTCGGGAGGAGCTTCTAGGCGAGCATGCTTGCCAAAAGCAAGTCAACAAGGCAGGCACCCTCCCCCCCCAATACAGAAGGCACGATGGATTATCCAGGGTAAAGGTAGAAGGTAGATAATAGATAGAACGCTTATTGTCCTAATACTACAAGACCGAGTAGCGAGAATGGAACAATGGAAGGCTCTTTTCCAGGACCTCCCCTGCCTCAACTAGAAAGTACAGCATACACGCGCAATCGTACACCGTCACCGTTAATCATGTCGCGATGGCGCCTCAAGAGATTTAAGCAGAGACGAATACCAAGTGGGAAAAAGGCGGCGAATAATAAAGCAGAGGAACGATGTTTCATGACGAAGCTGAATTTGACAAATGGAACGTTCGGGGGGTTAGGGTGAGGGGAAGGGAAATAAAAGGCAAGTTCGTAGTGTTATACAGGCCGTCAAGTCTAGCAAAAAGCATGACGTAGCATCCTCGGATGGAACATGACTCAACTTGGCTGCTTCATGAAAATGGGGATGAAAAGATGAAACTTTTTGCAGATTGCCTGCCCAAGGTGTAGAAGAGAAGAAGTAAAAACAGCGCATAAATAGACTTGTTCACCATTATACGCAGCGTGTAGAAGAAGAAAAAGATCAAGGGCCGACAACATAGAAAGGGAAAAGGCATAGAAAAGAGAAGTTAAGAACAAAGGAAAATGAAGGGGGAAGGGGCAAATGGGGAGGGGGAATTTGGAATAGGGAAAAGATAAAAGATCAGTTAGAATAGGAGCCCATATCTTGCTAAACTGAAAGCGCTCACACGGAAGGAAATGCGTAGCACAGGAGAAAATGCCCATCCAGAGCTATAGAGAGAGTCTTCGGAGGAGACGAAAAGCAAAGCTTAGTATGACACAAGACCCATCATTGAAATGACGCAAAACTCCTGCTAGTGCTTTCAACAACAAAAGGAACGCTCTCACTGGACGATTGGTAGGAAGGGTTAGTCAAATATCACTGGAAGGTAATTTTTTTGGAGGGGTTTAACAAACCTTCATGGGTGCGAAGCCACCATACTGATGGGCAGGGGGCATACCCATTGAGGGGTACATGGGGGGAGGAGGGGGGGCCGGACGGTACGGGCTACCGGCAGGTCCGGAGTTGTTCTGGGAACGACCCCAGCTCAGACGAACCCGCGAGTTACCAATGGGGTACCCCTGCATCTGGTTGATGGCCATCTCGGCGGCGTGGCGCTGGACGAACTGGACAAAGCCGCAGCCCTTTCCGGGGGGGATCTTAACGTAGGTGATCTCGCCGAAGCCCTGGAAGAAAGAGCGGAGCTCATCCTCAGTGACGTATCCAGACAGGCCACCGACGAAGACGGTGGTGTTGTTGGGGTCGGTGAACTGGTTCATCGGCTGAGGGGCACCGTAGAAACCCATGGGGGGAGCGCCCATCGGAGGATACATGCCTGCGGGGCCGGGCATGCCCATGCCACCGGGAGCAGCACCAGGACCCTTGTTCTTCGGGGTCGCAGTGGAGATGCGCATGGGGCGGTTGCCACAGTAGACACCCTGCATCTCACTGAGAGCACGCTGCTGGTCGTTCTCGTCGGAGAAGCGGACGAAACCATAACCACGGGACATACCGCTGATGGGGTCGGTCATGATCTTGGCGGACTTGCAGGACGGGAATCGGCTCTGGAAGAGGGAGACCAGAACGTATTCGTTGACCTCCGGGCCAAGGTCACCCACAAAGATGGAGTACTCGGGACCACGGTCATCACGGCTATAGGGAGGTCAGTTTTGGAACGGCGCTTTCAGAGTAAAAATAGAGAAGATTTAATGATTGATCCTTACCTGCGATCAGCAAGGCCTCCGCCAGTGGCCCAGTTGAGCTTGAACACACGGTTGGTGTTGGGCATAGGAGTGCCGTTCAGGGACAGAGCCTTGGCAGCAGCAGCGGGGGAAGCAAAGTCGACGAAACAGTAGCCGGCATTGCTCCTACTACCATCATTAGGGTCGTTTCTTTTTTTGCGCTTATTTTAGAACAACTGTTTTTTTTCGTTTGGTTTTTCAGCGGGGAATGCTTACCCAGAGAACTTGTCGCGAATCATCTTGACATTGACCTGCTCACCCATCTGAAACCAAAGGTTGCGGATGAAGTTCTCGTCAATCCAAGGCTCGAGCTCACCCATCCTGCAAGTAAATCGATCAGTCTATCAGGCTTCAATCAACCGACGTGGAAGGAGTCCATACCAGAGAGTAGTCTTTCCGTCGTTACCTGGCTGGGAGCCACCAGCCGAGGGCTCACCGGGAGTAGGGCCCTGGAAAGGGGTGGAGTTGGGGTCGGCCTGACCGGTCATGGTGGCATCCGCAGTCGCAGGAGCGCCGGGAGCAGCAGCGGCACCATCAGCAGCGGGGTGCTGGTTCTGGAACGAGTCGAAGTTTTGGAAAGACATGTTGATATAAGACTTAGATCGGTTCAAATAACGTAGGTATCTGCAGCGTAATACGATGTCAGAGTGCGATTTTTCTTTTCCGATTACAGACCTGCAGTCAAACTTTTGGAGAGCGATATGCCGAAGGCATTCACTCGAATCCAAGGAGCTTTCCCAGTAGGCAATCCAAGAGCAGAGCACAGCACAGCACAGCAGAGCAGAGTGAATGAATCCTACCTTGAAATTCAATAACACGCAAAAAGCCCGAAATTGGAGGGTACTTTTCAACCGAAAAATACTCTGGATCGTCTGGATCGTACGGTCGTGAAAGAAGGACGAGCGTACAGTCGTGATGCACACTTCGTAGAAAACCTTGCAAGGATTGATGGGGATGTTTCTCTTTCTGGCAGGTGAAATAAACGAGTTAGTAAGGCTGGAAACAGCTGAATCAAGATTAAAAAAATTCAGAACGAGTAAGCCTGTGCTGACAAAAGTGATCCAAATCACTTCTGGTCAGGATACAGGGTGAAGAGTAGGCAAAAAAAAAGAAGATAGGGCAGTTGGAATAAAGCCTTCGAATGCGCCGGAGGGAATCGAGAGGAGTTCGTCGCTAGCCGCAAGAAATCTGCAAGAGATTCGTTCCTCCACACGCACACACACAACCACCGGCGTCGCCTAGAACCAGTACTTGTCGGTTGACAGCCACGAGACGATAACTGGAGAATAAAAGGAGGGACCTGGGCGTATTGACAGAAATCCGGGAAGAAAAACGGTTGGAAGGAATTGGGGTGGATATATCGCATTCGCCGGATCCGTCGATATTCCTGCCTCTTCAACCAAGCCGATTGCGATCACAGCAGTCCCTCTCCAATTTTGCGATCCACACAGGTGAAGGAATTCCACAACACAAGCCCCCCTCCGTCCAAATTACGTTCTGTGCGACTGTAGTTTTCGATATTGCGACTGAGCGACCGTGGTGACCATCGAGAGGAGAGATGTTCCGACAAGTACTGGTTCGAATAGGCGAACGGCGCACGGGGGTGCAACGTTTGGTCGGCAAGGGACTTAACAGCCCGCATGGATGCATCCTCCCAAGATTCCTTTTGTAGACACGAACGAACGACGGCGTCCAGCGCAAGCGATCCAGGGAGTAAAGTCGATTACGATGGGAGGAAGGGAGAAATCGTGACCATGACTATGACCGCGACCGGGACCGGGGACTGCGACCGCGACCAATGACTGGCAGAGGGAGGGAGAGAGAGAGAGAGAGAATGCGACATCGAATGGAGGGCAAACCAAACAAGAACATTCGCGAAAAAAAAATAGATAAAATAGAATATCAAAGGTAATTGACTTACTAGACGTAATTAACGCAAAAAGAAAGAGACTTTTCGAACGCAGGGGCAGAAAAGAAAAGCGATTTCGTAGGAAGACGTGGAGCGAAACCTGTGACCTTGCGAAGGCGCGAAGAAAAAAAGGTCCAAGGGCAGCAAGTAAAGCAATCGAAGAAGAACTCCTGCGACGTCGAAAGGCGAGAGTAAGTGACAAGAAAATCAGCAAACCGACTCCGTGGACTTCCGACCAAGTAAGAATGAGCGGGAGGAGAAGGGAGGAGAGGGAGGAGGGGGGAATGAGGGAAGAAGAAGAGGGGTACGGGAGAGTAAAAAGGCTCACAAGCTAGCTTTTCGAAAAGGTCTGGAGGGGTGGGAAAAGGTAGAAGGGAAGAAAGGGCAGAGAGGGCGAGAAAAAATGGAGCGAACCAACGGGACGAGACGAACAAACGAGCGCAGAGCGAGAGAGTGTGAGGAGGGGCGAGGCAGCAGAGCAGGGTGGGACGTGAGAGTTTGCCGACTGCTCAGCAAAATGGCTGGCTCAGCAGTCCATTTGCTCTTTTAATGTGCTCGAGGACGGGGGGCGTTGATACTCTCGACTTTCTACGGATTGTGATTATTGCTCTGTTATCTTCCTATTACTGCATATGCGACCTGACATGATTCTTACTTCCCAATCTGCAGTCGAAGGCTGGGGAACGTCCCAGGATCTTGGGAGAACCCGGCAGCTTTCGTGAAGAAGCTCGATCGAATCGAACTCGTCAAGATCCTGACATCTTGTTCCGTCTCAAGTTCGTCTCACGTCCGTCTCATATGATAGACTAACCAACTAACTGTCTAGGTAGGTAGTAACTAGTTAACTAGTAAACTACTCGTGATGAAGACTCCGTCAGATCGACATTTGCTCCACACAGGCACACACACACAAAGGCACACATACGGCAGGCAACACATATAATCACACCAAGGGAGTCCAGCCTGGTTTTACAGTGCGAGTCAAGCCTGTTTTCAATACAGCAGCTCCACACAAAGGTGCCTGACAAGGTGAGTGACAAATTTCAAAGTTCAATCTTCGAACTAATAAGGAGCCACGAAGTTTAGTTCTTCTCCGCTCGAATAGCTAATCGAGACGAAACGGAATCGCAGATGCAGACCATCTGCAAGGACCAGCACGTCGCGAGGTTTCTGACTTGTCGCGCCCTCGCGTAATAATAATAATGGAGGTTTGGAGTGCTACGGACTACATATTGTTCTTTATCGTCATCAAGTGTGTGTGGGAAGTTGGAACCCAGGTTGAGAATGTCAATCCGTCCTAGCCATTCGCAGATCGGTTTCCGCTCGCAGCCCTTGTTCCCTGGGTCATCGAGATAGCCCATTCCCTGGTGGTGGGTGTGATTCGTGGATGGCTAGACGGGCGCTCGGGGGAAAAAGCAAGGGCGGTGCCCTTGATTCGACTACCTCGTCAGTCTCCAGTCAGTGTGTGTCTTGGGACTGCTACTCCGTACATAGCACGTAAGGTTTTCCTGTGAGACACGAGCACATGGCAGTCAGTAGGAGTAGTAAGTAACATAGTAGTAAGTACCTTATAATATGAGTATTACCTCCGTACTGACTACTTACTCCGTACTGAGTTCTCCTCGACGTCACCAGCTGAGAACAAAGAGACGAGCTCCACCCCTGCCTGATCCAGAACGATGAGAGTCGTCGGTTCTGCCAGCTGATTGGCCAGGCCTTTTGCACCGGCTTCAGCCCTCCCAGCGCAGCGCACGAGCGACTCGGAGCGAGAGCAGAGATTTCACCCCTCGTGGCTCTCTCTTTCGGTTCCCCAATCATCGCTATCTCCACCATGACGAGATCCATGGATTCTGATACCCAAGTCTCCATAATAATAGAGTCTACTGCATACACTACCTATACAGTACGGAGTATGGTTACATACGGATTACTTAGGAATGTGCTCACTGCTCACACAGGCGTAAGGGATGGGGAGGGAGCTGCCCTTGCCTTGATGTTGAAGTTCCATCTCCCAAGTCATATAAAATCAGTCCCTCGCCTTCCCGAATTTATTTCGTGATGTGACTCTCCAGGTACTGCCTGCCCTCAGCCCCTTACGGAGTACAGTATGGACGTGTTTATAACTTCATGACTCGGTCGGATTCGAGGACATCAGGTAGGTACCTACCCAGCCTCTACTCCGTACTCTGTACCTAGGTTGTAATAAACCACTACCGAGGCTTCTATAAATACCTGTACTTACCCACCTTTGGTAATTTAATGGGTTTCGCGAGTCGCGTCGCGACACGCGATGTTACAAATCAACTATTAGGTACGGAGTAGTCAGCTTAACATAATAACTACACATAGAAGACTAAACCAAGCATCCAATTACTTCAGTATTAAGAATAGTAGCTATGAAAAGTGTTACAGCATTACACGTGACAAAGCTGTATATCAAAAATGGACCTTGCTGGGTTCAATCGTAAGTTCGGTACTACCTAAGGCACCTCTTGTTTCAAAATACCAGTGGAAACTGCGTGGAAGTCAAGTCATTCAGGAGTACTACAGTAGGTATACTACTACGGTACTTACTACTATCAGCTAGGCTACACGTGATAGATTAAGGCAGCCGCAGCAGTGTCTGTCCAGTGTTGACACTACTGCTACTTCCTCTGCCTATTTTTCTACTCCAGTGTCCGCAATTGACGCCGATGAGGCTACACCTGCGATTTCGGATGTAGTGGGCTTGGTAGTTCCATGAGGCTGAAAAGCACATGTCCATCTAACTCCGTACAGCCACACAACTACGTGTCAACGCATGACTGGGACATAATGCAGCCCGCGGGAAATCAGCCTCATACCCCTGGCAACGTTTTTCATCAGGGCGATCTTCCCTTCGAGATCTGTCTCGCTCTATCTTCAGAATGGCTATCGATGCCTTTTAAGATCAGACACTGCCAACATATGGTATTATACTACTGAAATACTAGTGTCTCCGAGATGCAAGGTGATACCCTGACAAGTCCCGTTTCAGGCCGAGGTTATGCCTCAGCATTGGTTCAGAGAGCCTGTGTGAGCTATTTATGAGCAGTTACGAGTTACAGGACTTGCATATCCTGCGACATGAAGTTCTGGATGTTAATGTGTTGCGCTTGAAAGGGAGGCCATAAGTCTGCTCAACAGTAACTTCGCTGTCTTGGGTCATACAACTTCCATAAGAATGATCAGTATACGATACAGTAACAATTGTAGAGTGAATCTCCGTAATAAACGTATAATCATAGAATATAGACATGTCGTTTCATGATTGCTGATCAAGCTCATCTATATTACACAAATCACCTTGTTTCCCGAGCTCGTCTCCAAGCAGTTGGATAGTCTTCTCATATACCCTTGCGGCCTCCATTTCCCACCGTCCCGGGGCGTCGCCGTAGTCCTCAACCCCCAAGATATCCGCCATTTCATTCTCACTTTCAAAGTCCGCATCGTCGTCATCGTCGTCATTAAGCTCTTCAATCGGCGCATCTTGCGTCTCTCTCGCTTCTACGACCGCAATCCGACACGTCTCAGCGATACTCTTGATCCGCACCTTCTCCGTCATAGAGATAAGATTGCGACGGCCTTCAAATCCCGGCAGTGGAGCGCCCGTGTCTACATCCTCGCCCAGCAAAAGCGATGCAAACACCGTATCCAGCTTCCTCAGTAGCCGGAACGTGGGCCGCGCCGAGAACGGATACTCGGGTAGATAGGAGGTGACCATTCCCGCGAGCGAAATCAGGTATGGAATTTCAAGTGACGCTATCAAACTATTTAGCAAGAAATACCCAAATGGTCTGTTTAAATGGATTAACATACGCGTGCCGCTCACCCAGAGAATATCGACAATCGCATCGATATCCGTGGCGACCTCCTTGAAACTCTCATACCCGCTCGTCCCGCTCCCATGAGTTTCCTCCAGGGCGCTGCTGAATTTCTTCGCGTGGCGCCGGTTGATGGTAAGGAGGGCCTGGTCGATATGGTTGATCACGGCCGTCTCTTTCGTGCTCCCGGCTCGCAACGGATGGGCTCTGGGTTTCGGAAGGTGCGAGGGTGTCGCGGTGGAAGCTGACGGGGTGGGGGATGTGATGCCAGGTTGGAGGAAGCCTCCGGAGGTAGAAGAGAAAGAGTCCATAACCACCTATTATGCTTAAGCCTCGACAAGTGCCTCGAGCTATCACGACGTGGATGAAGATAACACTTATGTTGAATGAAGACTTGCCCCACGTCGCGTGTCGGTTGGATTGTATGATAGATAGACAAGTTTGACTGATCAAAGCTGAATTCTATACTCCGTACTGATATTATGATTACAAAAGTCAAGAACAAGACTCTCATTAAAGTCGATCTACGGAGTCTATTTAAAGTTGGGATCTTGTGGTCTGTGCACGGAACAATTACTCTATGGGTCTATACTAAACATCATCAATATACAGAATAATAATATTCAAGTGAAGCTATATAAGAAGATGAAATACTATAGCCATATTCAGAGATATCTCTTATTGGAATAAGACCTATTGATATCTTAGTACTCATCATATCATATACATCAGTTGAAACAGATAGAGATGATAGCTTCAGAAGGTGAGAAGATTGGGTATTGCTGGTGTTTGTAGACATGGCAAAACATCAAGTAGAGTTTTGTTACTCTGGCCCCAGCGTGCTCATCATATATGGAGTTGGGATGGAATGCAGAGACACGACATACTTACTTCAGAATCAGAAATGAAAGTAAGAACCCGGATGAAGAAGAACTTTTTATTGACCGTATGGACCAGTAACGCCTCGCTAATAGATTCTGCTGGACAAGATCGACAGGAGATAGATTACTCGAGCTACACACAGGTTAGTGTCAGACTATATTTTATACCCCAAAGCTGGAGATGGGTTGGGGGGGAAGGGGAAGCTTACTCTGATCTTGCCTCTCCGCCTCTTCATGTCTTCCAACCTCTTCTTGTCCTCGTCGAATCTTCTAAGCAACTCATTCTGCTTCTCCTTCCGTTTCTCACGCGACTGGAATCGGTAAAAGTCCTCCAAGCCCTGTGACTTCTTCTTCTGCCTCTCAACCAACTCCCGCATCTCGTCCTCCCGCGCGGCAGAGTTCAGCTTCGGCCCGCTGGTCACCGTGATGAACCCATCCTCGTCCGGCTCCTGAGCCTTGCGCGCCTCCTCCCGCTTACGTGCCTCCGCAACCTGGTCAAACACAACCATGTAGTCGTTCACCGCTAGTAGCAGCTCCGCGCGACTCGGGTACCGCAAACGGTCGTGAGCGACATACCGCGCCAACCCCAGCGAGGGCACCCGGTCCTCAATCCCCTCACCCCAGACAATCGTCGATTTCCCCTTCTTGCCCACCTTCCTGGCTGCCTTCAGACTCGCCTCCATACTCGGCTTATCGACGAAAACAACAATGGCCCGTGCCCCGCTCTTCTGCAACTGTCGGTCCCACGATGCCGGCAGCCGGACCTCATCCAGCTGACTCTGTAGTTCATCCGCTGTCACCCTCTTCCTCTTCTTGCTCTTCACCAGGTTCCCCTGGGCGGCAATGGCGGGGGCACTGTGTGCCTTGCCGGTCGGCGCATCCTCGAATTCCACCCTCTCGACTCGGCCGGCAGATAATTGAGTGCCAAACAAGTGCCGAAGATGCGCTTCCGTAGTATCAATGGGGATGTTGACCACAAACAGCGAGCGAACCGAATCCAGGTCCGGGACGCGAGGCTCATGAGGACGGAGGTAGAGGTAGTGTGTTGCTGGTTCGGGGAGCACAGGAGTACCGGGTAGTTGTAAAGGCAGGATAGAGAACCCTGCTATCTCGGGTGATTCTTTCTTCATGGCGGGCACGTTGAATGACTCTCGAAATATCGTGTTGGGCCAGGCGGGTTGTATTGATTCCTCTCCGGCAAGGAAATTTTGATGCTTTGCGGGCGGAGAATGTCGGCAATATCGAGATCAACTCCCGTCACGTGGTGCAGGCGCAAGTCAGGTTAATTACAAGAACTATAGTTAGAAGAAAACACTTTTCTTTCTTTCTATTGCTGAATCAACCTTTTATCCCATGAATTTCAAGCTGGCAGATGACAGTTAACATGACACAACAAATGAACAAACAGAACTTGAACAGAAAAGCATAATCGAGCTATGACTTTGTAGTGTCACATAAGAAAATAAAATGATATCTTTTTCTCAAGCCTCTTTTTAAATTGAACCTGCCTGGTTGTGTCCAGATTACCGAATCTAGACATTCTCAGGATCATTGATTCCACCATTTGTAATGATATAAGTCGCCTCACGCTCAGGACAATCTTTGGACACTATTAGCCAAAGTGTCAACTACAACAGCTGGAGTAACCCGTCGACATACCTGGAGAATCCTGGATCTTTGCCACCCTTTCCTCGCCGCGGCCCTTACGGAGAAGAACACGGGTTGTCGATGCGTGCGCCAGAACGTGTCCACCAACGGGTTTACGACCGTCAGCGCCGGCGAAAAGGGCACTTGCGCCAGGGTCACTTTGGACTTGGTTCGTCTGTGTTTATGAAACTCGTGTTAGCGATGCCTTAACGAGGAAAGGGAGTAGGTCTCACCATGAGCACGCAAACATTGAACTCTGAGATGGATAGTAAGTAAGCCAATTTGAATAGCAAAAAAGAAAACAGAAACGCTTGGATCTCACCTTCGGCCATATGAGCAAGTTTCATAAGGAATTGGTTTAGCTTTTGCTGACGGTCCGCAAGCTCGCCTCGTCCGCAATAGTCGACACGGAAGCAGTTCATAATACTGTCGATGATCAGCAGCCGGTACTCACCACCAGCAAACTCCTTGGTGAGCGTATTGAGCAGCTCGAATTGGTGCTCGCTGTTCAGAGCCCGTGCGTACGCAATGTTCTCCTGCACAGAGTCGGGGTCTACGCCAAACCGTTCTGCGATCTGGGCAATCCTCTCCGGCCGAAAGGTTCCCTCGGTGTCAATGTAGGCAACCTTGCCGTCCGCGCCTCCGAGTTCCTTGGGGAGCTGCGTGATGACAGCCATGGTATGCGACAGCTGTGTTTTGCCGCAGCGGAATTCACCGAAGACCTCACTGATGCTCATACTTTGGAAGCCTCTATATGATCACAAACAAGTGAGCACATGTTCCTGAAGCCATTTGGGATTCGAAAATCCGGCAACTCACCCTCCGAGAATCGAGTCAAATTGCTTGCTTCCAGTCGAAATGCGGACGACTCTCTTGCGCTGGTGGAAAAGCTCCATAGCCGTCACAAACCCAGAAGCAGACGGCTAGACTTGTTAACACAAGAAGACCGGATTTAACGGAGAAACAATAGAATTTCCTACCAAACATTTCTGGATGGCCTCCTTTATTTTCTCGACTTTGACTTCACTAAAACCTTTGATCTTCAAGAGGGTCTTGCGAGTGGCGCCATGGACGGACTACAAATACCATATAGATGAGCACGGGTTAGAGTGCTGGACAACTCTTCAGAATCAACTTACAGCAACAGTGTAGAATCCGTTAGCTTTCAGCTTAGTGATGTCAGCTGCCCCGATGCCTAGCCGTGTCAGTGAACCGTCGTGAAGGAGGTAGATATCAAAATGCCAGTAGTACCATGGGATTGAATAGTGTCGATGTCGAGAATAAAATCCTATCAAGTCAGATCATGTATGTTAGAAACAGAGCGAGAGAGTCTTCTGGAATTCAGACTATAGGCCTCTTACGTCGTCGTTGAAATCGTCGCTGGCGTTTGAGTTAGGCATAGTTCAGATGATCTATCAAGGTAGCTTAAAAAATGAGAGCTAGAAAATGATGCGGAGATTAATCGGTTAGAAAATAGATTTACATGTCAGAAGAGTAAAAAGGAGAGATTGAGGTTGTGGAAGCGATGGGACAGACTGTATATCAAAGTGTGTCACGGGGTCGTGTCTGATCGAAAAGGGAGGCAGACTACCGTACCTACCTAGGTAGGCACACAGGTAGAGAGAGGCTAGCGATAGTCTTTTTTGGTTTATTTATTTTCCTATACCATTCAAAAAGGTGGGAACATTATTTGAAAATGATGGTTTCGATTTTAAATTTCATTTCATTGAGTACAGCAGAGGTATCGCTGCGTCCTGTTCCTCTGATCCTGCCCCCCTAGGTCTTCAGCACCGACCATCCCATCCATACATCGTTGAAGACATGTTTGCACATCAAACACATCTCTGCTTCAGTCCATTGGTCCTCTCTTTCTGCACTCAAGCAAACCCTTCATCTTGCCTCGTCTCTTTCCTTTCTCTCGTCGCACCTATATTCAGCCGAGAATGTAGCAATAGTAGAAGAATAGACGCCGGTCATGAGACTTGAGCCATGGGTGGAATCCAAGCCATTTGAGATCCTGAGACTTCGTGAAACTTTTTGGTGGTCATATACATAGTAAAAAAGCCGGTGCCGGTTCCGAGAAAAGAATTGAAATAAGACTTAGAATATATGCAGAGGGGGGGAAAGCATTCGAAGAGTATAAGTAAATAGGGAAAACCCAAAGAGAAAAAAAGAAAAAAAAAAAGTAGATGGTGTGCTGTTGAAATGAATAGCCAAAAGAAAGAATCAACAAGGCACTTTACGCGGCAGCGGTAGTAGGAGCCGCAGCCGCGACGGGGGCAGCCTCAGTGCTGGCTTCAGCAACAGCCGCAACCGGGGCCACAGCAGGAGCTGGAGCATCAGCGGGGGTCGACTCAGCAGCGGGCTGAGCAGCAGCCTCGTTATTGGGGCAGTCGCGAGAAATGTGACCAGCCTGAGAGCACTTGTAGCAAACCTTGCCAGCAGAGCTCAGAGGGCCACCGTTAGGGGCAGTGCAGTCACGCGAGATGTGGCCCTATGCGGGGAAAAAGAAAGGGTCAGAGAGTCCACCGATATTAGGGAACAATGATGGTATGAACATACGAGCTTGCCGCAGGCGTAGCACTTCATGGCCTGAGCCTGGCAATCCCGAGCAAAGTGGTTCGGGCCACCGCACTTGTAGCAAGTTGCGGCTCTGGGGAAACCGCCATAACCACCGCGGCCACCGCCGTTGAAGTTTCCACGAGGAGCAGGGTACCCGCGGCCAGCACCAGCACCAGCCGTAGCACCAGCACCAGCACCAGCGCCAGCGCCCTGCGCAGCAGGAGCGGTGCAGTTGCGCTGCGAAGAGAGCATTAGCAAGTCCCGTAGGTGCCATCCCAGACTTTATTCTGCTTTACTTACAGCAAGATGGCCAGGCTGGTTGCAGTTGTAGCACCGGCCGTTGGCACCGCCGTTCAACCGCAGGGTAGGGCAGTCAGCCTGGACGTGACCCAGTCCTTGGCAGTTGTAGCATTGCTTAGCTGTAAATCGACAAATCAGTGTTAATTCTCGGACACTATGGATTCGGAGCTTCTCACTCTCGGTCGTGCGAGGACGGGGGCAGCTGCTGGACTCGTGTCCTAGGGAGAACGGGTCAGATGTCTGTACAAAATTCGGGTGTAGCCCCACGATGCAGTCGTACTCACCAGGTTGCTTGCCTGTTAAAACAAACAAATATTACATCAGTATAGCCCGAATCGTCTGCTATTGCAAGGGACACCAACAGTTGTAGCAAAGCCGCTCAGAAGAAGAGCAGACCTCTGAGAGATCCAAGTCAGCATGGCTTGTCTAGATTCCATAGCTATGCTTTCTCAGGCCCATCAACTAACCAGCATAGTGGCCAATGTTGCCACACTTGTAGCATGCACGTCTCGAAAGCAACATCTTGTCGGCGGACTGTAGAAGACGATTTCCCAGTCAGCCATGATGTTTTGTTGTTTTTTTTATTTTTTTATTTTTCTGCAGTAAAGGTATGATCCATCCGTTTCCATTCCGGCGCATTTCAGATCGTTTCCAAAGTCGTAATATGCTTTAAAACCATGGTGCAAAGCTTTCGATTGCGCATCCAGGGTGGTGAAGATCCGCGCGGATCGAGATGGAAATCGCAAGATGACGGAGTCTCGATTGGACGGGGGCCGCAAGAATGAATGGGCTGTCAAAGACACTCACTCACACTTCTCTCAGCAAAAAACCCAACCCACTTCCTTTCTCGCTTCAAAAGCTCCTAGTCAAATCGATCTACCGGCGTCGTCAGATTGAGAACCTTGAAGAAGCAACGTGCCTGTCACCAACCAGCCCACCACTTGAAGGGCTCGGAAAAAGTGGGCTAACGGTGGGAGGGAAAAAAAATTAAAAACGCACAGAAAAGGAAACAGTATGGTACCTCTAGTCACAGCACCACCGAACCACAAGACAGTCTCCTTGTCCGAGGCGCAAAATACAACCGGAGAATGAGGGTAATATTAATATATAATGTCTGCGATTATTTTCAACGGGAAAAGGGAAAGGGGAGAGCGTGGGCAATGGGCGCTGCGCAGGACAGAACCTAAGGTAGCTCCCGGGCTTTTCCGCATCGCGTAAGGTCGCTATTCATCCCCAGATTGGCAGAATAATGACTTGCAGCTGGCATGTTCATTGACGGCAGTTAATTGTGTATGTACTTACTTAGGTACTATACTATGTAGTAGTAGATGGAGTGCAGAGGCCTATGTCAAGGATACGTCTTTTTTTTCTTCTCCCCCATTTTTTAATCTTCCATTATTCTCCCGAGATGAAAACGTTCTCATTAGTTATAACTAGTCTCCTGACTTGTACTGGTTTTATTTATTTTTGTGTAGTGATAGCAACACCCTCGCCTGTCATATGCTTGGGCAAAGGCTGGCAGCGATTTCTATAGCTCCCTTGCAGCAACATTCCACATAAGTCTTGCAAGACCCACAGCTAACTGTCAGAGTCTGTAGTAGACAGGACGTGTGACGAACATTCTTGCCGAAAAATTGTATAATCCGTGCGTATATGGCCTTTTTTTCTTTTTTTACTCTTTCTCGATGATCGCTGGGGATTTGATCTCACGGCCCTTCAGGAAGTCAAGTCCCTCGCCACCCTTTGGTTGATGTTAGTAGAGAAATATCACTTGAAAGGGGGGAGGGGGGGAGGGGGGAGTATCACGTACGTAGCTGATCAAAGGAGATACCTCCACGCCGACAGCATCACCCTCGGTAACAACGACACCACCAGCCTTCTCAATCCAACGCTGCCCCTGCAGCATAATATCGTTCTTGCTGGTATCGGGGTCGTCTTCTCCCGTGCCCCGGGCATTTTTCAGAGGGGAGAATTCGTCCTCCCGGCGGACCTCGATGGAGGCGAACTTCTCAAGCGGGGTCAGGGGGAAGACGTCGAAGACAAACTGCTCGAGCTTGATGCCGTTGGGCTTTTCCGGCTTAATACCGTCACCGGTCTCGATGTTGATGCAGGGAATCTTCTTCTTCGCAACGTGGTGCGGCAGTTTGTGAGACCAGATCTCGATCGACTCGAAGAAGCGGAAGGAGTAATAGTGGTTGACAATGTTAGCCGCACGGAACTTGAGCACATCCGGCTGCTTCGGGTCCTTGGCTTCGGCTGTCTCCATGTCAATCTCCGAGTATTCAACGACGTCCGGCTTGCCGTTCTTGAGCAGAATCAACCCCACCGACTCGGTGGCATTGCGCTTCCGCACGACCTTGGTGGCGATGTCGACATTCTTTGAGGCGGAAAAACCGATAAAGACCGGGTCGGCAACCTTGACCAAGCAGTTGTCGACGCAGTAGGCGTGGATGTGCTCAATGCCGCGGTCTCGCATATCTTTGCGGGCGCCGGATGTGATGAGCGCCTGATAGATTCCTCCATTTCCATCGGGTGCAACGGCCACCTTAAGGCACCGACGTCAGCTGATTTGAAAAAGGGACTCCCTATTTCGCGTTGATGCACGCCTGGAAATCACACTCACCTTAGACTTGCTCTCCATCAGGATCTTACCATCATTAGAGATACACGGCAGAACACCTTGCTCGAAGATGACCACGTTGCTCTTATCCAGTCCAAAGTAGTTCTTCTCCTTGAAGAACTCTTCGGTGGGCTTTCGTGTCGGGCCGCTCGTCATGACGTACCACGGAATCACTGGCCTGTCCTTGCCCGAGGCCTTCTGAGCTAGGAGCTGCAGCTTATAGATACGCTCTGCCTGGATCTGGAACAGAGACTTCTGGCTGGGGAGCCCGATATTGAAGCAACCCTTCGGAGCAGAGCTCCCTAGGCGGGTGCCCTGTCCACCGGCCATGAGCACGACGGCGACCTTGCCATCTGCGACGAGCTTCAGGCCCTCCTCGTACCAACGCTGGATATCTTCGGGGTCTGAGTCGAGTATCGAGGCGGTGGCCACGTCGGGGAGGGGCTCAAGCGAGGGGGCCGATCCCGTCTCGACCTTGGGAGGGTTGAGTGCCTTGTCAGCCAGTTCGTTGATGCGAGTCGGGTCGAAATTCGAAAGCTGATGGAAGAGTTGAGTCTTCTCCGCCGGCTTGAGCTCCTCGACGAATGCAAAGACCTGCCCCTGGCCGGCCTCAACGTACTTCTGCTGGAGCTGCTGGAACTCCTCCGCAGAAGGCTCCCGAAGGGTAGGTCCTTCGGATCCCTGGATCTTACCGATGAGGTTCGACACGGTCTCCTTGATTGCAGCGGCCATGATGATGTGTTTAATGGTATTCGAGATGGAGGTTGCGGTATGTTGACAGTAAGAGCCTAGGAGGGGTCACCCGGAGTGCGGGGTGGGAGGGAGCTGAGCTGTAATAATAATGTTTAGCACACCGTATTTATTTATTTCTGGGCAGATGCTCAAACATACCTCAGAAGCAGTCAAGTATATATTAGAATAGGCAATCACGGCCTAGATAGACAGTCGCTCTGATATAACTAAGAGTTGAGTGAGTAGACTGGATGACTTTTGCTCTTAAACCACAGCTCAGCTTATTTATTTTTAGCTGGGGCTGGCTCCTCCTGTACTAGTCAATAGTCGCACCATCCATGGATAGCAGATGCTCCTCACCAGGTTCCTTCAGCTCCGCCCTTGGTTGTACCCTTTGGGCTGATGCTGGCCAATCTGCGCCTTCAGAGCGGGGCACGCTGTCAGACTGCAGATGACAATGCGCTCACCGCCTGAAGGGTTCAAAATCACTTTGTTCTGTACTGGTAGGTACGGAGTACCCAGGTAGTACTAGGTAATAGACAGGTACTCCGTATAAGAGTATTCCCCACGATGGACAGTTGAACTTCGTCATGACTACTCTATAAGGCAGGGTGCAGGGGTTCCAAGGTGATTATTTATAGCTGTAGGTATTCAGTTATTTATTTATTTACAAATAACTGCCGTTGGTTCTCGTTGAACTGACATGCGGCCAAGCTTCTGCATTTATTCATTCATCGCCTATCTCGATATCGATCATCTCGTCTCGTCTCCCGAGATCCACGCCCATATCGACGATCAGAATCATAGGGCCGATCTCGGTCTCGACTGCGGTGGGGATCGCGATAGCCCGAGCCTCGATCGCGCGACCTGTCACGGTACTGGCTGGAGCGATGAGGCTCTCCTCTCCGAGGACTGCGGCTGTATGATCGGTCGCGACGCGAATCTCGCGGCCGAGATCGCTCCCGTGGACGAGGACCAGGAGCAGTCGACTGCCGGTCAGGGTCCTTCTTGTCAAAAACCATCCCGTAGTCGTCGTCTTTGGCGCGGCGCGCGTTGTCCGAGGCCCGATACTGGCGTTTCTTTTCGAGGCTGGCGACACCCCCGAAGCCACCTCGTTGAGCAGCGCGTTTGGAGATAGTGGCGTTCCGCCAGCTGTCGGACAGCTTGGACACCTACATAAAATACCATGTTAGAATGTAAAACTGCGACTAGTCAGGGTGAAGTACGTACACTCTGTGAAAAATCCACGTGGATGCGGTGGTCATCGATCAAGACGCCTTGCATCTTGAAATAGGCCTGTTCGCAGTCTTTCTGATTTTCGAATTCGATGAACGCATACTGTAGACTATCGCCCGTGCGCTTGTCTCGAATGACCTCGCAAGATAGGATAGTTCCAAACCGGCTAAAAATCAGATTAAGATCCTCATCTATACAAAGAATGGGAGGGTTAGCATATAATTTAATGCGGAAGTCGCTGCAAGACAACGAACCTTGCGTGACCGGATTGAGCTTGCAAACAAACAGCACATTCTCTGGCGGCTTGACCTCGGCGAAGGGGAGATCTCCCACCATCTCGAGTGTCAATGCCTGTGCCCTTGCCTCTCGCTCTCGCCTAAGCCTCTCCAGTGACTCCTCATCCATGTTCTCGTCCAGCTCTTCATCATCCGCGATCCGAACCGTCGCCAGTTGCGCCTGGGATGGGAGAGGGCTCTCTGGCGGCTCGACTAGGCCCGGGGGATCATCGAACGGATCATCGAGAACGACGGTATGGCGGATCCGGATATCTTTGAGCGGACGGCCTTGGTTATCAACGAAGCTATCGTTAATTTTTTCGAGGACATCGAATCCTTCAACGACCTTGCCAAAAATGGCCGCCTTTCCATCCAGGAAGTCCAGATTATCGCCCAGTGTGATGATGAACTGACTGCCTGCAAGACGCTCGTCCGGATCGCGAGAGGATGGCACGGTCGCCATGCTCACGATTCCCCGTTCGGTATGCTTCAGTTTTGGCGGCAGGGTGACTGGAAATGTCCTCTTCTCGGGACCGTCCAAGAGGCCCCATATTGACGAGCCACCGTCGCTCTCTGCAGACTCGGGGCCGAGTGGATCACCCGTCTGTAACGTAAAATCTCTCTGCACGTTGTGCACCGGGGAGAAGTTGTAGTATTTGACTTTGCATAGCTTCAGGAAGCTAGATCGGAAGAAGAGAATGGCGATCTTAGTTTCCTCGTTCAGCACCCAGAAAACACCAGGGAAGCACAACCAACTCACTTTTCACACGCTTTTGGCGAATCATCGATCAACAAATCGATGACAATGTCTCCCAACGAAGTCTCCAGCAACACGCTCATGGTGGCGTTGTACAGGCGGCAGGGCTTTCTGAGCGACCGCGGTGCACCTGGAACAGCGGAAAGGGCACGGGGGAAACACAATAACCGGAATAGATACGATGCAGGACCACGATCACAAAAGGGACCAGAGACGCTGCACAAGAGAGGCGCGGAAGCAGAGGCAGAGGCTCCGGGGATGGATGCTGCAGGTTCTAGCCCAGCGCAAGGTTAACTAGGGAGCTCCTTTGGTTGCCGTCAGTCGCCCCAGGAACATTATTTTCGGAAGTCTGCTGGGAACGCCAAGACTGGGGCCTTCTAGATGCCCATGCCATCCATCGCCGGCTCGCCTCATCTCACCTCAACCTCACATCAAAGCAGCAGGCACCTGTGCGACACCGCTGTTTTAACTCGACCGGCAGGTCTTCCGCCAAACCCTGTTGGATGAGAAAGCGTCCGCCGTTACTCAGAGCCGGATAACACGGCCGGAAGCTTCCCCCCGGCTGTTCATGGTGCCTGCGAGCTTGCAGTTCCCCCCTGGCAAGTCCTGACAGCTTTGAAATACCGCATTGCCATGGTCCCTGAGATGGGCATCGATTACATGTGTTTTTTTTTTCTTCTTCAAGAGTTAGAGTCGTACGAAAAGGGCGGCTAGTGGAACTCGTGCCTCGTTGACCTTGCCAACAGCATCGCCAGAGGGGAAACCTTACTACAATACGATCTTTCTCCTTCTTCAAATCCACCACACTTTCGTCCCTAAAAAGTCATCTCTGCAGTACCTTTGACGGGATGGTAACTCTACTAATAACCCTTTCCGCGACCCCCCTGGGATTGCCTGACCGTTCCACGACAGGTTGACCAAGGAACAATCGCCATATATACCAAAGGAGATAGCACTAGGTTTCCCTTCAATAGCACGTGGGATCTCCTGGATACTGTCCACTTGATTCGCGGGTGTGTTCCACCCTATTGAATGTGCGATGGCCTTGGGATGTTTTCCCTCGTGGAGCCTAGAGAAATCAACCGCCGGAGTCCCAAGTCCCTGCCTGGTAGATGGCCATGATCTGAAACAGGGATTCTCCCCAGCCCCCCCTCCCCCGGATCATGGATGCTTCAATCAGTATTTTATGGATTGAAGGTTGACTTCTGGGTTCGGCTCGTGTCCAACACTGCCTTGTCTTGGAGTGGAACCGACCGTGCTATGGTACCGACTCGCATTCCCCGTGCCTGAACAATCGTCGGCTACTACCGGATATCCCATTTTATGGTTCTAGAAGATCAAGAAAAAAAAAACTCCTCAGCCGACTTCAATATTCATCGGGACTTCGGGATTCATGTCTGTGGTCAGGTTCAACGATCTTTCTTTTGAACAATCTGATTATCGACCTGACTGATCTCTGCACATCAGGGAGCCGGTTCCCCGATAGTCCATCGATTTCTACCGTTCTCGAAATCATGAAACGTTCATCTATCTCACTGGCCTTGGCTGGGAGATCTCAACCCAAAGCGACTAGGATGGATTGCCAATGAAACCGTCTCAAATTAGGCCGCTTGTAGTCTTTAATATGGTCACTACATTGGTCCGAAACCCTGTCTGCTTCCGCAGCCACAGCTCTTTCTGGCGCTCGCGCGCTCGCAGTGGAGTCATACATATCCTTGAATCTCGTGCATGTCGACTTCTTCATCTGATCTTCATCCTAGATTGGATTCTTCTGTTCTCAATCCTTCCAGCTAGCCGTGTCTTTGGCTTATTACTGGCCTCCAGTTGTCCATGCGTCTCCATAGTCTCTACTCATTAATTATTGGAACAATACAAGAGAGACAAACAAAGAGAAAGAAATAAGCAACACTAATGCCATGTTTTACAACTAGTTCACTAATCTGAATATAGTCTCACCTAAATACTGTTCCTTCTGGGACTAGACTATAGAACAGGTCCTTTGGAGCCACGCTCCAGCCTACTGAGTTCTGCCGGACGAGATGAGACCTGATCAGCTCTCATTTGTGAGACATGGAGGCTAGTTCTACTAAGATATCTGGATAAGTGTCTTGTCCCTCTGGCGGACAGCTGTTTGCTAGATCTCCTGCAGGGATCTTAGGGTTTTCTGATGACAAGAACAAGTTAGGAAAGTAAGAAGCCCTACACACTTCTCTTCATACTCATTCCGCACGCTATTTTCTTTCTAGATCTCCATCAATACATTTACACTTTCGAGGAGAAAAAAAAAGTAATTGAGAAAAAAACCAAAAAAAAATTCAGTGGATGTTTTTGGCACCGCCGTTCAAAGCAATCGACTCGTTTGATATCCTTTAATGCAGAAGCCAGGCCAATCAACGGGTTCGACGAGTAGCAACGACGCACCAGGGGCACAAACATTCTCTTTGCAGCCTCAGCTCCGCAACAAATAGATATGTATCAAACTGTGGGCTCAGAAATATTCTCGTCGGCCTCTTCTTATCTCCTACAAACGTACGAGGCAGCTGCCTAGCCGGTGAAGAGCATTTCAATGTTGAGTCACTTGTTTGCTGGCCGGACCCAAGGAAAGAGATCGTCCACCAAAGGACGCCGGAAAACAGATAGATAGTATGGATCTATACTATATCTGATTCTCCGCACAAATACTAGCCTGAGGATCTTCATCCTCCTTCATCCACCCCCCCCTTTCTGTCTTGACTTGCTGTAATGCGCACCCTGAGCAAGTACCCCCATCCGGACTGACACCACTTTCCGGGGGTACAACCTGGCCGTTCCAAATGCGTGTGACGTTACGCTGTGAAACGATACCTTTGGGGTGTCGGGATATTCTGGCCATCTATCCCTTCTGGAGGAGGGCAAATCTGAGTTTCTCCACTATACAAGTCTCGACGGGTGAGTGCATGATCTCTCCCTGCTACAAGAGCCAGGTACCAGAACAGCCAGCATCGTCGAGCAAGACAATGTATCAGTGATAACTCCAACCTTTGGTGGGCAACCCCAGACAGATCCTGAGCAGCCCTCATTTCCACGGCAAAAGCGTACAAGGCACAACAACAATATTGGAATCAAGACAGCAGTTGTCACTATCTGTCAACACATGCTTAAAATCTAGTTTTATCTCCGGTTAAACCTTTTACTTTTTGGTCCCTCCTTCGGTCTTTTTAGGATACCTGGTGGGAAGAGAAGAGGTCTTGCTAGGACCTACGGCAATTGTTCATGAATACATATGAACTTTCTTTGTGCTTCATGAGACGATCTAGCCAAGCCAGAGTCACTCTGTCAACCTCACTCTGATTCATATGTAAGTCTCACAGCAGACGGTGAGCAGGGCATTGAGTCTCTCCAGCTAACTCGTCCAGATATGGCCCGTTCTCTTTACTCCCCAGAGGAAGAAGCCGGCGTTGATCAACCGCTCAAGAGTGATGCCTATTTCCCAATGACACAGACTCTCAGCAAAGCGCAGCAAGACACTGCCGCTACGAGGGGTAGTGGCCTTATCGGTTCTGCTGCAGACTCGGAGGCCAGGAATCGTACATTGAGCACACGGAGACGGATCCAAGTCGCGGTAGGTGGCCCTTCTACTCTTCTTGCGATGGTTCTGGGGCTAAAGGTCGAAGTGTAACCGATGCCGGAAACGAAAGATCAAGTGTAGTGGTGACTCGGGTGACGGGCAGGGCTGTTCCAATTGCCGAAGCGCAGGCAATCCCGATTGCCAGTTCTTAAGAGTAAGTCATGAAAGCTCTTGAAAATACATGAAAAGAAAGCCTAACTTGTGATGGTTGGGAAAAAGGTGAATTCGGCGGTTCTACAGACCAAAGCCGGCTGTAATGGATGGCCTTATCCGACGGTGAATGTGACTGCTGCAGCATATGCCTCATCCCGAATGGCAGCGTACAATGCGTCGCCCAAGCCATCGATGCTGTCAATCGATTCGCCAAGTCAGCGTGTTGCATGTTTCTCCCGAGGCCAGAGCTACGATCTGGGGAGCTTTGACCCCCACGCGTTCAACAGACATTCTCCTGGCGTCGACTCGAGCATTAGTTATGAGGAAGACCCGTCATTAGCATACACCATCCCAGCGACACCATGCATTCCAGCCGGAGGAGTGCCATCTGGGCTGCTTGCCGACTGTTGTGGATCAACCTGGAACCCGAGGGGATGGAGTCCAGCCATGAGTGTAAGTAAAGGCTCCAACGGGGTCCTTTATTCTGAACAGGATGCGGTTGCCGCTTTGACCCAGCCCGTGTTCTCCTATGTGCCTACTGGTTTGCACGATACCCCAACGCTCTTCCCCACAGTAACGTCGGTGCCTTTTGATGCCCAGGGAAATGACCGCGCCCTTCCAAGCCCTCCCCTAAGTCGAAGCCCACTAGGCGGTGGGTTCTCCATCTTTGAGTCAGGGCTGCCGGTCCTCGAAGAAGGCAGGGTCGGAAATCAATGGGCTACAAAAGGTGGAGGAGTTGCTGCCAATTGTCGAGTACCCGTGCAAACAATCCCTAATGGAGCACTACTCCTCTCGAGCCCAATCCTGCGAACCAAAATGACTTCTCCCAGCGTACCAGATGTGATGTTTGACTTCCTGGCCATGACGCCGAGCAGTGCCTCACCCCGTGCGCAAATTCCTAGCACTGCCTTCGCTGCCACCGTCGATCCCCCCTTTGATTCCCCGGACGGGCTTCAGCCGGTGCCGAAGGAAAAGCGTCGAAAGGGACCCAAGACTCCGATCGAGCGGTCGCTCTCATTTTCCAACCGCAAACCGGACATGTACAACTACAGCAGTGTGGAGAAGACAAAGGGTCTCGACTCGGAAGCCTCAACGTTGGTGAACGGCTTGGTGTACACGCGTGTGCGTCCAACTAATTTGACCAGCCTGAGCCATTCCCAGCCCGCTCCTCTAGCGGAATATTCACCTATTCGGCCATCGATCACCTCACATGGTCCCAGTGGCTACTAACTGTGCTTGGTCAGAATAACCTAGCAAACGCCATCTGCCTCTCGGGTCATAGACCGATCTTCTATGTTGAAAACACAATCAAGAAAACAAACAAAAAGGACCCCGAGGCCTTGTACCGACGGTTCTGACACTTGACTCACCGATTGGGAAGGATTGGCTTCTTTCATTTAATAAGGGAGGACTTGAACCTGATTCATCAACACCCCATCAATCATTTGCTCTCTTTCTTTTTCCTTGGTTTTTTTTTCAAGTTTTACACACCTTTCTTTATCTGGATTAATTGTTGGCTTTCTCCTTTTGTTGAAATTCCACGTACTTACACTGTGATCGGCTTTTGTGCTTATTTTGTTGAGAGGCAACGTCTATTACCTATTTTGTATTGCTTTGCGCCCATGTACCAGCTTTATGTACTGTGTGGATGTCTCTGATACTGAATTGATACCTAATGGTTTTGACCCGGGCTTCTCGAATAGTAGGCAAAACCAGTTGTAGAGTTGATCAAGGCTGGGTCTTTACTACGACAGAGACAGACATGAGACTTCTATGACGCATAGTACATCTCAGTATCTGGATAATATCCCGACATATTTACGATTGACATAGAGGGCACTATGTTTTGACCTTTGGGGGGTTCGTTTCGTTCTGCTGGCGGTATTCTGCTGGCGGTATATCCCTGCCCAAGAAGAAAAAAATGAAGGAAAAGGAAATGTATTGTTAAAGTAAAACAATAAAGGTTGTTTTTTTCATCCCAGAGAATCAATCAATCAATCCTCATAGTTCTCCCTTTTAATATCATGGTGTCTGATAATGAAACGGGCGTAACATTGTTGCTGATGTTGCTGCTGAGTGTAGGACATCAACCAACCAACCAATACCACGCCCGCGGTTCTCATCAGATCCAGCAGGGTCCGCTCCTCCCAGCCGCATAAGTGCCCATCCGGCGACTGTCCAGCTCCAAACCCCTTCACACGACACCGGGAATTTAATCCTTGCTCTTCTTGGGGCCCTTGGTCTTGGCAGTTCCGCGGAACTTCTTGGAGCGGTTCTTCCGTTGCTTGCCTGTATTTCATGTTAGTCGTTTACTTTTGTATTGTCCATTGTGGTATGCGGTTTAATAGATCAATCTTGGTAGGAGGTGTGAGGGAACGTACGCTGCTGTCTGCTGGCCTTCTCGATCTTGGAAGCAGCACCGATGCGGACCAGGCGGTAGTGAGGCTCGAACTTCTTCAGGGCCTCGTGGGAGTCGTAGACGAGAGCAAAGCCAGTGCTCTTGCCACCACCGTATTGCGTGCGGAATCCGAAGACGGAGACCTGGTCCTTGTTGGACTTGTACAGATCGGCAAGCTTCTCACGGAGCTCATCCTTGGAGACGTTGGCGCGGTTGGGGTGGAGGACGTCCCTGTAGTCAAAAATCGTCAGATAAGAGGCATGTAAGATGTGTTGAAGAAAAAAAAGAGAGCGCGAGAGATCCGTCATCGGGGAAATCTTCTAGTATGATTTTTTTTTCCATCTCTTTCTCTTTTTAATGAAACTCCTGGCTTAATTTTTCTTGTTGTTTCCCAAATAAAATCTTCCTTCGATATCTTTCCCCTCTGGATTTCGCTCATCGACAGTAAAGAAGGGTTGGCTTACACGACCATCTGCTTGCGGGCAAGCAGAGGGTTGCGGATGAACTTGCGCGTCCGCAGGGTAACGGGAGTGTCGGCCATGGTTGCAGAGAGTTGTTGACTGAAGACCACCAGCGGCGAGGATCTGCGACGACAGCAGGCGTTGGAGGGGGGCGGTGGTGGTGAGGGTTGTCGAAAGTCGCTCGCTAAGTCGAAGGTCCGAAGTCGACAATTAGATAATTCGGATTTTCGTTGTGCTCGTCTGTTCCGGTGTGGGCTCTCGGCTAGGGCATCGCGCTAGCCTGATTAGGTAAGACCACTGCTTGCCCCAGACCATCCGCGATACTGAAGCATCACCACCACCACCACCACCACCACCACCACCACCGCCACATCAGAATCAAACCTCATCAAGTTCTGGCCAGTTCGGCTTCGAGAACAATGGCCGACGGTGCCTCTCTCGATAAGCTGGTGGCCCAGTATTTCCAGCTGGTCGAACCGCGTGAGCTGGAGCTCCCCTGTAGCTCAAGGCTGGTGACCCCCGCAGTGCAGAGGGCGATTTTCGAGCGCATGTTCGACGATGCACGCGTGTCGCCTGTACCTCCGGCAGGGTATCGCAGCCGGGTGCTGAAGATGATTATTTCGCAGATTGAAGAGGCGATTTGCAATCCAGAGGAGGATGTATGGTCCCGCTGATTAGTTTACTAGGATGTTTGTACTTTTTTCGGCTGCGTCGATTTTTTAGCAACACCCTCTGACTCTTTCTTTCCTAGGAGATCTTAGACGATCTCATGAACTGCTGGAGCGACCTGGTAGCCCAACCCAAGCCGTCATCTTTGCAGCAGGCCCAGGAACTGGCGTATGTGAAGTATACGGCCCCCCCGCACGATGGGGACGATGCAGCTCGCACCGTGATCACCTTGGAATCCCGGGGTCTGATCCTAGGGTCCGGCACGACGGGGTTCCGTACCTGGGAGGCAGCCCTGCACCTGGGCACGTTCCTGGCGATCCCGGCCGGCGCACCCATTGTGCGCAGTAAACGGGTCATCGAGCTAGGTGCAGGCACCGGGTTTGTGTCCATGTTCTGCGCCAAACACCTGGGCGTGGAGAGCGTAGTCGTGACGGATCGTGAACCCGCTCTGATAGAAAACATCCGGAGCTGCCTGGCCCGCAACGGACTTGACCAGGGTGTCTGCCGACCGGCGATCTGGGACTGGGGGAGTCCTCTGCGAGTGACGGATGACGGTCACCATGACGGTGATAGTGATCCTCTAGAATTCGACGTTGCCTTGGGTGCGGATTTGGTATTTGATTCTCCAGTCTTCGGGATTGTCTAGGAACCTTCTATTCATATTTCATAGATCTACGACGTTGACCTCGTCCCGCTCCTGCTATCCACCATCCAAGACCTTTTCACGACATATCGGCTCAAGGAGTTCATCATCTCCGCCACCCTCCGCAACCAAGACACTTTCCAAACCTTCCTGAACGCATGCAGTAAGTTTCTTTTAAGAAGAGTGCCTGTCTAACCTCGAGCTCGCTAACGCATGGTTTAGAATCTCTTAATCTCACTCTGGAGCACATTCAGTTTGAATCTCCTGCCGGGTCGCAGACAGGCTTCTTTCATTCGACAAGCATCCCTATCGAGATGTATAGAATAAAGGCTTAGAGAAATTTCAAGAAATCAGATATGAGACTATCAACTCTAATTGACCAGTCCCCTAACCACAAAGTCATACAGCAACTAGGAAAAAAGTACATGAATAGATGTTAGAAGATATTGTACATTGATATTAGATTATCCTATCCAGAAAAATACATATATAATAATAGAAATATAAGACAAGGAAAGTCGGGTATCATCGAATGCAGTCGCTGGACTTCGCCCAAGAAAAGTAAATATAAACGAAAGAATGAAAGAAGCAAGAGAGGTAATGAAAATCCACAATGAACGAAACGAGTCTGACAGACTTGTAGTGAGAAATATGAATGCCAAGTGATAGGATGTGAGTCTACTCGGCTAGACTCTCGCGGAGGAGACTCTCATCGATCCCCTCTGCGTGGATGACGATCGGGGCCCGAGGCGGTGGCCGGAGCCCGAAAATCGGGCCTGACTGGTTCACGCCGGGGGATCTGAATCTGAAGAATGCAGGTAGCTCTGGTTTAGATTTGTCTGGGTCTTGATTGCTGGGCGCGGGTGTTAAGGATTCAGCGGTATCCTTCAGCTCTTGTTCGGAGGGGGAGGGAGCCACCCCCCACTTTCCCAACACCCAGCCGCCCATACGACGACCGAGCGTGGATTTCTTCGAGGGGATGGTGGAATCGGTGCTGGCCGTCTCGTGTGAAGTCACTGATGCGGCATCGGTGGGGACACTGTTGCCGCCGCCGTTACTGCTGCTGCTGCTGCTGGTGCTGGCAGCAACGGAGGCCAAAAGGAGCTTGGAAGACTGTTCAGGGATGCGGGGCAGAGAACCCTTATCTGCCATGATGGTGGTGGTGGAGATGATGGGTGGGGTGGAAAGCAAGCCGACGCTGGGTGCGACGATACGAGTAGGTGGGCGATAGGAACCACCGCTCACACCAATTCGGGCCGGGGGATGATGAAGACGGGTCGGGGTGTGGGTGTGGATGTCCATTCCTGCGATGGAGAAGAGGCTGTCGTGAGATGTCGAACGGCGGTGCAACGGGCGGAAGGCCACGACCCCGCTACTGCCAGTTGAATCTTCACTTTCTTCTGGGATGGTGGCATCCTGCAGCCCAAGACCATCGGAGGCATCGTTAAAATCCGGAGCATCGACATCAAACGACCGGAAGGGTCCACCGAAGGAGCTTTTGCGTCTTCGCCGTGGTGTGTATTCCGCCAGCGGGGAGCTAAAGACAGCGCTTTCCGGACTTGTAGGCTGTGAGGAGTCGAATCCATGGTCTGGGCGGTCGAAAATAAGAGAGGACCGGTACCCCGACTGGGGTGAACTGGCGAGGGAAGAGGAATCTGGGGGGATCGAGGCGGAGGTTTGAGATAGAATGGTAGATGCCGAGGAGACGGAGGAGCGAGGGAAATGCATTGCTGGCCGGTTGCTGTTGCTGCTGCCTAATAAGAGCGAACGCCTCTTCCGTCCCCGGCGGTGCGGCGTGGTAATCTTCTTGTCTTTAGTCGAGCTGACAGAGGAGCTGGGCGTGTGGTAGTGATGGTGGATGTGGAACTCTTGCGAGATGCGTCGCGCCGACAACGACATCTTGTCTTGCAATTCTTCGTCAAGGGTAGTTGATGGTAGCCGAGGGGTGCCCCCGTCATGTTCGTCATCAGCCGCTTGGTCCAGCGTAGTAGTAGTCAACGGCTGGTGTGACAGAATCTGTTCGCGCAGACTTTGTACCTCCTGGTTGGAGCTCTCAAGCATCTCGCGCAACTCGATGATGCCCATCTGCAAGGTAGCATTATCCTGTAGAATATCCCGCACAAAGCGCGAGACAACTGCGGTGCCGGCGGGAGGATTCCGGGCTAGGTCCGAGGGCGATGCAGCGCTCTTCAACCGGCCGTTGGCGCCATCAAGCTCGCGTTCGACCGCTCGGCGACGCTCCATCCTCTGGACAAGCTCGGCGTGGCGCTCCTTCTCCTCGCGGGCCTCTCGCTCGATACGATCGACCTGATCATGCAGGTCGCGCAGGGTGCACTCGGCCTTCTTCCAGCGCTGGACGGCGGAGCGCTCCCCGTTCTGGACGGACTGCAGACACTCCTGGAGACGAGTCTGTTCAGCCTCCATGGCGCCCAGCTGGGCCTCGAGCTGCGCCGCACGGTTGGCCGAGACGGCGAGCTGGGCAATCTCGGCCTGGGCGCTCTCCAGGCGGATAGTGAGGGCGCGAACCTGCGCATCAGACGAGGCGACGGCGCTATTCAGCCCCTCGAGCCGCTCCAGCAGGCTGCGGTTCTCCTCGACAATTCGGGCGTTCTCCGCCTGCACCTGGCGGCGCTCTTGCTCAAGGCTGTCTATGCTGGCGAGGAAATTGGCGCGGTCCTTTTCCGCCTCGGCCATATAGGACTCATGGCGATGGAGCAGAGCCTGCAGAGAAAAGGTCAGCGACGAGTGTGAGGGTGTATCCACCGAGACGGACATAATGGCAGGACACTAGTATAGCAGACATGTGTCGATAATACCAAGTCCCAAGCAGAGAGTAATTCGGGGGGGGAGACAGAGAGGGAGACAACAAAAAAAAAAGATAGGTGAGAGCGAGAGCTAGAGAGAGAGAGAGAGATAGAGAATGCCACAAGCCTCATACCTGACCTAAACGCGCGGCCATAGCAAGGTCCTTCTCGACCCCGGTGAGAGCGGCGTTATTATGGTCGAGGAATGCACAGTCATTCCGGCCACAGCAGCAGCGCAGCGCTGGAGCGGTGGACGAGTGGGTGGGAATGCTGGGGAGCATTGCAGAGGAATCCATGGTCGGGATGAGAATGTCCCTTGCCAGGATCGTCCATCGATGATAGCGTTACGTATGCAGACAGCTCAGCTTCCTGGTGATCTGATGGGCTGGCAGCCTGTCAAGAGAGTACGCGATGCCCAATACTGGGGATCTGAGTTGTTGTTGATGTGGTGGTGAATATGACCCGAAGAACAACTCATGGAGTCGAAGCGGTGGATTCTTTATGGTATGGTACTGTATGGTACTGTATAGTATGGTACTAGTTGGGAATTGCCAATACGGATACATTCGAAGCCTTGCTTTCTACTAGTATCTGTAGACATCATTATTGTCATGTCTCTGGAGTAGAATTTGGATTTATGGTCAGTATCGACGAATCACATCAAATATATTTAATTCTCATGCCTTTTCGGGGGTTCCTTAATATCGAAAGACTCCGTAAATAATATACATCTGACTTCCCCTTACAGTACACCGCTGTTACACTCTCATCGCGATAAGCGTTACACAACAGCAACACATCTACAGGCAAAGTGTCCGGTGTGACATGTTAATTCAAGTCATTGATAGTATTATTAGTATTTGGTTCTGGTGAATTGAGAGTCGTAAAGAGAGAGAGAGAGAGAGAAAAAGAAAAAGTACTCCGCTCTGCGGTACTGGACTGGTTCACTTTAACACAGCCATCCGTAGACGTTTACTCAGACAGGTGGGAGAGAATAGAGAGAACAAGTCTAGCCAAAGTGACCTATTGTCAGTTCAAGAGAAAGTCGCTACGCACATTGATAAACGCCCCTGCGCCACCGCCTTCGCTGATCTCGTTAACCAGTACCTCGGTCTGTTGGTATAGCCGTTCCAGCGCCGCGGAAGAAGATTTTCCAAGCGAGACTTGATAGAATCAGTATAAACATGCAGTAGGCAAATAGGAAAAGGGAAGAGTGGAAATGAGAGAGAAATGGAAGAAAGGAATACCTAAGATGGCCGAGTTCAGCTCCTCTGCAACAGTCACCCGTCCTGCCGGGTTGAGATGGTGCCCATGGACGGATCGTCGAGGGTCGGGATAAGCGACCAGCGAGAAGATGTCGTCCAGCAGCTTCTTGTCTCCGCCGGCGGGGAAGTCCATACGCAGCTGTTGCCCATACTGCACCGCCTCGGTCAGCAGGTCGTGGAACTGTGCGGTCTCGGGTTGCTCTTCAGTGTCCATGCGTTCGTCCGCGTCCCAACCGTCGTGCATCTGCTGGTCATCAAGCTCCATCTCTTCGAAGACACCGTTGTCATCAGAGACCGCGCCGTTGTTGGCAGCAGAAAGCTTGCCGCGTTTGGTGGCTGTGGCGGCGGACAACTCGTTACACTGCCGTATCATCTCGAGGAACTTACGGCAGCGGAGCTTGAAGTAGATGTGCGGGTTTTCATGCAGAACGTTTGGATAGTAGGCGTTGGTATATTTAAGGGCTTTGTCGATATCACCATCTACAATGGCGGCTCGAATCTCTGTTTTGTTTTTTGGGTATCAGCAAAGAGAAAGGAAAGGAGTGACGTCCAATTCTAGACTTACTCTGCCGGTTGATTGCCTCAACATCCTCCTTAACCTCGTACTTCTTGAGTGGCTCGGCGCGACTCTGTTGCAAAGCAGCCGACTCGGCGCCTACCTCCTCCGCAAAGGCTCGCGCCGTGTCGACATAGCCATCGTGCGCCAGGAACTGGGCTACGAGTTCTTGAAGTAAGGCGCTCTCGTCTAGAGGCGGTTGTAAGTTCGCGGTGGGGGTTGCGCTGATCTGGGAATATATGGCTCGCTTCTCTCGCTGTAACAATATCAGCAACGGTGTTACATGATGAAATGGCACAGTCTACATACCCGAACCATGCCATCGATATCGAAAACAAAGGGCTTCTGTCCGAAGTTGACCATCAAATGCACGTTCGGCTGTTTCTTCATTCCGACCGAGGGATAGAGATCGATATTTTTTAGTTCTCGAAAAGCATTTCCTAAACGATCAAAATTCAGCATGAGCTCAAACCCCTCCATCTAGTCTCAAGAAGAGAAAAGAAAAGAGAAAAAAAGAGGACCTACCTAAGAAACCACCGTTCTTGGTGAAAAATGCCGTCCCCGTTGAGAAATTCACGCCACAGCCGACCGTATCGTTCACGCCAAAGGTCGGCCCATACGGCCGGCTCTGACCCTGGCTCTCGCCAAAGAATGACTTGCCATCATCCCCGTGATATGCCCACGACTCGTGCTCCCACCCGGGCAGTCGCTCAACGGATGCCTTGTTGCTGGAAAAGCCGATTCCGATCATACTATTCCTGTGAGTAACCATCCCCAAAAAAAACATATATAGCTATCGAGCAAGGGGAGAGAAAAAAAAGATCGCCTACCCCTCTTTCGGTTTCGAGAGAATCGTGATTTCAAAGTAATATATCCCGCACTGCGGAGGCATGGGGTGGTCTGCTCGCACTGCAGCCGCCTCATGCTCGTGCTTGTTAACAGGTCCCGTGTAGCGGACCTCAAGCCCGCTGTTTGGCAGTTCGAGGGCGGCATACTTGTCCGCCTCGTTCCAGCGCGAGGGGAGCGGTTTCAACCGCTCTACGGCGGTATCATCATCATCATCGCCGCCGCCACTGCTGCTGGCTAGCGGCGGCTCCTTTTCGATGATATCGTAGGTCATGCCGCGGTGCGACGGCGCCATGCGATGTAGATTGACGTGGCTCGAGGAGGCAGACAGAGACGACGGGTTATTCGTCGTGGCGTTGGCCGAGGCGGCGGCGGCGGCAGCAGCGGCGGAGACATCACGCTGGGCAGCGATCTTGGCCCGATGGGCCGCCTCCAGACGAGCGATGTATCGAGAATTTCGGAGGTATGAGGGGATGAAGAAGGCCTCGGCGGCGGCTGCAGCAGCAGCTGCGGCTGCGGCTGCGGCTGCAGCGGTAGCATCATGACGAAGAAAGCCGCCGTAGGGATCGTAGCGGGGGACACCGGCGAACTTGCGAGAATAGGCTGGCAGCGAGGCCACCGAGGACCTCCAGCCCGGCTGTGCGGCCGATGACGAGGAAGGGTTCATCGTCATTTCTGCATCCAGACCGGAGGAAGGCCTGCTGCGGAGGCGGCCGTCAGAGTACAGCGGCGGCGGCGGGTAGGAGGTGGAAGTGGAGGCGGCGGCGGAGGAGGAGGTGGATGGGTTGTGATTATTGCTAGTACTGGCAAAGGCAGCAGTGCCGGAGAGCACAGAGGCGTAGGAGGAGCGGCGAGGCAGGGAGGAGAGTGGCGTCGGGGTCGTGGTGGAGGGTGAGGTGGTGGTTGTTGGAGGTACTCGTCGAGAAGCTCCACCACTGGATGGGGGGAACGAAGCATCAGTCATGCTGTCGTCGTGATGGGGGCCCTGCGGCAAGTCTGCCCAGTGGGTTCGGTCCACGCTGGCGTAGGGCTCTGGTGTGGGTATTCGCAGTATCTAGACTATCTCGCCGGTCGCCGGTCGTCGGTCGTCTGCTGCAGCTACTGGATTCCGGTTTCCTGGTAGTCTCGTGAGCTCGAGGTTTATGGTGTTTCCCGGTGTCGTCAATCACCGGTTCCGTGAGACGGCCGGAAACAGACAGCGTGACACTGTCACGGGCGACAAGAGGGGCTCAGCAGAGAGACTCGATAAACAGAGATGATAAACATCCGTATCGCTTAAATATCGACACTGGAATAGAGTGAGTGCACTGATGATGCCGAAGATAGGGGGGGCAGACGAGGATCGCACTGCGGGGAAAGACAGGCATCCCAGGTGCTGGAACAGGCTCGGGATAAGGTGTGGAATATCAACCCGAGGAATAATCGAATTATTATGCCATCAGGGCTATCTTTCCTCTTGCATGATCTCTAGAGCAGTTTATCTGCCTGTTGATCTAGTTATAGTATAGTTACTTCTCTTGCTGTTGTAGGCGTCGTACTAAGTAGTTAGTTAGTTACCTGGATATAGTTATATGTTGTGTGCCAGATGCTACCACCCAGATAATTTCTCTCTCTCTCTACATATAATTTGAAACCAATTATCGTACTAGAAATCAGAGATATTAAACAATAGCTAGAATATACCATATTATTCTAAAAATATATATCCTGTCGTACGATTGTTTGGCCAAGTAACCCCTGACCGTGTGATAGCCAGGATACATTATAAAGTATTAATTTATTAGGGATCCCTGAGAGAACCCGAACTGATGATATAGGAATGTCTTTCCAATACCTAGACTGTGATAATGCACTTTTGCATCCAACCCGATCCACGCATCTACTTACTACCTATTGATACAACGAAATAACCTCGACCAAATCCCATAATAAGCAATCCAACGGCCAGTCTGACCTTGAGAGTAAAGCATAAACAAACGAAACCCCACGCCGAAGCTGATACGCAAACAAACAAAGAGACAAACAACAAAAAAAAATAATGTACATGAAAGATAGAAAGATATGATAGGATGGATGAATTAGATAAGATGAAGAGACGAAACGAAGAGTTGAATCACGCCGTCATGGCAATAGGCGCCGCGGCTGAATCGACCATCGTAGGTGGCAGCGGAGTGAGATCGCCGTCACCTAGGTTGCTCTTCTCGCTGGGAACGCCGCTGGCGCTGTGATTGGCCTTGCTGTCACTATCGCCCGTTTCGAGGGCGGACGTCTCCTTGGCATCGCCGCTGTCCTCGGTCTTGGGCGGTTTGGGCGAGCGCCAGGTGGGCAGCTGCCAGAGGATTCCCGTGAAGCTCTTGAGTTGCAATGGCTTGCGCTCCCACTTGCGACAGGGAGCTCCCGTACGGTCGAGTGCTCGTAAACCAGCATTGATGGCTCCCGTGTTGGCCTTGGGGCCTAGTTTATGACCCGCGGCGGTCAACTTGGTGTGATCAATGGTACCGTCCTCCCTACCGTTATAGTTAGCAAAACTGCCAAAGACAACAACAACAACAGCAGCAACGAAAAAGTAAGAGAAAAAAAATACGTACAGTCTCGGTTTTTTCTTCGGTCCAGGCTTCCCTCTTGGCTTCGACGCACTGTCTCCATTCTGTGCCAGAGCTCTCTTTGTGCCTGGTTTGGGTCCGGGCATGCCTTTGCGTCGCAGGGCCTCTGCAGCAGCGGTACCGGCCGCCGGGGTCGAGGCTGCGTCCGATGCATTGTCAACAGATGAAGCCGGCAGCACAGGATCGGTTGCAGAAGAAGCGGGCGAGGAGGGCTCTTTGACCTTGGCCGGCGAGGCGCCGAGCTCCTCCTTGACCTCGCCGGCGAACTGGGCGAGCAGGTTCGAGGGCAGTCGTAGCACAACAATGGCCTTGGAGGGTCCAGACCGGCTGGAGCGGCCGAGAGTAGAGGTGTTGTTTGAGGCAGGCATGGCGTAGGCGTCTAGGTGCGTAGATGTGTAGATGTGTAGGCGTGAGTAAGTGAGTGATTGAGTGAGTGCGAGAGAGAGAGAGAGAGAGAGAGAGAGAGAGAGAGAGTATGTGAGGGAAGTGTAAATTAGGAAAGACAGTGTGGACGAAGGTTCAAGTATTGTACAACTGTTGGATGAGTTGGGAGTCGAGAGTTAGGGAAGGCGACCGGGCGACCGGGCGCGACCGTGGAGAGGGTGTGCGTCGAGCCAACACTTCGGAGGGCGAAAGCGGGCGGCGAGTTTGGCTTTTTTTCAGTTCAGGGAGCGGCGAGGATCTGGTAGGCGCTGGCTCGAGGTGAGGATGACATAGTACGATGGAGGGTGTCGGGAGGATGAAGAGGGTGTCGGGAGGGGGAATGGGAAAAAAAAATGGGACGGAAGAAGAAAAGAAGGAGGGAAGAGGGGGATGGAGCCGGGAGGGCCGCAGAAAGGGATGATGGGATGTCGGAGGCCTCATTGTGGTGTTATTTTTCTCGTCTCGCAGGCCGATGGACGAGAGAACGATGGCTGGTTGTTACCCGTACAGTGTGGTGGTCTGTTCCGTATTGGTATTGACCGTCACAGCCGCGGTATTGATACGCTTACTACTCAGTTACTAGGCGGCCACCTTCGTCTAAGACACAGTAAAACACACCCGGGCAGAGTTTCTCGTAAGTAAGCCGGATCCCAGTACACAATCAGTACACAATACTAGTAACACCCTCAATGATTCCGTTAATCCATCCCAACTCTGGATTTGCTCCGCCGTCAACGCTAACAGTGACGATTCCACGGCTTCGATTCCTGACAGTGGGACAATGCCTGCTAGCTGAGGTCATCGAAGGAGAAAAATCGAGAGGGTATTACCGGACCCTTGCATCTTCGACTCTTTGATTGACGCTGTCGGGTCCATTATCACTCTTCATTCACCCTATCGATCGAACGAGTCTCAAGGGCTACCTAGCACCCAATAAAGATTTACGCGGTCGGGCTGAGGTACGGACGGACAGCTAAGAGGTTCAAGGTTGAATACGGCGCCACCATATTGATTGCCCGAGACAGAATGACCTCGTCTGACCTGTCGGATGATTGACCAGTAATCCTATTGACTATACTAGTAGCTGTAACTATCTAGTTACTATCTAGCACCTACTACCTAGGCACCTACACTGACTCTGCATTGTACGTACTTTGGGTAATCTGTCTTATGTAAGAACTAGCCGACAATGGTAGCTAACGTATACTATACACCACATTATAATAAGAAGATGTAGGTATTAATCCACTTTGCCACTTTTCCTGCGGTCGATGACCGTCTTCACCGCACGCTGCACCTCTGGGCTGCCCCGCACACTGCCCAGCACGAGCCCTTCGCGCATTCCCTTCCGCAAAGTTGTGACGCTCTCGCCGTCCCCACGAAAGGGCGCCAGGCCTAGCTGGAGTAGTCGCGTCGCCTCAATCTCCGTCGCCCGCGACAGCTGTGTCAGCTGGCCTAGCCGCTGCACAAGCTGCGGCGGCAATCGCTCCGCAGTCGATTTTCCTGGGTCCGGCGGCGTGAGTTGCGAGATGAAGATGTGGAGCGTCACCGAGGCACGCCGAGCGAGTGTCACGATTTGGAAGGGTAGTAGGTAAAAGTGGTTCGGACCCGAATTCGATGGAGAAAATATCAAATCTCTCAGCGCGGGAGGAACAAGCGAGACAGGCATAAAAAGCGCCAGCGGGTGTGTGAGCAAGGCAATCTCCAGCGTAATCAGGGCTGCAAACGTGTAGAACCGCCACTAGAAGGGTAGAACGATCAGCAACCGGATCCCCAAGAATTCCAAGATATGTTACGCACATAGCGTCCCCAGTCCGACCACCAGACAAAATTCAGGCACAGAACGGTCGCCAATCCGCCGATGTATTGCGGGATCATCCGGTGTAGTGCCGTAAAGACAAAGTCTTGCATCGTTTTCTGCTCCCCCCATTCCAGCATGTCCGGTCCGAATCGGTCATACGCGAATCGTTTCGCAGGGTTTAAGAGGGTGTCCTGGGCTAGCTTCAAGTAGACAAAGTATGCGTCCGACGCCCCCGCGTCTCCGGCAGCTACTTTGTCGGGATGATGTTGTGCGGCCAGCCGTCGGAATCGCGACTTGATTGTTTTGTCATCCGCAAGTGGAGACACGCCCAAATGTTGATAAAAGTCGCCCGCAACCTGTACCTGGTGGAATGTTTCATATAGCGTGTACAGCAGATAGCTTGTCACTACCAAGATGAAAATCCGCCGGCGGTGTCGAGTCCATCGCGGCGACGGTGGCTGCGGTCGCGGTTCGCCGGCCCTGATCGTGATCCCGTAGTACACATTCTGTAGAAACGATGTCGCATACTGATTCATGCTTCAGATGAGCGAGGAGGTCAAGAAAACAAGCATCCACCACGTCACTTACATTCGGCAGGAAGGCCCATCCGATATAGGACAGGAGAGACGACATTGTCTGCTCGTGAAATGGCCTTTCCTTTCACATCAAGTGGCGTTAGAAGGCGGGGAATCCCGCTAATCTCCAAGAGTAAACGAGCCAGCAACAGCCTCGACACGTAAATCGGGAGTCTGGACTCTGGAGGTGTCAACTGTGTCGGCTGTTGTTGCTCGAGACTATAAAATCACGTGTTCATTTCAACATTAATGATCACGTTTTGAGGCTTCACCGCATATTTCACCGCCTTCCTATCGTGCCCACAGAAATGCCGCTCGAAAAAAAGTTCTCGACTAGGAAAGAACGAACCTCTCAGTCTGTCTGTCGTCGACAGCTCTGCAGAACAGTGCAATTGTGTGCGAACAATGGCGCCCGACACAATGGATATCGATTCGGATCCCGTACCGTCTGTAGCGACAGATATTGAGCGGAAGCGGAAACACAAGTCCAAGGACAGCACGTCGTCGAAGAAGCGCAAGCAAGAGTCGAATCTCCTCGTCAGCGAGACCGCCAAGGAGAAGAAGAGCAAGAAAAAGTCCAAGGGGCAGGGCAAACAGACTACAGCTTCGAAGAAAGAGGTCGCGGTTATCCCCGATTCGCCGTACAGCCTCGTCACCTCAACGCTCTATCTTCCTTTATCACCCATCTCCATCTCCCCAACTCACGCCCTCGCATCGCTGCTGGCGGAACACCTTTCCCCATTGCTGCTCACCTACTACCCGCCGCTGAAGGGCGTTGTGCTGGCGTATTCCAATGCGTCGATATCGGGTGAACCGCCCTCATCCTCGTCATCGCCGACATCCGGCCAACAAGATCCCAACCCACAGCCATTGACACTGGCAACGACAGCAAACGAATACGGGGTGCTGTACGTCTACCTGACTGCTACTTTCCTCGTATTCCGTCCGCAGCGGGGCCAGATTCTGGAAGGATGGGTCAATGTTCAGTCAGAAGGATTTTTGGGTGCCGTGGTGTTGAACTTGTTCTCTGTGGGCATTGAGCGAAAGAGACTGCCTCCAACCTGGCAATGGGTCCCTCCCGGGGAGGAGACCGGCACAGACAGTGATGCTGTTCCGAGTACGAAACCTGGATCCGATGATGATGACGACTCAGACGGACTGGTCAGCTTCAACCCTGACAAAGAGCATTTCAAGCCCGTTCCGCTGGCGTCAAACGAAAACCCGCTCTCGGACACGCTGAACTTGGTCCCCTCTTCTTCCCTGGAAAACCCCGACGCAGGGGCAACGGGATACTTCCAGTCCGTCTCCGGACACCAGGTTCGCGGCACGATCCGGTTCCGCGTCGTCGACGTGGATGTGATCCCGGGTTCAGAGCGTGATCGAGGATTCTTGAGCATCGAGGGTACGATGCTCTCACCGGAAGAGGAAGCCAAGTTGGTCGCTGAAGAGCGCAGCGGTGTGTTACCAGCTTCATCGGCGGCCGAACGTACGGGGCAGTCGGAGTTCGTGGTGGTTGTGTCGGGGGCGCTCAATGACTCGCAGCCTGAGGTTGCAGAAATCGAGATGCCGAGCAAGAGTCAGACAAAGGGCACGAAAAAAGAGAAAAAGAAGGAAAAGGCCAAGTCCAAGTCGAAGGAGAAATGACAGCACTGAACAGATAGATGTATATCAGCAGTTATTATGATTGATTTCAACATATTTTTTTGGTTTATATTCGTCATGGCGTCAGGTGAAGCTAAGATATTTCCTATTCGCTAGATAACAATCTACATGTATCAAATCTACAGAATGCATGTAGTTATGCAGTGTACGGCCAACTTTGAAGAGTTCAAAAACTGGATAGCCCTAGCGCTTAAAGTATAACTACCTAACCTACTTGTCACTGATATTAAATAGTAACATTTTTTGGCACCTCCACAGCCAGAACATCCACCCCGCCCTCTATCTCGGACTTGGTAGGCATGTTGCCCCGCCTCATCAGCTCGGAGCACTTGGTCATGATAGGGTCCATGCCCATGGTCGCGACGGCGACGACGGTCTCACCCTTGCAGTAGTACGCGACAAACTTGGCGTTCTCAGGCTCCCCCTTCATCACGAGCGAGTCCCATCCGTTAGGAGTGTTGCCGCAGTAGCGCAGCTGGGCGCCGAGGGCAGACCAGAAGATGGGGATGAAGCGTTTGGGCTTCAGCAGTTTTTGCGACGACGAGAGGCTGTGGACGATGGCGCGGGCGACGCCCCGGCCGGCATTCTGCGCCACGTTCCAATGCTCGATGCGCGTGTAGGTGCCCGTCCCCGGATCGGTGCCGGGTCCGTGATACGGGTACGTCGCGATATCACCGATGGCGTAGACGTCATTCTGCAGACTGGGCACGGCAAAGAACTCGTCCGTCTTGATAGAGCCGTCTTTCTCCAGCTGGATGGCTGGGTTACCCCGCAGGAAGTCCGTGGCAGGGCGGACTCCGACGCCAATGATGACCAGGTCCGCAGGGAGGACAGTACCGTCCTGCAGGTGCACGGCGCCGACTACACTAGAGTCGGACTCTGACGGGGTTGCCTTGGCCACGGAGGCGTTCAGGTAGAATTGCACACCGGCTTTCTCGAGGTTGCGCTGGAAGATGCGGCCGACTTGGTCGCCCATGATGCGCTCCATGGGGGCCGATTCCATTCCGACAATGCTGACCTGGTTCTCCTTGGATAGGGCATTGCCGACTTCCATTCCAATGAAGGAACTACCGATGACGACGATCTTCTTGCCCTTGTCGCCCACGGCCTGCAGGATGTTCTGCACGTCCGTGATGAAGCGTAGAAGAAAGATGTTCCCCAAGTCCTTGAACCCAGGCAAGGGTAGAGTGCGAGGAATACCGCCCGTGGCAAGAACCAGCTTCGAGTATGGGACGGTCTTGCCGGACTTGGTAGAAACCTTCTTGCCCGAGAAATCCACCGAGGTCACTTCGTCGGAAATGGTTTCTATCGACGCTGCATCGTACCACTCCTTGGGGCGCCATTCGATCTTTTTAGGGTCAGGGATTAGCGCTTTGGAAAGCTTGGTCCGGTCAATAATGATGTTGAGTTCCGTCGAGATGATCGTGATTGCTCCTTTGTACTTCAGTTCGCGAATTGCCTGGATCACACCGAGAGTTCCGCTTCCACTATTGATAGTGAGATTAGCCCAGTAACAACCAACTAATCCAAAGCAGAGAGAAGTCCTACCCTCCAACAATGACCACTCTGTCTGGCGCCGAAGCACTGCATTTAAACACCGGGTCTCGTTGACCAGATTTGATGGCGGACTCGTCTCCCTTGATATACACCGCGCCGTTCTTCTCGTAGACCTCAAACTTGTTCAGGGCATTTGGGGCTGGTGCATCTTCCACATCGCCAGTATAGATGTTGAAGCAAGCTGTTCAAGAAGGGGTTGTTAGCCTTCGCTTTTTAAAGAATGCTGTCCTAGTCAACCTAGGCAAGTAACTGATAGGTAGGGACTGACCTCCATGCCAAGGACAAGTGATGCGTCCATCCGGCGAAACCACCCCAAGCTTCATCGGAGCGCCGTAATGGGTGCACTTGGGGCTCATGGCATGGACCTGCCCGTCAAACTTAAGGACCAGGACCTTGCCATCCTGCACGCCCTCCACCTCGGACTCGACCTTGTCAAACTCTTTGATGTCTGTCAAAGATGAGATGTCCTTGAGCCTGAATTCTTGCGCCATCTTTGCCGACGCTGTCCCTGATAATGCCCGGTAATGTCTTGATATAGGCACTTTGAGTGAACGAGGAGGAGAATGAATACAACGCTGCCACACAGAACGACAACGTCGACTCGTCTGCAAGGAAATGAAACTCCGACGACTCGAGCAAAGAAGCTGAAGAGATGCCTGGCGAGACAATAGGCCCAACCGCCAGCTAGTGACAAGGATACCAACACCGGGGCGGGGGAGGGGTCGCTGCATGTGGATGGTTTCGAAGGTAACTTCTCCTTCTCACTACCACGCGGGATTAGGTACATGTAGCTCTTACGGAAACTTCCTAGCCAATCCACGACAATTACAATGGAAACCCAAGCCGGAATGAAATACCTACCTAACCAGTGTCCATTATTGGCTTATTTGGTAGTATTGAATCAGGAGCTCTCTGCAAGTAGGTGCTAGGTACACAATACCACGCTTGCGCTGCGTGCTGTCGTCCGTTCATCTTCCACTGTCATATCATGCTGTGAGCTGGGTTTCGGAACTCATCGGGACTGTATCTGCGCCCAGAAAACCGGGTTTCCTGGACATGTCAACAGGCGTTTCTGCGTTGTGCGCCATCAGAATGGCGACAAGGCGAGGGGACGATGACGTCGTAGCAGTAGAGCAAGCGGCCAATCAAGACCGACGTTTTGTAATGGGTCATTAGTTTTTCTGCCTCAGGCATGGTTGATATATAGAAGGGGCGAAAATCATAAAGTCATAGTCATATCATACGTTAGTTCTATCCTAGCTATGTACTGGGATGTATCTGCATGGAGGCAAAGCCTTCCGAGTCGATATGTGCAGCAAAGAAAAGAAAGACATGTACATCTAGCTAGTAACGCTCAGTTCTTTGTAATGAGAGTTCACGCGGTCCGCTGGCGTTGTCGGACGGGTATCTTGCTGGGTGAGGTGACACTGAGCTCTTTTATCCTTTGAATTCGTCCGCCGGCCGACGAACGTGTTGTACGCTGGCTCGACGGAATGTTCTTCTGCACCCAGCCGGGTCCCCTTGGGAGTCGGTGACTCTTGGCAAAGTCCTCGTCACTTCCACCAGGAGACACCGGGGGGCTGGACTGGGTCAGATCCACGATCTCAGACATTTGTGATAATATTGGCTGTGCCGAAGGTACCTCATCGTCGGGTTGATGGCTCTGTAGAGAAGGGACGTTGTCGTCATGGTCGATGTCGCCATGGATGCCGACATCGAGGCCGACGCCAGAATGGTTGGAGGCCTCGTCGTCAGATCCCTCGTAGTTTGGAATCAGGGATGACAACCGTAACGGAGACGAGTGCGCCAGAGACTCTTTCTGCCTAGTCAAATGGTCCGATGACGAGGAGTGAAGCAAAGGACTATCGGTGGGCGGGTCGTCGAACATCATCGGGCCGTCCAGTGAGCCCAAGGCTTCTAGGCGTTTGCGCTCCGCATAGGCTTTGTCAATGGCGTAAAATGGGTTGGGAACCACAGATTCGGCGTCGGAGTCTGAACTCTCTTCATTGGATTTCCGGCGCTTGGATGGTCGAGGGGAGTTGACCTCGGAAGCGTCAGTCTTGCGTTTAGTCTCAGGTGATGCTCCGTCGTCTCGAGGGCTGCCATCTCCCAGCTCTCCCATCTGTACGCCCATAACTGATGATGTATCGTCTAAAGAATCAGTCGGCACCGCATAAAACAGGTTCGACCTGCGCGGTGAGCTCAGCAGGTCTTCACCCGGATCGTCGGGGGCAGCATCATAGTCCGACCCATTTGTGCTGTCTTCGACGTCGTCGATGCCCTGGCATGCGATGGTGACCTCCATCGAGGCAGCCGTCGTGTCGAACAGTTCCTGAGATCTCGAAACGTTGGGAGTCGGCGTCATGCTCTGGGGATTGGACGAAAATCCCCGGAAGACAGGTGAGTCAGGCCCTAGACTCGCGTCGCTCTCCCCATCGTTTTCTTTTTGATGTCTTGGAGTCCGTGTGACAGTAACATTAGGCCAAAATATCTGCGTAAGATCACCCTCTACTTCGACTGGTGACTTCTCTTCTTCTTCTACTACGACAGGAACGATGTGGTCCACGGAATCGGGTTCTTTGGGAGAAGGGCTTAATTGTGAGTTGAAGAACAACAATAGGCAGTATGGAGAGGAAAAGCGGAAAAAGAAGAAGAGAAAAAAAAAAGAATCAAATCACTGACATGCTGGCTTCTTGCGAATCAACTCGGTCTAACTTATCAGTTTGTCCTGCCGCCCGTAGAAGCTTCGGTTCGATGAGCTCTGCAAACGACATTTCCCGAACACCATCGTCCTCCACATCATCGTCTTCGAGGCCCGGCATCTCAAATCCGCTGTAAGCCCTCGCACCGTCTTCATCCAGGGTGTTGTCTTGTTGACGACGATCACGGTCGGCCAATTTAAACCTGATAATTCCATCATCCACGCCTTCAACCTCTGCGACTCGATAGTCTGAAACCTTTGGTTGCCAGTTGGTATCCTTGGACATGTCAAGTTGCTTGAAGGCAACAATAGATCCTGGCTTCAAATCACCTTCCGATAGAGACGGAACCGAGCTCATGTCGCTCGGAAGGACCGGAAGGTCTCTGTACTGGCTATCGCCTATTTCGTGATCGGCCTGAACCTGATTCTCTAAAACCGCGCCCTCCGGCTGGACCGCATCATCGTAGTCCAACAACAGTTCAGCATTCGAGTAATCATTCGAGTAGTCATATGGATAGCCATTATTATCGTCTCCGTACTCTTCCTCGGCTTCTTGATACACCAAGGCCCTCTTTCTCTTTCTTTTCTTCTTATTCCAGCCGTTCTGCTGATTGATGATCTCTAAGGCTTCCTCATCCCAGCGCTGCTCGAAAGGAAAAGGTGGCGCTTTCAATTCAATGTCCGAGAAGACGCATTCTGTCGCTTTGACCACCAGTTTTTCCTGCCAGTTTACTTCCGAAACACGTTCCGGTGCAATAGCTGGAGCAGCCAGGGATACAGACCGAGGCTGAAACTGCTGGAGTTTCCCTGCAAGCTTCTTTCGGGTATTCTCTTCCTCCTCTTTTGATTTTGGTGTTTTGACACCCAGAGAACCAAATAGAAGCCGTCGGGTACTTCCCACATCCAGCGTCCGTTTTCTAGGAGACTGGACTGATGTTTCCAGGGCCGATGAAAGCGTCGTTATATCATCAGGCACCACTGCTATCTCTTCAGTTGCTTCCCGAGTGCTTTTTTTCCTAGGCGGGACATTTTCTTTTTCGGGGAAATCATCGATATCGACACCGCCGGCCTGAATATCCCGAAGCAACTTCAGCCTTTTGGCTTCAAAAGCTGATCTCTCCTTCTCCTTAGCCTCGGACTTCTTGTTAGGAGCCGGATTTTCAGCGGGTACATTGTCGGTCTCATTCAAAGCTGCGGGGTACCAACTACCATTGGTCTCTTCCCATGCCCGCAATGCGGCAAAGTCAGCCTCAGGAGGGAGAGCACCGAGTTCTTTGAGCTTAGAAAGCCGACGTCGCATTTTGCACCGTTGGTTGGATTTCTTTGTCCTTAGTGAGCCCCGACCTGGTGGGTTGGCCTTTGAAGGCTCTAGGCGAGCAAGGGCAGCTGTCGTGTTCTCCTCGTCCTCTGAGTCGGAGGATGCAGACTCTTCGTCCGCATCGGACCCCGACTCAGAGTCTTCTTCAGAGTGGGATGTCATGTCTTCGGAGTCTGACGCGGAAGATTCTTCTGATTCCGAATCCGACTCTTCGGACTCGCTGGTGGATCCTTCGTCCTCCTCGACATCACTTAATTCAGCCGAAGAAGATATAGATTCACTGTCCATCTCTTCGCTATCGGAAGCGAGGATTTCCGGGAGCGCCACTTCGATTTTGGACTTGACTGGCGCCGGTTGACTAATGTCGTTCGAAATCATCTTTTGGAAGCGGACAACTTTGGACTCTCTCCGTGGGGAGTTTGATACAGGAGACCGCTCATTGGCCGTGAAGAAGGTGGTGGATGGTGACTTTGATATCGACTCATCCATCGCCTTGGGGCTTCTCAGACGTAGAGAATATCCAGACCGGTTCACCTTCTCGTCCGCCGCATCCGAGATATCGCGAATACCAGAAGCTTCCAGATCCTCCTTCAAATCCAAGAGCTCATCAGCAAGATCTTCGCCTTCGTGGTCGGAGACATCTGCGTCGCTTTCGGAGTCCTGCTCCTCTTCCGGTTCGGGAAGCCTGTGTCTGATCACAGTGCCTTCTCCCTCTTCGTAATCGCCATCTTCATCTGGCTCTTCTTCTTCCTCGGACGGTTGTTCTTCATCCTCACGCAAAGCCGCAACTTGGGTATCGAAGATTGTGCCATGTTGAGGGGGCAATGGTGCCCATTCGGTGTCTTCCTCTTCGTAGCCTGCATTACCTGCCCACCCTGACAGAAGAGTGCGCCGCTTTTTGCGAGGAGGAATGGAAATCGCTGGTCTGGACGAGGAAGTTCGCTTCAGGAACGGGCGGCCAAAAGCCACTCCGTCAATAAGATGTTTTCCGTCGGCCGATATCTGGTGACGGCCACACAATCTCCTTGCTCGCAGATCCGAGGTTTGTAGAGCGCGAATTCTGGAATCAAAAACCACATCATATTAGTCACATGAGTTTTAAACTTGTAATAGGAGGGGGAAAAAAAACTTACACGACCTCATCACCGTCTCTGAGTAATCCCTCAACTTCCATGAAATGAAGGCACTCCGAACCCGCCACTTCGACAGCATAGTCTTCCAACCCCCACTGGCCACTGGATTCGTAATCCTCCAAAGTCGGCTCAGTCTCTAGCGGGACGACCTCGTTAACATCCTCCAGGAGCTGTGCGACAGTGTATCCGCCATTCGAGAAGGCCGCGTTCGGAGCCCGCGAAGATGTAATTGCCGAGGCCGAGGCGGGCACGATCGACGAGGAGGAAGTTGACGCACCCCCGCTAAGTCCAGAGGGCGAGACAGCCGTCGTCCAGAGAATGCGCGTTACGGGCAGCCCGTGACGCTGGATGACGAGGTGAAGGCGCATATTTTTTTTTCTCTTTTGGAAGAGGAAGCACTCTTTTGACAGTCTAGTACCAGCACATTTGAGAGTGAAAGAGAAATGTGATTATTCTTTACTTCTTTTCTTTTTGTTACTTCCAAACCCGACACGGATAAGGGACTCTTCTTCGACGTTGACGCGTAGAAAGTGCGGCGGACACAACACTGGCGGGACGTTTGGTTGGGTTGGGATCAGCGGGTTTCGATGATGATATCGCAAGTACGCGGAGACGTATTATTGTGCTTTCTCCTGTCGTCAGGTCAATTAACAGAGGGATCCACCGATCCACGCATGTCAACAAAACTTCATTACGCGTAGAGAGAGCTCTTGAAGGGAGGTGAGGGAACCCACGAGGAGCTTCAGCCTTCGGGGCGATCGATCAGCTGACAGATGCTGAGAGAGCTTTGCGATCAACGCTTTTGCCTCGTGTCGCACCGGCACTAACCCCCTTTCGGATCCGGGATCGACACCTCGACTCTCGTTAGGAGTTACTCCGTACCGAACCTCAGGGCCCCTCAACAATGCAAGCGAACGAGCTATTTTTGGATTAAATTTACGAGGGAGGAGAGTACGACATATAAAACACACTGGAAATCAAAATAGTTGTTACATGACCAACTCCGGAAATGCATCCACGCTGAGAAAACAACATCAGATAGAGTGGTATCATCAACCGAGATATGCATGGTATCATTGTGGATACAGGGCAGATGTATCAAACGAACTTCCAAATTTCTTGCTCTGCTGCAGAGAGTTATGGCCGGGATTAGCTCGGACCAGAACTCTTGGAGCTGGAGCTGCGTGGGAGAGGCTTCCTGTTCGGAACCCCCAGATTCGAAGTCGGCATAGATGGCCTTCTTTGCGGGGTTTGTGAGTGACCCTGTGGCTGAGTGTCCGGTGTTGGTTGGTATTGAGGTGGGTTATCCTCCGGCGGCCGAGATCTAGGGACCTTTATCGTACTCAGCGGACGCGCGGCGGGAGGAGACATGGGGGGTGAGCCGGAATGTGACTCTGGTGGAGTCGAAGGAAGCATGTCGAACGACTCGGATGACGATGCAGCTGCAGGGTTGTTGTAAAGCGGTGAGCTCCGGTGACCATCAGCTCCCGAGTCGACTGGAGATTTCACATCAGTCCCTAACATCGATGTCCGGCGAGTAAAGGAAGAGGCAACTGGTGGGTTATACTCGCGGCGAGGGCCGTCCACAGGGCCCAGACTCTCTGCCATTGCGTCTTCATAACTTGGCGGCGCATCGTCATTATTCTCAAGAGGCTCAGCAGGCGCAGGTCGTGGACCAGGTCTCGGAGGCACTGGAGGCCGGCCGTTAACATTGCCAGACCGCAGGTCAGAGTCAGGAGGTTTGTTTTTCGATGACGAGGGCTGCCCAGGCTCTGCGAGAGCGTCCAGAAGTGCTTGGGGCGGAGCGATTCCTGAGTAGACCTTGACTGGCATTCGCAGAGGCAAGACAATAACCTGGGGCTGATATATGAAGTCAGCGCCATTGGAAATGCAAAAGAAAAGGTAAATAGAGCTTGCGTGGCTAACCTTGATATTGCCAATCTGGCCATAACTCAGCCCCACCCGCACTTCCAGCTCGTAAGATCTTGTGATATTGCATGTCTCGAATGATGGGGCGACAGTGTTGGGAAGAGGTATCGTATTCCACATGTTCCCATCTAAGGACCACTCAGTGCCCGCAGCATCCGTGGGCTTTCCCAGAGGAGTGCAGATATTGCTGCGACTCAAAATCACCCAACTGCTGCTTTCTGTTCTTGTCAGATCATGGGCAAGGATATGGGTGTACCCGATCAACTCGATCTGGAGCATCTGCAAAAATATTGTTTCCGACGTCCCAGAGAGCTGCTTCACCAGGACGCGGAGCGGGATGGGTTCGTTGCAGGTCAAAATAGACGGGTTTGGTAACCGGGCATCAACGGCCACACGTGGGGTTTCTCCGCCAAGGTCTCGAAGGGAAGGTGTAGACGCCTTTGTGAATAAGCCCCTCCTCTGCTTTTGTGGTGTCATGTACGGTTTCGAGAATTGGTGCTGACGTCTGGCATAAGTTTCTTCTCGTGGGTTCCTCGTCCTTGGAGGCTCAATAGGGAAAAAGTTAAGACCAGCAAACTAGAGATGACCCATTAGTCTTTGTTTGTCTATCTAGGCGTTTGGGCTAAAAGTTAAGGGGACATCAGGAGATGATTGGTGTCTTACTGCACGGATGTTTTCCTTGTAGAACTGGGGACGAATGATGGTTGCCTTGACGTAATATTTGATCTCTGCCTCTCCTGGGAAACTGGAGAGGGACGGAGGAAGAGTCTTCTTGACATGTTGGCGGGGATCACGAGCCACCTCAAACTTAAGCCCGGTGATATTCAAGTTGGTAAGCATGCTGTTATGACTGCTACATGCATTGTTGAAGGGGAACTAAAGACGAACAACCGGCCCTCAGGTTAGCCTGGCTCTTGCGCCGTCTCTCTCTCTCTCTCCAACAGCAATTGGGGAATGCACCTTGAAGCGAAACGGATATTCATATGTCCCTGGAGCAAACGTATAGGCCGTACCGGGTGATCCAGCCTGGAGGACTTCCGGCGTAGGGAACACGGCCAAGACTTTATACAAGATCTACGCAAAACAGTCAATTATCTAGACGAAATTGTTTCTCCCCCTCTCTCCTGAGCAACTCCCTCAAAGGTATAGAGGCGCTCGGGGCATAGATCAAGAATTTATATTTACCTTGTGGACTTCTAGCTCCGTGCGTTTCTTCTCTGAGGTATCCGGCTGTCCATGGCGCGGCCCTGCCAGGCGTGTCTTACTTTCCCCCTCGAGCTTCACCTGGATGCCACCTATCGAAGTCTCGGAGATGAGATGGACAAGAACCTTTCCTGTGATGATGTCGAGATTGGTGAAATGTGTATGAGGTCGGTCCAGGTGAATTGTTGCCGACATTGCGGTGGCCCGGTTTCTGGTGAGCAGCAACCCACTTCTTCTAGAAAACTAGGTAGTAGGTAGTCTCCAGTACCCAATGGCTGCGAAACTCCACAGGAAGGAAAACAAAAACAATGGATTATCCCCGGATCGCCCAAGAAGTCCCACAACAGAAGATAGTCAGTGGTTGATCCGTCGTTGTCAATGCTCTGGGGGGGGGGGGGGGGTAAAAGATACAGGGCAGTATGACGTTGAAAGTCGCGCGGTGACTAAACCCCACGTTCCGTCGCCGCCCGGACAAGACAGTGAAAGTTCTGGAGAATTCCAACTTTCTTTTCTCTTATGTTTAGGCTCTACATATCTGAAAGACATCTATCCCTTCTAAGCCAAACAATTAGGCAATCACATTTACTGGCTACTAACTATAAACTACCAATTAACTACAACTACTAGTTACTAATAATGAACTACGGAGTAAGATCGGTTTCTCGGCATGGCTGCAGCGCCACATTCGGGATGCCCACGACGATCGAGACTTGAAAGTTGAGAGTGAGACTCAAATAGCCAAAAGTCGAAACACGCCAATGATAACTAGCACCGCCACAGTCATCATAGCCCCCCCTTCGAGTTTGGGTTCTGCCTGCAATAGCTGAGGAGATATCACATTATTTGTGACCGGTGCTTCACTATCCATACACGATTCTGACGGGTATCACAGTACTGACATTTGATTGCGTGTCCCTCTAGGCATCAATCAATAATCCTTCGATCTTCCAAGACGGTGGAAGATCAAAGGCCTTCCTTGGCTAGCATATCTGGGACCCATACCGTAAGCAATAAGTAAATGATTTACATTTCCTGAAGGCAGGAGGGATGTATGGATACATACCGGCTATGTCCAGGTAAAAGGCAATAGCATTAAACCTAGCAAATACAAAGTTAGCCAATTGTCAACCGAGAGAACAGGCGTCAACATACTTTCGCCTGTTGCCTGTTAGTTCCCCAGCAAGCCATTTCAACCTGTTGGTCCAATTTATAAGATCCAAGTGGCTGACTCCCACTAGGGTCCCTTTGTACCCCTGCTCGCCTCCCCATCGACTACTCGACACACTGACGAGGCCATCGTTTGGCCCTTCGGTTTGTTGAAGGATCCGGTGTGAGAGGCGGAAAACGGACCAGAAGTGCGGCTGCGCCATCGCTCCATAGGAGAAATACCTATTCAAGTCAGAAAAAGTTCTCATATTACGGTAACCATCTTTCTATCTACCTGACGTTCTCTAGGTCAGGGACAGTAGGGTTGAACGTTTCCTGCATGTATTTGCAGGTGAGCTGTTCAAAAGCCCCAGTCTCAACTTTAAGTCGGTTAAGAGCGTAGTAAATTTGCGGTAGACGTTCGACTGCGAGATGGTCAGTAGATTCTCCTTCTAGAAAGAAAGAAAAACGAACCGCCTATCTGATCGAGGACATAATCTGCGACTGCTGAGCCTGTGATTGTCAGTCTGGCGAGTTTCTTCCGCCGTCATACAGACCGAACCTAACTACCTCGATGTGGTGTTGCGATTGTAGTCAAGGAGAGAACATCGAACTCTTTAGGTTGAAGCCTGCTGATCATGTATCGGGAATCAAGTCCTCTCATTAAATCAGTACAGCTCATACAAGAAGCCATTCAATCTCACCCCTAGTAATCTGTCAGAATAAGAGAGAGAGAAAGCTATAGATAATCCTTACCATGCTATGACTGTTCCTATTAGTTAGATCATCATATCAGCAAACCCGCCACAAGGTCATCCAAGTACGCACGCAATAATATTCACGCCCCTCCCCTTGGCACCAACGGTAATAGCCCGCCGTAACTCTTCTGCCCGCGCCTCTATCGAAGCCAACGGCGGCACCGTCGCGGTGATGACATCCACCCCCTTGAGAGACAATGCCTCCTTGATGCCGCGCCAGTACTGGACTCCGGGGAGATAAGGACCCGCGAGACGTAATTCATCGAATCCCATGAGTCCATGGGCTAGCACAATGGGGTTTTTAGGCGTGGCTGTAGCAGTGTCAGGACACACATCAATGCTCGAAACTTGGAGAAGATGTTGCTGGAAATCGACTCTCACCGTATTCATCCCGAATCACCGCGTATTCATCCTCAATTATTCGCCCAAACTTTCCAAACCGTGGGTCCAGGTGATGCTTCTCCTTATACTTACCTTGATGGACATGGAAACTCCGTCTGGTTGACCAGTTTAAGTTGCGATAAGGGCGTGGGAATACTCGTCGTACCAAGTTGTGGCCTCCGGGTCCCATCTTAGACCCAAGATGTTTTTATCTATTTAATATTTTTTTCAATTCAATACATACCATTCAATGTTTCCATGGTCCTATATATCAAGTTCATGGTTTGATCATTCATGAATTGAAATCATTGTTTAGCAGTGCGCAGGTTTGAAGTGCTGAGCACTCCTTAGACCATTAGCTAATCACTGTTCTATTGTTTAACCTAACTATAGTGATGGGTATAGTTACTTCTGAAACCTTCAACTATCTGCCTATTATTTTTTTCTGGTAATTAGATAGCTTCTCATAGACAATGGTAAATTCTGGTATGGCTCGGAAGATAATATGGTTTGATTTTTCATATTATGGATGTATGCCTGGGTACTGTATAACTATACTATATATTGCTACTATTAACTCTTGATTCTCTTCGAATCTGTCCGAGGATATCATATGATAAAATGCTATGATTTCCTTAGGGATAAAGACCGAAGGCATGAAGTTGGGCGTCTGTATCGTGTCAAATAACCCCTCCCCCATACAGGGCATTCTCTCTTCAGCCTGTCGAGGGCAAGGAGGCCTGGATGAGGATCTAACACAATGATAGAATTGAGAGGCATCTGGTTTGCATCAGACTGAACCGAAATCACGACAGCCCCAGATATGAACGAATAAGTTAAATGACAAAGGTTTGTGAATTATGACTTGTCTGTACCGCTTAATTTAATCTAAGAAGAAACAATAATTCCGAAGATATTTGCTGTATCTATGCTTTGGAAGCGATCTTCTCGGGCACCTCAGCGTTGACATTGATTGTGGCATTGATCAAATCCTCGACGACCTTGTCGCCCTTCTCCTCACCTGCCTTCTTGATCTCTGCGAGCTTCACTTCGGCCTCTTTGTTCGCATCTTCTTCCGCCTTCTTGTATCCGCTCGAGTGCTATAGCCAAGACAGAAACATATCAGTACCAAGACATACAGAAAGCAACCAGGCACCATCGGTGCCAATCGCAATATCAATTGCACAGAGGTCTCTCACCTCAGCCTCGAACTTCTTGAACTCCTCTTCCTTCTGGTTTCTGTACTCTTCTATTTCCTTCTGTGCCTCCGACTTGGCATCCCTTATCCGCTTCGTACGGTCTGGATAGGAGTGTTTTTTTTAGCATCGCTCGCAAGCATGCTAGAGGCGCGGGGTAAAGAGAGGGGGGGGTGTCATCTCATACATTCTCTGGCTAAAGGTTATAATTCTTGTAAGTTACAGTTCACTAGTAGAAGAAATTGATCCAAACACTGGGACACACCTTGCTGAACAATCTTCTGCGCCTCCCTCTCGGCCTGGAAAATATCCGGATTAGTCTCCCTGTAGAATAGAAATGTATGGCGTATGTAACATACATCGAGGAGGGTCTGAATGCCTGCGGAGTTCTGGGCCGACTAAAGGAAACAATTAGCAAACTCCCCGGTAATATCAACGACATACACTTCCATAAAGCTTACCATATTCGCGGATTCCTTCTGATATCTATATCAGAATATATACGTGGCTGGGCAGCGGAATGCTTTTGATCTGAAGCCAGATAAGGCGCAGTCGTCAAGCTGCCAGGCCGATGGCGCGGGCGCTTGACCGCCCAGAACAGCTATCCCCAGCACGCGCGGGCGGTCGGAAGTTCTGCCCTGTACTACCGCCTGTCGAGATAACGACTCGGATAATTTCAGCAACGAACAGAGCAAGAGAAGACAGGTGGGTGTCTTCAATTCTGCATACTTTATACTGGACAGGTGCTAATATCAAGTTAGACCCTTCTGGTGTTGATTTAAAATGTCTCAAGCCTCTAAATTGACCTTGATGGCCACGTCCCTTACCACAATGGGCATCGTTTACTTTGTGCACTGGTCACAGGAGCAGGAGAAAGCTGTAAGCTTTACATATTGAACAGTTGATGTTCTTCTTTGAGATCTTAGTTTTAAAACTTTCCGACAGGCCATGCACAGGGGAGTCGAGCGGGATATGGAGAAACAACGCATCCGCCAGGAACGACAAGCCGAATTCGAGCTACAGAGGAGGCTTGAAGAAGAATACAAGAAGCTGCAGACTGTCCATGACAGTACAGATGGCCAAGTAGGGACAATAGGGAATACAGAGAGGAAATAGCAAGAAGATGGTGGAAAATTAGGAATGAGATAATCCTCTTCCTTGAACTCAAAATTTCTCCTGGGGCGTGATTTTGTAAGTATGGTCCTTCTGTCTCCTGTTGGATCCGATCACTGGGCTAGTTAGCAGTTACTGATAGTCCATCTAGTCCCTCACTTGACATGGCCAATTGTGGTCCTACGACGCTGCATCTGATATATACTTACCTGTACAATAGCGAAAGCATGAATCCATTCTTCTCTGCCTAAATATCAACTATACGCTGCAGATTCAGATGGTGGATGGAGCAAGGGCCCTTGGTTGACCTGGAGGGCTTACAAAAAGTAAGCTGAGGCTTCTTCATGATTGTCATTATGTAATGATATGGATCCCCCTTTCTCGCCCATAGGCCACAGCATCTGATGATACATCGTCACAGCCTCTGACGATCAGCTGTTGAAGCTTTGATTTTGTATGGTTATCACTTGTCCGCGCATCTGCCAGGTTTTTGACTGCACATCCGGTAATCTGACTGTATGATAGATTGAGGGTTTTGAGACTTCCAAGGCGTTCCATAAGTATACTGATGAATCTGTCGTCAAGACCCCGCATCATGCAGAGGCTGAGCGTTTCCAAATTACTCAGAGCACCTTGATCCAAAAGGACACGGAGGTCGGAAGCTTTGCACCCGATGAGAGAATCCAGATGTAAGGTGCTGAGAGGTGGTTTGGCAGTGATGAGAAAGTGATCCAAACTACATAACGAGTTCCAAGGTATATCATCCAAGATCAATGTTCTCAGATTGGATAACCTGGTGCCCTCTTCAACTTCAACAAAACGCGATGGAGTCCTTCCTCCTGCAATACGCAGATACTCGAGACCTAGCGGCAGCCTGCAAGGTTCTCTGAGCTCCATACCTTTGAGTTCTAGTCTCCTGAGGCATGAAAAATCAATCATGTTGATAGAAATGGGATATGGATTCCAGGTTTCTGGCTCCCATTCCAGACGTAACTCTTCTAGATTTGGAATAAGACAGCCTCCGCCTTGAATAGGCTGGGGCTGGGCGAGTCATTAGCAAGATCTTAATATTTGACCCACAGCAAGATCATTAGAAAGTAGCGTACCTCTCCTTCAATCCCGGGAACTTCAAGTGGCAGAGTCTCGCCGAACCCTGAGATTGTTGAAGCATCTTCTGAGCGGAGAGAGATACTTTTGATATTTGGAAGAGGGAGCGGCCATGTCACTTTAGCCGAGAGCTCGCCTCTAGTTTTGAGGAAGGTCACCGATTCAAGAAGGGGGAATCCCGCCAGAAGATTGACCGCACACGCCTGAGGGACCGTCGTGTGTTGCGAAAATGTGAGACTTTTCAGTTTCTGTGACTTTTGAAACAGGCCGAGAAACTTTGTGATCCCATACGGTATCCAAACTTCTAGATGCTCAAGATTTGGACATCGACTCAGGAGTTCCATCGTTTTGTCTGTTGCGGATAATGATATATTGGCAATAATGGCATGCGTAAGCATGGCTTTAGATCGACGAATATATGAACGCACGGAGGTCCAATTTATTTTTCCGCGAGCTCGCCGGAGATCAATTTGCATCCAAAGTTTCGGAAAAGAGCTTAGAAAACGTTCCCAGCCTTTCGATACCCGCAATATTGCGCTACATATTTGATTAGCAAACCCAAGCAATCCTATTTTCGAGAGAACCTACACAATCTGTTTAAAGTCGAAATGTTGTAAGACCATGGCCGCCATTTCAAGCGGCAGGACGGTGAAGGGGTCTTTGCATGTTGCGAGTTTTCCTTGGAGCTTGTCGTGTAATTGTTGTAGTAGCTGTAACCATCGTCAGGTTAGACAATAGTTCGAGCACCAGCCTGACTGTTACTAATCGCAAAACATACCTCGCGGCCTGGACTATCTTCCGATAAATTTTTAAGCGCATACGCGTAGACTTCCTGGGCCTTCTCAGGCTTTCCACTGAGGAGAAGCACTTTCGCACAACGTAGGTATCCCTTGAGGATTATTAACAGGCCATCACTGGCATAGCAACCACGTACCTACCCGTTGGTCATTCTTGCATTTCTTGATCATCTGCTTTGCATCTCGTAACGCCAAGTCATATTGCGATAGCTTGGTGTAGGCAGCGGCTCGGTTGTCCAGGATGCCCAGCGAGTCTGCATTCTTATCGACCAAAGCCTATCGATCCATCCTGTGTCAACTGCACTGTTCAATTCTAGTCCTCGTTGAAGAAAAACGACATTTCTCACGCTTCTCTTGGTACCTCTGAAAAAGCCGTCACTGCTGCCCGGAACTCTCCCTTCTTGTACAACTCCTGGCCTTGCTTCTGCGAGCTACTGCCATTACGGCGGACGACCATTGCATCTAATGAACAAGGCAGTCAACTGGTGATAAGAAGCTTTTGATAGTGATGGAGAGGAAGAGATCCTGGTGACCAAGGGAGAACTGCCAGGAAGCAATTCGGAGTACTATCAAAGATAACGCGCCGCGCGACGGACCGTTTTTACCTCTTTGGGTAAATTACTTTCTCACGGCAACGGAACGCGCTTGTGTACAACAGGCTAGTCCTATTGTAGTTAGCGCATATAATTGCGTCTTTAGCCCAGGACCCCCACCGTAGCTGGGGTGTTTACCTTCTTCCGCATTGGGTTTACCGCCGTTTTTGCGGTGAAGGTTCCATATTTACGGGATTGTCCAACGGCCACAAAGGCAGGCAACCGCTTTGCATCCTCCTGTCAGTGACGAAAGGCGAGCTGAGCTCACGTCGTCACCATGGAGCCCCAGAATCTGCTGGCAGCGTCTACCTACATCAATAACCTTCTTCTTGCTCGCGGTCTGCTGAAGAGCGGAAGACCCATCGAGTTTGCGAGCCCGGAAAATGAAGAGGGGGGCACGGAGGCAACAATGGCGAGGGTGATAAACCTCGTCAATGATCTAGTAATAAGGAGAGACGTATGTTTTATTTTTCCGATTCAATGCATATATTCAAGTGTTATGGTCTAAAGCAAAGACAGCGCGAGGCCGAACACCGAGAGAACCTAGCGACTACGGTCCGGACGTTAAGAGCGACGGAGTCACAACAAACCCTGGAGATTGTATGTTGCTATATACCTACTGTGTGAAACGAAAAAAAAGGCCTAACACAGATTTAAAGGGAAAACTCAAAACGAAGGCAACAGAGTTAACCAGGTCCCTGGCCCTTGCAGATGCTCAGGAGCGCGCCATCAAAGCTAGTTTTTCAAGCGCTGAGTCGACGATCCGGACCCTCAAAGAACAGATCCAACGAGTTAAGGCAACCCTCACTCAAGTCCGGGCACAGTGCGCCAATGATATCCGCAAGCGAGATCTGGAATTACAAAAATTGAAGTCTCACCTGGCCGACCGGCAGAGAGGAAAGCGGGATGGGCTAGGCGTGACAACAATCAATATCAATCCTATTGCCGAACGAAGCTCTAGGCCAAGGTCCGTCCTAGGGGGTGAAGGGTTGAACTGTCCGGGGTACAGCCTGAAACAAGAAACAACCGAGTTCTTGACGGAATTATGCCAGAATCTTAGCGATGAGAACGATACCTTGATTGTTCTTGCTAGGAATACTGTCCAAACGTTGAAAGATCTCCAAGGCTTGCCTCAAACCGATGAAGAGGAAGGGAACCCCACCATATGCTCAAGCGCTGGGCCACAGAAGCCTTCGAATGGCCCCGTAACGACACTTCCGGCATCATGTGAGGAACTCTCGGACCAAATGAGCATCGTTCTCGAGCATTTGAGAACGCTGCTCACTAACCCTTCCTTTGTTCCTTTGGAGGAAGTGGAGATGCGTGACGAGGAGATCAAGAGCCTGCGTGAAGGCTGGGAGAAGATGGAAAGCCGCTGGAAACAAGCGGTCATCCTAATGGACGGCTGGCATAAACGCATTGCGAACGGCGGAGATTCAATACAGATTGATGAGCTTCAGAGGGGCATGGATCTTGATCTCCATTTAAGCCCGAATCTTGTGGAAGCAACAGCTGAAATGACAGCTGAAATCGAGACGACTGCTCACCCTCCGATATTCAGTGACGAGACCTCGGGTGAACCAGGGAATGACCGCAAAGACGCCGAAACCGATGAGGTTTCTTCCTCCAACGAGGCTTCGAAGCGATCTAAAGAACGAAAGACTTTGAAGGTTCCCAGCCGTGCCTTGAAGGAGCGAAATGATAACGTCCGGCCGGCGCGGTCACCACGAAAGGTCTCATTTACTCCCGGGCTGCAAGGCTCGCCGTGCAACCCTGTCAGCGAGGAGGATGAAACCCTGCTTGTCAAAGCACATAAGTCCGAGGCCGTGACTCAACGGCATGGGAAGAAGAAGGCTGACACGCAGAAACCACAGGTAGGCATTGACAAAGCATCAAAAGTGGGGGAGACTTACAGCGCTAACAAGGAACAGGACGTGCAAGTATCCCAGCAAATGAGCATATTCCAGAAGCTGGCAGCTGTGGAGGATGAAGCTCGAGCGGCCGAGCAGGCCAGGAAGCAGTCAGAAAGCCGCAAGAGAGGCCGAGGTGCTGTCAAAAGCACCGTTCGACCTGCTGCAGGGCGACGCCGCAGCACACTGACCCACGATGAACTCGACGAGCTAATGGGAGTACCAGCCCGCTCGTAGGTTTAATTTTTGGACATTGCAGCTCGATACCCTCTCATCTGTTTGGAACGTATTGTATAGAGATGTGAAGCTATCACCTGTACATATTAACATTTCATATTCTCTATGGAATTGGCTACTTTAATAATAAATTAATACCGCTCATCTAAATATATAAGAGTATTCATTATCTTTTACTTTACAGAAGTATTCTTGAATCATATTATGTAGTATGGGCGAACAAAAATGTTGTTCGGCTTTTAATCATTTGGGATACCTTAAGTTGCCGCCAACCTCGGCAACTCGTGGACTCTCCCCCCTCCATCCACAGGACACAGGACACATCTAGCGATAGACAGGAGGATTGTGAACAAGATTATCCTTCTAGTACATCAATATATTCAACCCCGGAGAAATACATTGAAATTTTAGAGTCTGTTCCCTGATTGGAACCTTGCTTATGGGAAACCCCCGTACTGACTCTCATCGCAGGAGTATCGCGTGTCATTAAAATAGTTATCTGGTAACTAATACTATTAAATATTTCATATCTACGCCATGTCAAGAGAGGAACCGGCATCAGTTTTCCATGGCTGGGTTGCCCACAACGCCACCGACCCTCTAAAATACACGACTTTCACACCCAAGCCCTTCACCGACAGCGACATCGAGATCCAAGTCTCGCACTGCGGCGTGTGCGGGACGGACGTGCACACGATTCGCTCCGGCTGGGGCCCGACGCGGTACCCGTGTGTCTGCGGGCACGAGATCATCGGCACAGTCACGCGTGTCGGGTCGAGTGTTACATCATCGCAAGAGTTTCGAATCGGGGACCGCGTCGGGGTGGGTGCGCAGAGCATGTCGTGTCTACGCGCGGACTGTGAGGCGTGTGCGGACGGGAGGGAGAACTACTGTCCGCGAATGACGGGGACGTATAACGCGCGGTACGCGGATAGTAGTAAAAGCCCGTCGTATGGCGGGTTTGCGACGCACTGGCGCGGGCCCGCGCACTTTGTGTTCAAGATCCCCGACGGATTACCCTCTGCCCAGGCGGCGCCGCTGCTCTGCGGCGGGGTGACGATGTTTGCACCGTTGCGCAAGTACGGCGCCGGGCCTGGAATCTCTGTTGGGATCGTGGGCGTCGGCGGCCTGGGACATATGGGGATCCTGTTCGCCAAAGCGATGGGGTGTGCGCGGGTGGTTGCCATTTCGCGCACGTCGGGCAAGCGGTCCGACGCACTGGAGGGGCTTGGTGCAGACGCGTTCATCGCCACGGCCGAAGATGCGAACTGGGCCAAGGCCAACTCCCGCACGCTCGACTTGATCATCTGCACGGTTTCGTCGCCGGATATGCCGTTTGCGCAGTACCTGCGTCTCCTCAAATTGGATGGCGTATTCGTACAGGTGGGCGCCCCCGAGGAACCCCTGCCGGCGCTGAATGCCTGGTCCTTGATCCAGAAGGGAGTCAAGGTCACCGGGTCGAGTATCGGGTCGCCGGGGGAGATTAGGCAGATGCTGCAGCTTGCGGCGGACAAGCGGGTGAGCCCATGGGTCCAAGTGCGGCCTATGCACGAGGTCAATGATACACTGGCAGATATGCATCACGGTAAGGCCCGTTATCGGTATGTGCTTGTTAATAAGGAGGCGCAGGCGAGGTTGTAGTAGACGCAGATAGCTAGCTGTCGTGTTTGGAAAAGCGGAGATGAGAGGAACCATATGCTTATCAGCTATTTTCGCGTTTGGCTCTTGTCAGTATATGATCGATGGAATCCATTATCTAGCCTTGATTGTATGCTGTAGCCAACCACAGCTCAAGTGAACCGACTCTTCTGACTTTTTCATCAATAATTGAATATATCCACTAGTCTGTTTTCTTCTTGCAGAATGGCTTCCAGCAGTGCCGACTATGCCTGTAGTGCATTGGCAAAGTCCGGCCCAAATATATCCATCATGGCCCAGTTCGTGAGCGGGCGCCATTCGTCATCCAACGCAAGCCAGATAGCTCTAGCGAGCCGGATCCCCCAATCGTCGATGCACCAGTTGTACCTCAGTCGGTGCAGCACAACACAGTAGCAGGCCATTATCGCGAGTGCCAGGGGTTGGCGCTCGCCGACTGACTCCACATATTTGCGAGGGAGACGGATTGCGAGCTTGCAGGCGACATTGATTGAAGAGAGGCCCGCAGATACCTCGCCGAGGGCGTTTCCAATGGCCCCGAGTGCTTTGCTGTACATCATCGTCTGATGGTTGCCACCATAGGACCCGAGAGAATTGTTTGCCTCGTGCAGATGCCCCAAGGCTACCCGTGCATCTTCCGGCAACGTGAATTCTTCCGGTTCCAACTGCATGAGCGGGTTGAACGTGCTATCCTGTAGAGCCCCCCTGGATTCTTGTAGGACTTGACGCAGCCCGTGGGCTAGGATGAGTACCTGATGAATATCGGCCAAGGTGTTCCATGGATCTCTCGTGTCTGATGTGTGCGAGAAACCAAAGGAATAGACGAGGACGATTGTCGAGAACGAGAAGATGGCCTTGGCATTGGACGAGTTGATGTCGTTGAGGAGACCTCGGAATAACGACAAAGCATGGTTCTGATGAGCAATGGCCGTGCTCATATAGCCCGGTCTGAGCTGATCGCTCTTGGTGCGCGCCAGGTGAAGGGCAGACAGTGCTAGAATCCCATGCATGAGGAAGGGATACCCCAGCGCTTCTTGAGGCACCACAGTCCGCCAGACCGGATCGGTGCGTTCGTTCCGAGACATGACATGAAATGTCGCTGTGACCCACTGCATCATTAACTCCAGATCCGTGAGATTCAGGTCCGGAGGCGAGGACACGGCCCCATCTTCGGCGCCCAGGCTGCCGAGGAAAGACGAGTCTCTGTTTTGCACGCCATGCCTGGACTCGGGCTCGTCAGGCGTTTCGAGCCTCGCAGTCGAAGGCGGTTGGGAGGACGTGGACGACGGTTCATTCGCCCACAACAACGACGCCGCTGCACTGTACTCGCACTGAGCATCGCGCTTCGAGCAGTTCGAGCAGGACGGCCGCACTTCGTCACACTGAAGCATTTTAGCACACGCAAGACAAGACCACGCCAAACGGACTACACGGTTACGCGTCTCTCACTTTCACTCGTCTCCGCTTGCACTCGGCACATCCATGACGTGACTTTCGATGGGGTCGTCTCAGCGCCATTCCTCCAGCTCTGCACCAGTGGTTCCTCGCATGCTCAACCGCCACTCCAGGCGACTGAATGCTGTCTTATCGTCGCGGTCGCGCGGTGATATGATATGTGACTGGATTGTTTTCGACGTTCACGAGTTCTGGTGGAGGCAGAGCAGTTACTAATAAATTACTAGAGCCCCACCGATCGCTAAAAATGGATTGAATACTGAATAATTAGGTAGATTCTGCTGGAACCCTTTCTGACCCATGAACGTGTTCGATAGGAAAGGTCTCTGGAAAAAAGGGGGGGAGGTCGAGAAGTACCGCGGGCTTATTAGGTTGCACTTGGGTGGGTTGTGGAAGGCCCATTGTGAAACCTGGATTGGGAGGAATTGTCCGCAAAAGAATGGGGTTTCCCTTGGATAAAGAAAGACCTCGATGGATCTCGTCTTTCTCTTTTCTGCAATGTTGATCCAGTAAGGCAGGATAAGGTGAGGTGAAATGAAGTAAAAAATATGGAAAGTTGACCTTCGGAGCTTCGTTCTTCCAGCTTCTTATATATTCAATAAGGCATCATGAGGTATCTTCCTCTTGATTGAAGCATTAATATCTGGATCATTTGATTTGATCATGCTCTGTGCTAAATAAGAGATATCTCTCATGAAAACCTACTTCCTATAAATACCTTACAGCTATGCAGTCATCTTAAATTCATCAGCATTCCTCTATCTCCGAGTGCTTTACTGAAACTAGGTCAGTCCCTTAGAGGGAGACAGAATGAGAACACTGTGACCGAGCAATTAAATAAATGTGTTTGGATGGCAAGGTATGAATTCTCTCGTATCTCAAGTACTACTCTTACTACATAACTAATTGCAACTTACTATAATAGCAACACAATTGGATCCCTGAAGTCCAGCTTGGTCTTCAGTGGGGGCCACCGACTGATATCTGGTCGTTCGGAACGATGATACCGCGTCCTCTTGCCTTCTGCCTGGTCTGACTGCTGACATATCTTTGATCTGGGATGATAATCCCTTCATCTTCAAGCCTGATGTGCCCCTTGGTCATGACGAGTATGAACTGAAAATCACATTTACTTTTGCCCATACCCTCCATCGTACTCCGATCTTTCTGACGAGGAGACCTTGTCGATATTATCCTATATCATAGCTAGCGTTCCACCGAAGATATGAGGCCGTTTTCAAAGGCTAGCTCGCAGGAGGTCTCGAAAGAGGACAAGGAATTTCTACTCAAGATAATGAAGCTCGATCCTGGGGATAGACCGACAGCGAAAAGTCTGCTAACTGATGAGTGATTTGAAAGAATATAAAGCCTGCCGTGGCGAGAGTGCTTCGTGTTAGCGTCTCCATGATGTATCAAGATGATGGAGAAGGAAAACTTGGAGTTCCCAGAACAGACCACTGTTTTCAGACCTCTTATCACGGCGGGACCTGTGTTCGGATCTGTCCTGGTTAGTATCATTGCATCACCAAGGAATTAACACTTATGAGTAGGTATTCTCATGGAAAGGTGCAAAGCAGTAAGACCACCGAGGGAAGTGAGAATTGAATAGCCTTGCAGAAAGACTTTGAATGAGCATCTGAGAGCCGTAGGATTATAGGAAACCAGACAGCATCGAGTGGTTGACTTCACTTCACCCATAGCCAGATAGAACAAAAGACATTCCCAGCTATGCAGAGAACTCCAGGTGCTGGAGGCTGCAAGTTGTCTTCAATGTCTTGCGTTCATTGACAAGAAAGATGAAGGAGCTGGTGATGTGCTATTTATTTACTTCTGCCTGAGGCACCACAAGGCTGATATCAATCATGTGACATCACATGACACCGCAGCTCCAGTGGCTGCCAAGACGAGGCGCGTCTGGCATGAGAGGGAGAAAAAGCGGCGATGCGAATTAATTGATCGAAGGCGACGCCCAGCACACAGCAGCGCTGAACTGCGATGAATTGACCGGCCGCGCGATCTTCTCCTGGATACCAGTTGCTCGCTCTGCAAAAATTGATTGTGCTGGTAGCTGTTCAGAGTCCCCCAGCCTGGAGGAGCAGCTCCGGCGCGGTTGTTAGCAGTATCTCTACAGCCCTCTCGTCAACACGCCAGTGTTCTCCCTGCAAGCTCGCAGGAGGCTCCACTGGACACCATGACGTTCAAATTTCCTCTAGACTCGGGCCCCGCGACCCCGAATAAATCGCGCGGGCTTTTCGGCGACAGGTCGACGACTCCCTCTGGAATTCCGCCGTCCTCTGCTCACTCCTTCACTCCTCAAGGCCCTCCGCCGTCTACCATCTACGGGAGCTCCAAGGCAGGATCTCGGACCAAGCTCGATTTTGGCGACTCGCTCTTCACAAAGTCCGGAAATTTTGGAAATGATAGCATCTTTGGGTCGTCGGTCGCCTCCTCCGACTATCGTCCTCAGCCACGCAAAAAGAACGCTACATTTGCTCCAGCCGATTCTTATTTCAACCCAGCAAACAGTTTTGGCGGGCAGAGCTTTGGAGGCAACAGCGAATTTAACCAGTCACAAATGAGTGAGGATATCGAGGAGGAAACGGAAGAGGAGGAGATGGAGGAAGAGGAGGATCTGGAGCCGGAAGATGGCGTGGGGGACGATACGATGGACTTGGGAAAGGATGGCAGCTCTTCAAGAGGCCACCCGGGCTTTTTGGACTCTTACATTGGCAACACACCAGCTCCATCGACCAATCTGGCGGGCTCAAGGAAGTCGATCTACACCAACCCGGATAATGCCAAACGACCGAAACTGCATGAGCCGTGGGCGAACAGGTCGCCGCTCGCCAAGTCTAAACTCACACCTAAAGCAAGCTCTGCAGTACCTTCGATCGCTCGAGACATGGCTGCTAGATCGCGCCTTGCGCACGTCAACGAACCCAGCAATCTCATTCTTGACACGGAGGACGAAATCTGCCGCATGTGGGATACAGCAAGGCTGTCGGAATACGAAGACTCCGATTTTGATGCCATCCTGTCCGAAGTTGCTGGTAAGCTTGCCGCCATCTGGCAGCTCTCGGCAGACCAAAGCGGAGTCTCGCGACCGTACGTTGGGGCAGATATCGGCCCTGGAGACAAGACCCCCAATCTTGTCAAGGCAAGTTTCCTCGGCTCGTTCATGCTTCAGATCCACCATCCACCTCTTGTGACCCCCCAACCAGGGAGCAACGCCTTGATTCGTGCGCCATCCCAGAACCCCATGCTAGCCCGCCAGCCACAGCAAATCTTTACACCGATGCCGAAGATGCTACTGGACTGGCTGAATACCAATCACGTCACTGGAGCCGCTGATATAGAGAGCCTGCGGAGCGTTGAGCCCAATCCGACCGCATCTCCCAACTTTTGGGAGATCATCAATGCTGCTGTTCTGCGAGGTCACTTATCCGAGGTAGCCGAAGTTTTACGGTCCGCAGATTTCAACTACGCAAGGTCTGCACTGGAGGATGGACTGCCGCAGCCTGGTTACCGGGGTGTCCAGCTGCAGAACATTCAGAGATGCATCAACAAGGCACGTCAATTGCTGGACTCCTGTCCAAGCGTCCAGGGTGGCAACTGGGATGTCAAGAGCGCGGAGTGGGAATCGTACAGAAAACGAATCATCGCTGCACTGACTGATCTCGAGGAGTTTGCCGAAGGCGAAGAACCACAAGTCCCAGAACCGGCCAGCACAGAGAATCGATTCCAAGCGGTCAACTTCGGTCTGACTTCAAGTACCGGCTCCAACAATTTCTTTACTCAATCCGCGCGCATGGCTGGCAGCCGTGTGCCGTGGGCCATCTACCAGAGCCTCAAGGCGTTGTACCAAATCTTGCTCGGCGATGCGGATGCGATTGCATCTTATGCGCAAGACTGGGTCGAGGCCTCCATCGCCCTTACTGCGTGGTGGGATGGGGAGGATGATGACGAGATTCTCGGACAGGGCGCCAGGGACTTAAAAGCTAGCACTGCGAGCAACAACCTGGCGCGCTCCCGCGGCGCGAGAACTCAGGCTCCTCGACCTGTTGACGTGAACCCAGCAGAGGCCTATCTCAACCGTCTATCCCTCGCCTTCAGCAGCATGACTGATGAGACTGTGGAAGGTAGCTTCCGTCTCAACTCGCTCAGCAACCTTGAAGTGGGCTTGGCATCTATTTTTGAAGGGAATACCGAGAGTGCCCTGGCACTCCTCCAGGGCCTGTCGCTTACCATCGCCTCGGCGGTGGCCGAGGTGGCATCAGCCGGTAGCTGGTTTGAAGGAGCTGCGGGCGCGAAGCCATTGTCCAAGCTTCTCAACGAGAACGACTTGATGGTTCTTTCATACGGGCAAGACACGCCGTCATCGGCAAAGGGGCTTCGCAAGGACGACGTGTTGAGTGCCTACGCAACCGGTCTCTTTGAGCGGTCATCCATCAACAGTGGTGTGAGTGCTAGGACCGGGTGGGAAATTGCTCTCGAGGTGCTGAGCCGCCTTGACGACGCAGAGAGAATGCAGAAGAGTGTCTCGGAGCTGCTCGATAAACTGCCTCTTGATTCAGCCGATCAGATGGATAAAGTCGTGTTGCTGTGCACAGAGTTAGGCCTGGACAAGGAGGGCCGAAGAGTGTCAGAGGTAAAGCAGGAAAAGTCCCCCCCCCCCCTCTTTATTTCATTTTAGCTAATCCCCTCTAGCGATATGGCGACCTGACTGTCTCCAACTCGGAAGACTATGGTCTGGCGCTCGTCTGCTACGCTCGTGCGCATAGTCGGCGGAAGGTAAAGTCGGTGGTGGATCTGCTCATCTCATACAGCCTGGTCCAGTCGCGTGCGTATCCGGTCACTGGGGATCTTGACGAGCAGCTCCGGTCCCTCATCGCGGAACCAAAGACATGTCTGTCTGCCATTGCGTCTGTGGATGACGAGGCGGCGCAGATTCTCCAGTTTTATTTCAGTGGATATGCCACCCTCCGTCGTTTCTATGATATCCGGGACGAAGCCGTGGGGGCCAAGGAGGGACAACTCCCTCGCTTGAAGCCTTTGGCTCGGCGGCGGGCAGCGGCACAAGCCCTGGTCGCAGTGATCAGCAGTGCCGCCGATAGCATCTACGGTGGTCTCTACGATCCGGACCGTGACTCTGCTGTCCAAGTAGACGGACTCTTGTCACTCTTGGGCGAAGCGTTGGTGTTGATCAATCGTAAGTTCAACAATCTTTCTGTCTTGGTTTTGACTAACTGACGATTCTTTTCTTTTCTTTTCTTTTTAGAGCCAACCCCGGTATTGTCCATGTCACAACAATTCACCATCCTCTCAGCCATCGAGGACCTTGAAACGGTCACGCCGCGCGTGTACGCCCAATGCGAGGAGTGCTTCCGCTCCACGCTGATCGAGTACCATCACTCATCGTCGGCCGCCAATGGCTCGACCGGAACGTCGCCTTCGCTCGTTCTTCCGCCGTCTCCGCGCGCTCTGCTGAAGAAATCCGTCACCTCCCTTACCGCCTCGAGCACGTTTTCCTTCATCGGCAGCGACATGGTGGGCTCCGCGCGCACTCGATCCGGGTCTGGGTCTGGGTCCACCAGCAGCTCCGCCGTGCTGGTCCCTCACCCGCGCGAAAGGAAAAGCCCTTCGTCCGACCGGGGTTGGGACTGGCGGGCCGGGCTGTCTGAAGAAGCCAGGGGGGAAGATGTGCTGCGCATTCTGCGACTGGGGTTGGCACGCGGGTTGAGCTTTGGGGCGCTTGGCTCGGTTTGAGGCAGAGGATCTGCATGCTAGCTAATAATAGAGGGGTTTGGTCTCCCAAAATTCCGAAACACGTGGCGTCTGTGATACTCTTTCTACCATGTCTAGTATACAGAGTATACGGAGTATGACAGCGTGTCTTCTTCCAACCAAAGTATGAAACTCGTAGGAACGACGTCGTGAGAAGCCTGTGTAGCAGGCAGAAGGGCTCCATTCTTCCTCTGTGCTAATCAATAACTACGCAATGGTGTGCTGATATCAATAAGGGATCCTACTCCGATGTCTGTACAGAGCACGCTTGGTGATGTAGGTAGGTTACACCTCCGCCTTGAGGATAGGGCGTGCGATGGACGATAGACTTTTGAGGCTTGCAAGCAGATCCCTAAGCTGATCTCACTTTGAGAACAATAATAGACCCCTTTCCAGCTAGCCACACTGCCTCAGCGGCTGATGGGGAGGGGGGGGGCAAAAAAAATCCAAGACCGGAAATTCAACACTCCATGTCTTCAGCTGGTGCACGAAGCTGGAAGCTGGAACTTGATCTACCCCTGTCTCCCCTTTTTCTGCCCCGGCATTCAATTGGCAGTGTCTCGATCGCTGGAGATCAGGTAGTATTCAGCTGGGTTTTCCAATGGATGCTGCCGTCACCATCCATCTTCTTCAGGCCGATAAGCTGGGATCACCCAAGACAGGTCTCATATCATTCCGATTCGACGAGGCGATGTCCAGACCCTGTTCGAGCGGGTACTTATTGACCATGATCTTCAGGCAGACGCAGTCTCAACCGACGTAGCATACGAAAGGGACGGGGGTGTTGTTGGTATACGCTAGTAAAGACCCGTTTAGTTCACTGAACACGGGTACTCCCTGTAAGGCGTAAGCAAAGGAATGAAACACATCGTCGATGAGTCAAGGGTACGGAGGGATCGCGATCGTCGAGGTTGCTCAAGCCTAGACTCGATGGTTCCTGAGGGTTTGTGCTGTCCACGGGGAGGAAGGAAGGAAGTAGCGGTGATAGCAGAGTGAGAATAGCAGGAGGAGAGCCACCAGCCATCGAAGTACACCGCCAGAGAGTGGCTTCTAGACGCTGGTTGGCTAAGAGTAAGCATCAGCCACAGTCTGTGTGGCGAGCTGATTGGCCGAAAATCCTCCGCCAGACTATATCGGGCTAAGTGCGGGTGCCTGGTAGGGCTGAAGCCCGTGACTATGGATGCCTCACCGCTGGTACTTCGTCCTCACAACAGCAAGGAAACTCAGGCTGCACCGTACACCAAGGAGGACGTCTGTACACAGAATCATCCTGCGCCGAGACTGGTAGCATTCCATCTGTTTCTGTAATTTTTCGTTTACGAGCTGACGAGTAGCACTGTCCACAGTTAGGCTGCCACCACAGGTTGTACGAAGCACGACCGTTTTGCGAGGAAACAGAACTGCCTGGCTCTTATCGCAGTGCTTCACAGAGATACAACGCTGCTGCTATACAATATACGAATCCACAAGGTACTTCTGTACGGAGTACACGATATCAGATGATCAGGAATACATGCATCCCTGCTCCACTTGGCCGTTCCAGCCGTTACGCCCGGTGATTTCTCCGACAACCCCCGGTCTGGGTTCATCTCCACAGAATCACCGAGTCATCGCTTCAGCAGGCCAGCTGAGTCTGCTCATGACGCTGGGATGATTCCCCTGTAGGCTCGCGGGCGCTCGAACTTCACAAGTTCGTTCGTTCCCACGGACAATACACGGACAGCTCTGAACGCTAGTGATGAGGTCATTGCGAGAAATCCGACAGCTCGGGTCTGAAATTGCATGATGCGTCTGTAGGCTTGCCTAATGCAGGTAAAAGCCGTGGACTTGAAACCACGGAGCACAGTACGACGGCATAGTTGGTTGATTGACAATAGTTAACTTATCACAGACAGTATCTACTACTACGATCAATCGGTTCGGTTGCTAAGGGCAAGACAAGCAAGGATCGATTAAGGACCCCAGGAGTCAAGACATTATTGCTAAATTAAGGCGATTTGAACCGATTAGTGAGTGATTATTGATCCTATTAATAAGTCGATGACTCAGTCAGATCATGTGGGGTTGCCCACATGGCGAAGCTGTTCAACGCATCCCATCCCTTTATCACGACTGGTCGGTGTGCTTAGGCCACCTTCCAATGGCCGCCTCGATCAATTGATGTCATCATGGGCATTCTCCGTACGGCCGTACAGCTATCTCTCTCTGTACAGACAGTGTCACGATTAGGAACTTGGTTCGATCTTCTTCTTTGACAGCCGAATTGGCACTTGGTATGGTGTTTTCTTTTTTGCGGCTGAGACCAATTAACGCCTGAGAACCTGTGCTCTTTCTTGGGTTACGTTCTGTAACGAATTTTTTTTTAAAAAATAATAATATTCTTTTTGGTATTGGCGTTTATTTTTGATCTAGAGTACAAGTTGTACTACTGGCACGCCCAGCGCCCATGGCCCTGTCGACTTCTAGCCGCACTATTACTGCAGTCTGCAGCATCTTTGTTTTCTCTTGGCTCTCGCCGGTTCCACTGCGGTGGGTAACGTTGTTTTAGCGTCTGGGAAAGCTTGCAATTTCCGGGATCAGCTGTCATCTTCACAGCCCACTCGCGAGCCAAGCCTTGGTGCAATGGCGTCGTTGGCTGTGTTGATGAACATGGAGGATCTGGGTCTGGTAAGGTGGCCGTAACGCTCAAGGCTTGTCCAGTGGTGGTTTAGTCCGCTACTTTTCGACCGACTCGGAGCCTGATGCGATTGGTGCCGTTGGATGCCTTGCAGACCGTGTGGAAGATGGTGATGATGGATACCTATGGGCGACGCCAAGCGTGGATTCTATGGCTTTCTCTGTCTACTTCCACTTTGGGTAATACGTCCTGGTTGCCTGGATCGGACTCTTGGGACTATAAAGAGCGCTTGTCCTGTTGCCTTAACTGCCCTTTGCTATCATCATCATCATCATCACTATCTACCGCCATCACCACAACAATAATAAGCCGTGTCTCTTGTTTATTGAGCGTGTTCTTTCCCTCGTCTTACTTGCGACTCTTGCTACTCGACCTGATTACTGCCTCCCACTTGTCTTATTTCAGCCCTTCTAGTACTCCACCTACACTTTAAACACCAAGAAGTCAAAATGTGTCTCAGAGTTATCGAACGTTATTCGGCCTGCGGATGCCCCTACTTTCAACACGCGGTTGATCCGTGTGAAGCCTTTGGACAGCGCGGTCATGGTGTCCAGGAACGAACGGTGCTCGTGGGATACGCATGCCCCAAGCATACATCAACGCCGAAACCGGGCCATACCCTCCATCCGATGGGAGGCTCGCAAATGCCGATCACCCACGGGTCCTTTCGGTAGCGGAGAACATGGAGATACTCTTCCAACTGTACGGAGACCGCGATCGATTCGGCCTTTACAGACTCGACCTTTGCAGGCCGTTCTGCCGCTGAGGGACAGGTCCGTCGATCGTTTGCAGCTCCTATGGACTGTGTTTCTGGAGACGGGTACGCAGGGCGTATTTGATCTCGACCTTCCATGATTTTTCTTTTTCTTTTTTCTTTCTCTCGCCTCCTCCTCTCCCCTTCTCGACAACAGTCACGCTTTGGTTCTCCTGGAGAGCATCGATACGAGTGACGAATGACAGTGACATGCTATGGGCAACCTGGCGTTGCATAGATAATACATTAGCCAATACTATTTCTAACTATTCAATACATAGTAGTAGTAGGGGTAGTAGTATCACTCCCGGCCACTGATGATGATATAGTAAAGCTCTAACTATAGGGTACTATTACCCCCACTGATAATCTCCTCCAAAAAATCAAATCCCTGCCTCTGCAACTGCCAGGTCGCCGACCCCTTAACCATCCGCATGGCAAACGTGTGCTCTTCTCCCGGAACCTCCGTCATTCCACAGCGGACACCGTTCTCCTTCAACGTAGCGAACAACCCCCTACTCAGCTCCGGGGGAACCATTGTGTCGGCCTCCCCGTGGACGATATACGTCGGGGGAAATGAGCCATCCGCCACGCGAACCAGCGGATCGATCAGCGTTCTATCCAATGGAGGCGGATAGCAGCGGTCAATAACCGAGCCGTTCGCGATGGCCGTGAAAGCGAAGGCGTCGCGTGGTCTCGAGAAATCCGGCCCAACGCTCTGTCCTTCGAGGGAGGTTTCCCCCCCACTCGGCACGGGGAATTCATCGTATACTTTTTTCATGAATTGTTCTGTCAGCGTCCCTGGTAGCCGTGCCGCAACGTGCGGTAATGGACTGGTCCAGAAGGGATGTGAGAAGTTCACGGGGGCGTAGAAGTTAAGAATCGCCGCGGGGGTGCGAGGGACATCAAAGCACTAATAATTAGAATCTCTCTCTCTCTCTCTCTCTCTCTATATATATATATACCTAAATCCGAGTGTTTACTTACCAATGCTAAAGCAAGGGTCCCCCCCGATGAAGTCCCAAAAGCCATCACCTTGTCGAGATCACAGCTCACAAGGGTACTGCCATCACTACCCTCACTCTGCACACGTAGAAATTCATCAAGATGCCCATCGTAGATCCAGGCAAGCAGATCGCGGCAGTCGGATATAGGTCCCTCGAGGATGTTCACGGCAGGACACAGTCGATGGTTGGGGACCACTACGATCCAGTCGCGGGATAGACAGTCCTCGATCTGAGGGAGGGAGACCATCTTGGATGATCCGAGCATAAAGGCGCCGCCATGGATATTAATTACTATTCGAGTTAGCTATTAAGTATCCTTGCTAGAAAGTGAATATATTCTACCAAATACGTACACACCGGTCGTTTCCCTTGGCTGGAAGGGAGGTAGATGTCTGCCGTGAGACGGGTGCCGTTTATTTCCTTGTACTGAACGCAGAGAGGCATTTTATATGTAGATATATCAAGGTATTCCTTTACAAAGATAATGTCTAAGAATCATTATACCTTTCATGCTGCCTGGTGATGGTTTAATATTCAGATTCATGCGGGGGGAGGGGGGCTCGGCATTTCCGATCGGATCTTCCGGCTACAACGTACGTACATTAGTTTTACGATATTGTTTACCGGGTTCTCTATTCATCAAGTACTTTATACTCTCTACTTCTAGTCAAATCGTGCAAGATCGTTCCATTCGCAGATAGTAGATACGACACACGCTTGCCAAATCGGTCCCATGTAGACCACAGAACACGAACAGAACACCCACGGACTCTGTTAGTACTACCCGAGGTAGGTAGATACCATCTAGGCAACTTCACGAGAAGATACCCGTGGTGAACAGAATAAGGGCTTGCCGTGCAGACCTGGCCTCGCCACGCGGTCTCGAGTGAGACGGGTTGTCGTGGCTTCAGGGTGAGGCAGACTGCGGTATGGCTGGTTGTACCATCGGTTTAACCATTGTTTTTTTTTCTTGTTTCTTTTATTTTCTTCCCTTCCTTCTTCCTTTTTTTTTCTTCCTTTCTTTCAATTTTTCTTTTCATAGCTCTCCATGAAGGGGCCATGGATTAAAGATAAAGAGCGTGGTGGTCATTCATTCATCGACGAACACGAATAACTGGACGATGGGATCTCCGAGATCGATCGATATCGTCATCGCTCTCCGAACAGATGTCGGACTCGTCGTCATAGCCACAGCGGGCACCCCCGCAATCGAGCTTGACGCGGTCGCCCTTGCGCGTGATACCGTAGCGTTCGCAGCGACAGGGCGAAATGGGCGTTGGCGGGTCGCTGCTGGAGGAGACTGATGAAGGCGAGGAGGACCCGCGAGAGGACCGTGAAGACAGTGAGGAGGTGATTGAACTGTCGTCTTCGTCAGAGAGGCGTGAACTGTCGAACTGCCGGGTTAGGTCGTCCATGTTGGAGGACGAGAAGCTGCCCTCGCGGAGACTGCGCGAGGCGTAAGGCCTGGAGGGTCTCGGGTGTCGGATTCTTGAAGGCGACAGAGCCCGGCCCTTGGGGACGGAAGAACGAGATGACCCCATCGAGGTGGAGATCGGAGGAGGCTGTTTAGGCGATGCTTTCGGCACGTTGAGAATGTTGAGCTTGCGGCCCGTTGTCGGCTCGACCGTGTATTCAACCGCTGGGTCGTGCGAGACGTGATACCCGTCCATGATGTAGTAGTACCAGTACCGGCTGCCCAGACGCAGCATCGAAGTCTGGAAGCGGAATGTGCCCGCCCATGCACCGGCTTTGGAGGAATCTTGAGACAAGGGCAGCTGGCGCGAGTAGTTGTCCCACGAGCCCACCAGATGGACCGTCTTGACATTGGGGGACGTCCGGAGCGAGAACTTGAGCTGAACGGCGGACATTTTTTCTGAGTTCTCAACTGTAAAATCAAAGAATATCAATGATGATGATGATGCTGCTGATGATATCGATAATAATGATAATGGCTTGGCCGACCAGCGACACAATATTAAAAAAAAAAGGGATATTAAAAGAAGTTGTATAGTAACTGAGTCGCCAGGACTGCAAAAAAAAAAAGACTAGGGCAAAAAGCGGGCTGATTGAGCTGAGCCGAAACAAGCCAAACGTCGACCGGCGACGAAACAAGACTGCAAGGCTAGTAGATTATTCTAATTAAGGATTCCCTGGGGCACAGTCGGAAAGACACAGTCAGAGAGCACAGCTCGGTCTGATGAATGATCCGATGATAGTGTGTAGATAGTGGGCTAATAATAGTAGTCACTAATAATAATACCGGGGGGGGAAAGGCAGATGCAACCAGTGCACCAGGAACCCTTGAATTAAAGGCAGCTCAATCGCACTGCGACGAGGATGATGGAAAGTTGGAAGGCGAAGAAGAAACAAAGCAGAAACAGACAACACCAACAAGCACACACAACAAGAGAGAGGAGACACCAACACAGGCGGGCCTGCCCGTTTATTTATGGCCGTTTGTTGGTTCTCGGCCACAGCTTGGACCGCCATTGGCCAAGACCAGGGTCTGTGCAGCACCCCGCGGCTGGCGGCTAATCTATGGTTGCCATTCGCGGGGAATAGCATCTGATTTTTCCTCTTTGGGGTGCGAGGCTGGGAATCCATTCCAACGGAGCATCTGCAGCTCTGCAGCTGACTGGCTGTGTGCATGGACATGGGCAGCACCATGGCACCTGCAGGTGTCGTGCCTCGAGCCAGTCAGACGAGTGCTTTTGCCGCTGCCACGGTGTGATAAGAGGTGGTAGCTACCTACCTAGCACGCCTCCGCATCCTGGTAAATAGATAGTTACCTAGGTTGGGGCATACTAATAGGCCACTGCACTCTCGTGCTCGGTACTGACGAAGTATGCAGGATGACAACCTTGCAAAAGTATGATATATAGTTAACCATGAAAACACGGCTCTGGAACGTCGAGAGGGAAGCAATTCCATCATTGGCTATGATGATGCTGATTCTGGTGGAGCCTGTCTGTCATGAGGGATATTAGTACACTGGACTATCTTCCACTCATATGATCAAGAAGAGAAAAGACGAAGGAGGGGAAGATACTTTGTGGCTGCAGTAGGGGCTGGCTGCGGCAGAGGTTAGGGAGTACTCCATTAAAAAAAGGTCTTCTGTTGAACTGCATTCCAAATTTTTTTTTTTGCTAGCTTGTTGGCTCAGCAGGGGTGCTAACGTATGCCGACTACCAAAACCCCCCCTCCAACGACTTCAAGCCGAGTATTATGCAGAGTGTAGTACCTCTTCTCGCATTAGTGTCTGGAGAATAGCGACGCAATGTAATCTGCAGATGCTGAGCCGAGCCTTTTCCGTTGGGTGACATCGATTTCTCATCGTTTGCTGGGCCTTCTGAACCTCGACGCCATCCCCACCGTGGCTAGTTGAGGTTGCACAACGGCTGCCTTGTGAGTCAAATGGCTGGGATACGAAGCAAAGGCATCAGCATCACGAGGGGTGGCTTACTTTCCGCTTTTGACAATTCCTTGTCCTTTGGTTGATAGACATGGCCAATGCCCCCCTCCCTACCCCCACTTGTTGGACGCACCGATTCAGCCTCTGGCAATTGAATGTGCCGCAAGAGCTGCAGCACGGCACGTCATGTCTTAGCAATCTATTGTCGATTCCTACCAAGTCTTTTCTTTCCCTCCAGGCTAGGACCGCTAGCTGATCTCTCAAGCATCGGAAACCTGGCAGTCGCCACATTCAGATGACGTGATGGCAAGGTGAACTTGGAGACACACCAGTTAGCTCACATATAACCACGAACCGAAAGATAAAGAATCAAAACGGAGAGGTTGCTTCACTGGGAGAGAGTCTGTCAGTCTTCAGTCTAACAGTTGGAAGGACTGAAAGACGTCGTGGTTGACCATGTGACTTGGCGCTAGCCTATATCAGACGGGAGTAGGTGCCTACCTAAGGTACCTGGTCACCTTATGTACCTTAGGTAAGGAACAAGGTACCTAAGGTAGTAAGTAATCCGTAACCTGGGTAGTACAATAGATACTACAGACGCTGAAAAGATCGTCATCATAGCTGTATTTTCTGCGCTAAGCACAGTCTTAATTTACACCACGGCCAAGTAATATCAGTCCCAAGACCTGAACAGCCCGGTAGTATCTGTAGTCGAGAACGCAAGAAGAAACTAAAATAGGTAAAAGAAAAGAAAAAGGGGGGGAAAGGGAGGGGAAATAGAAGAATAGAAACATCCGTGAGCCGCTTGTACGCCGGAAATGCCAAAGGATTTACTCGGGAATTTGGATCGACGGGGCGATTTATCGCACAGATACCCCCGAGCGGTCGGTGAACATGCGCGCTGCAATGTTCATCGCCGCCAGTTCCTGGAAGAGTAGCTTCGCTGCGTAGGGGATGTGCACCTGCGAGATCCGGTGCTTGTTATTGCACAGACGGCATTCGAACAGGCCCTTTTTCAATTTTCTGGAAATAGGTTAGCCTTGGAAGAAACAAGTATCGAGCAGGGGGGGAAAGAAAAAGAGAAACATACGCGATTGGGGTCATCAGGCCGCAGTCGTCGCAGATGTGCACACGGAACGGGTCCGAGACGTCGAATAGGCGTTCCTTCAAGAAGGCACTGGCACCGTGGGCGATCATACAATCACGTTCCATCTCTCCGAACCGAAGACCACCGTCGCGAGCACGACCTTCGACCGGCTGCCGGGTCAGAATCTGTGTCGGTCCGCGGGCACGCGCGTGAATCTTATCGTCGACCATATGACGCAGTCGCTGGTAGTAGGTCGGCCCCAGGAAGACCTGCGCCATCATTTTGCGGCCCGTGTGTCCGTTGTACATCACCTCGAAGCCGCGGGACTGATATCCGTGTTCTCGAAGCAGTCGAGAGACAGAGTCTACAGTGACATCGGTGAAGGGCGTCGCGTCGCCCTCGAACCCACGCAGCGCCGACACCTTGCTAAGCTGGCACTCGATCAAATGGGCAATCGTCATTCGCGACGGAATGGCGTGTGGGTTGATGATGAGATCCGGCACGACACCTTCCCGGGTAAACGGCATATCTTCCTGTCGGTACGTGATACCGATCGTACCCTTCTGTCCGTGACGCGAGGCAAATTTGTCACCGATCTGGGGAATCTTGGTCGTCCTCATGCGCACTTTGACGAACTTGAGGTCGTCGTTGCTCGTCGAGACGAGAACCTGATCGACGATGCCGTTCTCCGTGCTGCGCAGCGGTGTCGACACATCCAGCTTTGTGTGGGACTTGGTCCGTTGGCCGAGTTCCTCGGCCTCGGGAGCCAGCGGTGCGGTCTTACCGATGATGATATCTTCACCAGACACGCGCACACCAGGAGCGATGATACCGTCCTCATCTAGCTTGTCGTACGTGCCCTTGCGCATGCCAATCGTGTCAGACCGCATCGGCTTCTCAAAGCGTTCGACCACCGTTAGTCCCACCATCTTCTCCGAGTCCGTGTAGGTTCGGTAGAACAGACTGCGGAACAAGCCACGGTCAATGCTGCTTTGGTTCATAATGACCGAATCTTCCTGGTTGTACCCGGAGTAGACGGCAATGGCCACAATTGCATTCTGTCCTGCAGGCAGCTCGCGGAATCGCAGGAACTCCATAGATCGCGTGGTCGCCAGTGGCTTCTGTGGGTAGTAGAGGATGTTTGCCATCGTCTCCATGCGCTGGTCAAAGTTGGTCAGGAACACGCCCATGGCTTGTTTACCCATAGCTGACTGGTAGGTGTTACGGGGCGACTGGTTGTGGTCCGGGAAGGGAATGATACTGGCACAAACACCGAGAATCATACTGGGGTGGATCTCACAATGGGTCCAGGTATGGGCCCGTTGACTCAGAATGGAGCGCACACGCTTGTTTGGATCGTTCATCTCCTCCTCGGGGAGAGCGTAGCCCGCCTGCAACTGTTTCGAGATCTCAAGGTCTTCGGGCGTCATGACAATCATGATGGTTTCCTCTTCCTCGGCGTCAACATACTCGACGACTCCGGACCGCACCAGACCATCCCATCCAAAGTAGCGTTCTCTCCGATCTTCCGGGTCCAGGTCGGGTGGGAGCTCCTTGTCCTGTTCCAACTTGCGGACGTGTTCCTTGTTCAGAACCAGAGAACCGCAGTTCTCGCTCTTTGGGTCGTTGTCGATGACGAACAATGGGCGACACACACGTCCCGCGTCGGTGAAGATTTTGAACTCGCGTTCACGGATATCACGGATCAAACTGACCTCGTGGGAGATCATGTTTCGCCGACGCAGAGATTGCATGGTATTCACCAGGTGAGCAGGGTCCCGGTGGATACCAACCCAGACACCATTGACGAAGACCTTGGTCGCATTGGGGGTAACCTGGGGCTCAAATTCCTCCAAAACTTCCATGTTGCGTTGGATCATGAAGTCGATGATCGGCTCGCTAGGCGTACCGACAGTGATGTAACACATGAGAGCCAAGTTCTTGACCAGACCACAAGCCTGACCTTCGGGGGTCTCTGCTGGGCAGACCAAGCCCCAGTGCGTGTTGTGCAGCTGACGAGGCTTTGCAATTTTTCCGTCACGTCCGATGGGAGTGTTGGTCCGACGAAGATGGGATAGGGTGGAGGCGTACGTGTAACGACTGACGACTTGGGACACACCAGCCTTGGAGCTGGCAGCTTTCTTCTGCTCGCCCCAGTTACCGGTGGCCAGAGAGTATTTCAGACCGCCAGTCAGTGTGCTGGCCTTGATACCGATGTTCAAGTAGATCTCGCGGTTGGTCTCCACGCAACGCTGCACGTACTTCTGAAGATCCCGAGTGACTCGCGTGAACAGACTGCGGAACAGAGTCGCCAGAAGAGGGCCTGCAAGATCAAGGCGCTTCTTGCCAAAGTGATCACGATCATCCACATCCCGGCGACCCAAGGCGCACTGGAGGAGTCGGTGCACCATGTAGCCTAAAAAGAATGCCTTGCGGGTCTCGCTGCCTTCACTCTGTGAAATGTGAGGCAAGAGTTCCTTTTGCATGATATCTCTTGCGTACCGCACACGTCGCTCGTGGTTCATGCTGGATTGAGCAGATCCTCTCTTGGCGATGAAGTCCAGAGCGACTTCCCGGTCCTGGATCACAAAGCCTTCTTCGATACAGGGCTTCAGCATCTCCAACATGGGGGTGTCGTTCCTGTCGTAACAGATGTGGTTGAGGATGTCCTCGTCGGACACAACACCGAGGGCTCGGAATACCACAACAATGGGAATGTCCGTCTTCACGTATGGCAACGTCGACCGAATCGTGGGTCCAAATCCTCCCTTGGCGCTGTCACCCTTTGCAAAAAGCTTCAGGGACAGCTGGGAGAGCATTCGCGAGCCCTTCTCGACAGCACTGCGAATCTCAGCCACATAGGGCGTGGGACTGGGCGGAGCTTTCTTGAAAACTTGGACGATGTTGCCGGCGCTGCGCTCCTGGGCGATCAGGACCTTCTCACTGCCGTTAATGATGAAATAACCACCGGAGTCGTAGGGGCACTCGTTCCAGTTGTACAAGGCCTGCTCGCTGAGATCCTTGAGGATACAGTATTTTGACTTGAGCATGATAGGAATCTTGCCGATGAAGACGGTCTCCTCCTTGGCCGAGTCAGACCCAAGGTCCTTCTGTTCCCACTCCAAGTACGTGCCCCGGTTTTTCCGATCCTCATCCACATCCAGGCCCTCGTCCTCATCACGGTCCCCAACGGCCCGGTCGCGACCTTCCATCACGCGCTTGGTGATACCGAGATAGAGAGGGCTGGAATACGTCAGGTTTCGGAGGCGAGCTTCCTGGGGCAACATGATCGTCGTGGCGCCATCACCTTCGGTCACCGAGGGTCGAGAAAGCATCACAGTTCCGAACTTGATCTCGTAGCGACGCATCACGACCGGGTCCACCTCATCTTCATTGCGGGGGATCGACTGGTCGAGCGTGACTTGGCCCTGCTCTTCCACAAGATCCTGCATGGTTGACGAGATGAACTCATCGAACGAGTCCAACTGCTGCGAGACAAGACCCTTGGCGTCGAAGAAAGACGAGATCACCGTCCAGCAGTCTTCCGACGTGATTCCCTCCTCCCCATCGTCGTAGAATTCCTCCTCGTAAGCGTCATCGTAGTCTGCCATTTTGACTGACCCAAGAGCTCGGCACGGATTCGATATGCAGGTGGTGGGCGAGAAACGAGGCGAAAGGTGAGCGCAGGAGGCGCGTCGCGCTCAGCGAAAGAAAAGATCCGACTGCAGGCTTGTCCTAGCACGGCCAGGGGAGCAGTCTCATCCGTTGTATCGCGATGGCGGCTTCAAAGGAAGATAACTCGCAAGCTGGGAGGCCTCTGTCCGATGGAAATCGTCGCAATAGCCCAGGCCAGCCGTGAGGTGAATGGCAGCAGCAAAGCTGGTCTCCTGCGGTGTCGCTCCGTCTCCCAGATGGATCTTGCAGAGCCGCCACTAACTCGGCCTAGGCCCAAGGGGGAAGTCTGGTCACGTGTTGATGAGTCATCCGTCTGTTATTGTTGGGGAACTACGACTGATTGTTCACCACTGATTTAGGGACTCCGAACAATTATCTCAGGCAACGATCGTCTATTGAGAAGCCGTTGAATGGGTTATTGAATAGCCAACTGATGCTAAATATGGTATTACATTGACGTTTATCAAAAGTGAATGAATGCCGCCTACAGGAATTGCAGCAGGGTGCCCAGCATGTCCTTGACGTCCTTTTGCTCTGGTTCGTCATCTTGCAGCCCTTCCATTTGTTCTAGATGCACATTAGCATTGTTCTTTCGATGCTTGGGGGAGGTTTAACTCACCTTGTAGGGTTGCTCGGATGAGGGAGAGTGTCTCGTCCCGATCTGCCAGTACCGACTGGATCTTCTTCTTGGCACCGTCGTCTTCAGCGACTAGCCACGCCAGAATAACATCGATCAACTAACAACTATGTTAGAAAAAGAAAAAAGTACAAGGGTGATGAGAACCAAATAATGGAACGGACCTGTAGAGGGAAGAGGCCAGCGTCAAAGCGCCGACCGAGCCATTCAGCGGCCATAAATTCTTGTTCTTCTTCATCCAAGCGTTTTCTTTCCTTCTCAATTGTTTCCTCCACGGGAAATAGCCGTGAAGCATGGTCTCGTCGGAGTTTGATGAGCTTGTCAATTTTTTCGTAGTCTTTTTCCATGAATTTGGCGAGTGTGCGGATACGGCCTGCGGAGCCTCCGGGGAGAAGTCGCAGAAGTGAGGCAAAGATGCCCAGGAGGTGCTCGATATTCTGGGATTCTTGCTGCTCGGGATTAATCATCCGCTTCAAACAGTACTGCTTCATGCAAGAAAACACAAGATGAAACGTACCTTCTTCATGAACATGCCAAAGATGGTTCTCAACCCTGCAGCTTCAACCAAGTGCTCGCAGGCGCCAGCACCCCATTGCCCACCAAGGGCATGATCAAGAACACGGAGAGCCCTGGGTTTACTGAACTTCCCTTCCTTGAGCATGATCAACGCAAGTTCAATTCCTTCGCCTTCCAGGAACCTTTGCTTTCCAACTTCCTCGTCAACAAGACAGGCCAAACTATTGAAGATATTCTCTGCATATTCTTCTTCGTCTGAGTCCTTCGCTGGATCACGTTTGCGATATTGACTGAGTAGCTGAAGTAATGTGTCCACGCCTTCGAGACTGGCAAATTTCTCCCTACTCTTCGGAGAGGATTGTAGAAGGATTGATAGCACCTCTGCGGCGTATTGCTTGTTCTGGCCGACAGGAGACTCCTTGCGTTGGATTCGTGACAGGAGCCATGACAGCAGTCCGGAATCCTGACCGATCTTCTCTGCAATCGTGTTTTGAGAAGCCAGGTTTTCCAACACATCTGGAGGCGCGTCAGTCAACAGAGGCATATCTATGCAGGCAAATAAGCACTCACTTAAGATGTAGTAGACTCCTGCCCTGTCTGCCTCGTTCTCTTCATCCAGCCGCGACAAATTTTGCGATAGGAGTTCGACTAGATCAGCATCCAGCTTATTGGGTGCCATCAGATTAGCTTAAACCACCAATGTAGGTTCTCGACACCTACCATTGCGTTAGCCAAGGTATCCCATTGCTCTGGCTCCGCTTCTACGTCCTCGTCCGTAAGCTCTGTGATTGTTTGGATGGCATCAATGGCGATATCGGTATTTTCGTGTGATAGCAGCGACACCAGAGACCCTACGCAGCCTAACTCGGAGAACTCTGTGTAGAGCTCTGGGTGTTCTGCCAGGATCGACACGCCCTTGATCTCTGTATCCAAATCCGCCTCCGAGGCCATGAATCTGCAAGTGAATCCTGTCAGCCAAAAACGCTGAATCGGAAAATAGACTCGACATACTTCTGAGGGTCGCTCTCAAACTTCGCCCTGAGCTCAGCATTCTTCGATATTTTCTTCTCGAAATTGAGCGCAAAGCGTCGGACCCAGGCAGAGTCGAACTTTTCCACCTATGTAGCCGGTCAGCATACAAGGGAACTTGTTCACAGGCACTCTTGTTGTTCCTACCGCTGCTTCATCTTCTTCATTCTCGTCAATGTACTGCATCGCCTGAGCAGTTTGACGTTCCATCCCTCCGCCGAAGAAGCGCCCTTCTTCATCGTCTGCGCCGTCTTCACCATCCAAGTCTGGAGGCAACTCCGGACCGGCATAGCCATCATCATCTTCTTCTTCACCCCCCTCCTCCTCCATTGAAACAGCTTTCCCCTTAGATTTCACGTCATCTTGCGAGCCGAGCTTTGCCGCCTTATAGAACTCATCTGGTCCTGCGCGTCAGCGAATGCGGTCGAGTGGAAGCCGAAGGGTACAGGGCATACTGGGATCGCGGGTTGGGTCAAGTTTGCGTTTCCCGCTGCCGACAGGCAACGGCTTCTATCACGACTTTCAGCTTTCTTCCTACCTCCAAAGACAAGGGAAGGTAATCCGTACCTTGAAAAGTTCATCTATGCTCGCCATTGTTGCGGCATGTGCAGCAAGACAGCTTAGGAGGTCTGGATCTCTGACTAGCCACGACCAGTGGAGTCAGCACAGCACCCTGTCACGACGATGGACCTAAAAGACAAGAATCCACCCAGAATAGAGCGCGAGAGCCTCTGCATTGACCTGTCCGCCCCCGTCACTTGCGGCGATGCGCAGCTGCTCCGAAGGAGATACGGTTGCCGGGAAGAGCTACAAGCGCCGTTTGTCACGCCAAGCCGCCGGGGCAGCTGGCGGAAGATTTCTCGACATCCAACAATCTACACCATTCGTCCACCCACGTCGTTGACTACCCAGAATCATCTGTCTGGAATTAATTCTTAGTTTTCTCCAAAGAGCAATCCTTTCATTTTGAATCATGGCTCCCAAGCAGCGTGCTGTCGGCTCCACTCGCGGGCCTCAAAAGAGCTTCCTCAGCATCGCCTACGAGGAGGCCACCTCCCCCGAGAACACCACCATTGTTCGGAGCATCCTGGTTTTTGGCGTAAGTAGCGTTGCTGCCCGGGATTGCTGTATTCCTGGAATGTGCTGTATTGGGGGGCTGACGTGAACCGAACAGGCCGGTGTTGCTTTCCTCCACAGCAGCCTGAGCGATTTCCTCCTTCCTCCGTAAGTCACGGTTGATTTCTTGCAGGCAGCTAGCGGGCTTGCCGGTACATTTCTGGTTGATACTCTGACACTACATGCTTAGTCTTTAAATGAATACGATCGGATCGTCGAACTGCACAACGACCGAATGACAAGATTGGGTCGACAAGTCGACAAGACGGGTCAGTTTTGATGAAGAGTAGTCGCGCTGCATGATCGACTCGACTTTTTTATCTTCAGAATATATGTATTATAAGTTTTTGTGATTCAAAGGGCATACACATGCTGGGTGTTGTGTGTGAACAGGCATATGGACACTTGGAATAATGACACTAGAGTTTTACTTTTTGAGCACTCAAAGGTTTTGGTATAGCTTTTCCATACTGATTCTACCGACATCTCGCCACTGAAAACGGCTTTTTGGAGTATTCGTTGTTAAGAGACCTTACACGGGTCCTTCCTGAAGCGAGGGGCTTCAACTCATTCATTTTACCCTTTTCCAAGCCCTGAATTGTGAATGATACACTAGCCGTCCGATCAATCTTATCTGATGTCTAAATGCCGGACTTTTTGGACCTGCTATCTGTATAAAACAGGGATGGATTCTTGTCACTCAACAGAACCGATGGCCCAAGTTGGCCACTACTACTTCTGTCAGCTAAAAGCTCGAGCGTTGCATCTTAACCATGTCACAGTACTAGTTCGGAAGGATGGCTGTGATGTGATGCAAATGTCTCTGTACCAGCCAGAGCCCTTGCGATGATTACCAGAGCCGATATTTAACTAAGCACTACTACCGAGGAAATAGGTACCTACGACCTAATTGTTATAGCTGACCTTGGCAGCTGCAGTGATTGGTTCACAAACTCGGAATTTCCAGACATCGCCCCCAATTCGGATGCTGATCCGGCATTTGCGGGGGCAGTTCTTCAACCCGCAAGACCCCCACAAATCGCCATCCCAAAGACCGCCTTTTCTCTTTTTGTTCTGCTTTGTATTAGTCCAGAATGACCAACAGAACCTAGAGCCCTAGATGGTGACCTTCGGGTTGATCACTGCTGCAGTCGCATACGGCTCGCCTCCCGGCAAGTGTACTCGGTTTCGGAAGGCTGGATGACCCTTGTCTGGCTTGTTACCTTAGAAATCGCCCAAATCTTCTGGAAGCATGGCTGTCAAGCGCAAAGTATCGCATGCCTTCACTGAGACTGAAGGAGACTCGAATAGGGTCCGATTTGAGACATGCAGACCGTCGACAGCATGGAATAACCGACCAAGTCATCCTTGGCAAAGAACGATGACAAACGCAACAATGGGTTCTGCGATCTCCGACCTGGAATTCGACCCGTTGACTGCCATCTGGGATAAGGAACCCAGGTTTTTTAAACCGCTGCCGTCTCGCATCCCATCTGAAGATAGGGAGTTTTTGAGATTCCGAGGCGCCCTGACGACCCCTGAGAGCGGCCTGAGGGATGAATTGCTGCGGTGTTATATTCGATGGGTCCATGGATCTCTACCTATTCTGGATCTCCATAGGTTTCTGAGTATCATCGCACAGAATGACCCCCATGGAAAGATCAGCCTACTGCTTTTCCAGACGGTCATGTTCGTTGGAACGGCTTTCGTTGATATCAAGCATCTGCAAACTGCCGGATTCGCCACCAGAAAGCTTGTCCAGGATGAGTTCTATAGACGAGTTAAGGTAAGTAAATTGATTCCATGTTGATTGTAAAATTGGGGAGGCTAAGCCAATGACGCAGCTTCTGTATACCTTTGAATGCGAAGAAGATCGACTCGCACTTCTCCAGTCCTATCTACTTTTGACGTCCTGCTCCGATCAGGAGAACACACCCCACACAGATACCTGGGACTTGGTTGCATCGTGCACTACCCTTGCTTATTCAATCGGTCTCGATCAAGACCCGTCACAGACTGCCCTGGATCCCGGGATGAAACATCTGAGGGTCCGTCTGTGGTGGAGCCTCTATACTTGTGATCGAATGACTGCAATGGAGCTACGGCGGCCTCCTCACATCAATGGGACGCCAAGCGATGCGCCAATATTGACATTGGAAGACTTTGACTTGAAGCCGTTTCATTCCTTCGTGGTTGAGAGGTTTCAGTGCCGCCAGCTCGAGAACGTCTGTGACCAGAGGCGTCTGGCAACCATGTTCATCGAGAAGGTCAAGCTCTGCCAACATATCGGGGAGATACTGTCTATTCGGTACTCGCCATTGCATAGAGATCTCGGTAGAACCAGCCAACCCACCATAACCCTCGCTCCACGGCAGGCTCCGGAGTCTGAGATGACGCAGTGTAACCGAAGGCTGGAATTATGGGCCAAGGAGCTACCACAGGACGCGCACTTCATCTCACCATCTTCACCAAAGCCTACTATGAAGGATGGCGATGATGTCTTATTCATACACAGTTCCATGCTGAAGATGCTCTGGCATGCCGCAAGCAGTGCATTTCATCGGCCTTGGCTGGCAAATAGTCGAATAGCCAACAGGGTCACAGCTGGACAGCTTAGATCGCGGGATTCAGTCATGGGCATCCAGGAAATCTCCCAGAACATCTATCGGTTGAACCTGATCAGGTTCCTCCCTCAATGCGCGGTGATGATTATATCGCTAGCTGCCGCAGTCCATCTCGAGGACTCAATGGCTGAAAATCCAGCAGTGAGAAATAGCAGCATGGCTAGACTCCAAGCATGCATCCAGGTGCTCATCCAGGTAAAGGAAATATATCCTTCCGCGGTGGTCGAGCTTGCACGCCTAGAAGCCGCAGTCAGAAAACAATCAGCCTGTCATGACATCTACTCACCGATACTTCTTCCCGAGTTGAACAACTGTTCCAATACGAGCCCTCCACAAGCGCCCATTCATATTCCACCTGACATCCATCCGAATCTTCAACAGGCAAACAAACAGGCAACTCGAAACATGGCAAGCGAGCTGGGTTTCCCACGACCCACCCCGCCAGTCTCTTACAACCTTGATTCAATCTTCCAAAGCCCCCCCTCAAGTACAGCTATTGATCTGGACACTTTCCCGGGCTTATCGCCTGACGAATCCCTGATCGACTCTGAAATCCCCGACCTCGAAGCAGACTGGACCGCCGATCTGGTAGACGAATGGGCGAAGCCAGATTTCAACCGCGATTATACTTTTTCTTCAGTGTCAGATCAGAAACGGCATGATTCGTTTTCGCTTTCGACCCCGATTTATAAGGATTTAGGCAGGCGCCATATCACTGGAGATTTGGACACGGATTTGGGATTATTGCCATTTGGAGATGAATTCTTTTAAATGTCTTTATCTAGCATGGTGCCTTATGATATTTATGAGTTGTGCCCCTTTTTCAGTTATTTACTAGGCTGACTGGTGGATTGTATTTATATATATGCAAAGTATGTTGAAGCCTGGATGTGCCAATAACTATTCTCGTCCAGAAATGAAAGCAATAATGTCTACCTGCCATTTGTTTGCCCTTTGTGACTATCTAGAAAGGGGTATCTTCTTGGATCTCGGTCTCCTAATAAGAAATGCTCTTTTATGTACCGAGGTAACTATAGATGGTCTTGGGAATTATAGTTAAAAGTGTGGCATATCCAACTAGAGCTTTCAAGGCCGAAACATATGCAAAATCCCACATATCTTTGCGAAGGAATGGTTCTATCCTTAAGCAGGTCTAATCATAGGATATCACAGAGGCAAGAAAAAAAAATGAGAAGAACAATATAAAACAGAGCAGGCACAGCCCTATATGCACATGACCACCTATGATTAAACCCTCGCGGGCCTCTCTGGGTTCTCCCGCGTCGTTGGCACCACTTACTTCTTTGTCCAGCGATTACTCTCGTCCACTTCCTGCCACTCCTGTTCGATGTAGCCCAGTTTCTTCTTCACAGCCTGGACCTTGTCCTTGTCACCTGTGTTCTTGCCCATGTTGTCGCTGAGCTTGACGGCCGGGCGACCATTCGCGGTGGCGATCTTGATGACGATATTCAACGGTTTGGACTTTTCCCCATTGGAGACATTGGTGTAATCATCTGTTCAAGGTTAGACTTTCTTTCTTTCTATTTATTATTATTATTATTATTTGCAGTCCATACTTGTGAAGAAGGTGCCAACACCAAAGACGGGCTTGAACCCGGCCTTGTCGGCAATAGCCTTGTACTCGAGGCAGTTCTCGATGTTCAACGAGTCAGAGAAGACCACTGTCTTCGGATCCGTGATGCCCTCTTTGTCGTAAAACTCGCGAACCCTCTTCACGAAATACGCAGGGTCACCGGAGTCCTGACGGATTCCGGTGTATACCTGTGCATATGTTTTGATTTCGCCTTTTGGTGCAGACTCTGCGGTAACATGGGCAGAGATTGGTTTGCGGAAAGCGTCAAGGAAGGCAGGCGTACCGAAGGTATCTGTGAGCGCAATACCGAGGACCTGAGATGAATTAGCTCAACTCTTCCAAGCTATCTATACAAGACTTCGTTGTGAATAGGAGAGGGGAGCATACTCCCTCGCCAAAGCAGCCCATCCAATATTGTAGGCCTAGCTCGTTTGCGTTCTCGTAGTCGTCGGTGATGGCAGCAATGGTCATGTACCATTCGTGGGCGACAGTGCCAACGGGATTGACGCCATATTTCATGGCGAAGTGAACGTTGCTCGTACCTGTGAAGACTCCCTTCCAGCCATTCTTCTTGCCGTCTTGCGTCGCGCGCATCAGCCCCTTCATAACCAAGTCATGGGTGTGGTAATCCCGTCGACGTCTTGAGCCAAACTCAGAGAACACACACTCATTCTCCAGCAAGGTGCAGCCTTTTTGGTACGCCTTTTCCTCCTGGTTATCGTACTTCCAATCCTTGTCACAGAACTTGAAGAACGCTTGGCTTGTCAAAGCCAATAGAGGAATCTCATATAAAATGGTCTCCACCCACAGCCCCTTGATGGTATATTCGAGATCGCCGACGTCGCTGTCACTGCCAGTGTCATTGATAAGGGTGAATTTGATTTCGATCTGTTCGGACGGAGACAGTTTGAGGTTCGACAGGTACGCAAGATACGCATCGTTGAGATAGGGACATGATTTCTTGAGAAACGCAATCTCATCCGGGGTCACTCGTATATTCCCCAACTCTGCCAAAAGTCATCCCCCTGGTCAGCCTTCTCCTCGCGAAGAATGGAATATAGATACTAAGGGTCACTCACTGTGTATCTGCTCCGCCAGCCACTTGTACGCCTCTCGTGATAGTCTCATGTGTGGGGTGCGGTTCGTGAAGCCATAGGTCACCACTATATAACGTAAGTATTCAAACATCCCAAAATCATCCCACAAGCCTCCCCAGCAACTCACGAGTATCAGGGAAGAATTTCAAAACAGCACACTGCATAGTGAGTTTATAAAGATCTGTATCCAGAAGGGAGAAAATCCCCTCTGGAAGCGGGGAAGAAACAGAGCTCATCTTGTCTCTCCTCAAGCAGCAATTGACGTGAAGAACAGAAGGCAAACTAATCTCAAGACCAGACTTTCAGATCGAAGGGACTCAGGAGAAAGAGTTTCCAGCGTCGCCAAAGAAAGTCAGCCGCTGATTCCGTTGTGAATCGGACCTGCGGGGGATTGCGCGAGGCCGATAGAGGGGATATATTCCCAGAACAGTACTGTTTGCACTGTTTGCTCTACGTCCGAGTAGCATCCGGCGATAACGCAAGAGAAAGCGCGCTGCAGCCGTAAGAATAATGCGAAGAGGGGGGGCAACGTCATCACCGATCCACACCGAGACCACATGTAGCCAGATCTTGCGTCAAATATGCGATGGTGTCGTAGACGGAGAGGCGCTAGACATGGGGATAAAGAAAGGATTCGCTTCCGGCAATGATTCTAGGCAGCCAACTGGAGGTTAACTTGCTGAGGGCCTTGTTTGCTCATTTTAGTCAGGATGGGTCGAATTTCCATCAGATAAGATTGTCTGGATATACGTGGACAGGCTCTTTTGTCCATAATATACTTCTTAAGCCAAGGTCTCTGCTATATAGTGTACCTAGATGAACTTGATGTAACTACAGAGTACCTACCTTGTACCTGACGGGATGCGGGGGCGGTTTAAAGTGGCTGGATATGTGGCTGGTGAGGAATAAGGCGGTGCATAAGCACGTGACTGGAGGTTTGCCTTAACTTCTAAGGCTTCAATGCCTTGAATGCCGTGGGCCGACCGAGCGCCACTCGTTCACCAACACGTCGTTTTATCAATTCAATACGCCCTTGTATCGCCGATCCCTTGCGATATCGAAGATCTCGTTCGGGCTTACATTTCACAGGAATTGGAGAAATCAGCCAGGCTGGTCAGCCAGGATGGCACACGGCGCAGAGGATTGTGCTTCGGTCTTGGAACAATTCGTTCACGATGTTGCGAACTTGCCTGCGGAGATTAACCATCTGATGGAGGAGATTCAGGCCAAGGACAAGATTATCCAAGACTGTCGGGTTACCATCAACTCTCGCGACACGAGTATACAAAAGTTCATCCGGATGAATGGCAGCCTGACACCGAACCCGAAAGAAGAGCAGTACAGCAAGGTTATATTGCAGAATCTAGACAAATGCCAGCAGTTACAGGATGACAAGATCCATCTCAGCGAGAAAGCGTGCATTTTACTGGACCGCCAGATCAAGAAACTCGATGTCAAGATTCGCGACCTGCAAAACGATGGCATCCTTTCGAATGACCCCCCCCTCCCATCGCTGTTCAACAATAAAGACCAGTACCGCGACCCCCCCAAAGCATTCTTTCCCGACCCCATTTCCACCGATTCCGCATATTCTCCCCTCAACCCGACATCGGGAAATGCCAGCGCGGCCGCGGCCACCTCGCAACGAGGCAACCAGCCTAGCATATCTCGCTCAAACAGCGTCATGACACTAACAGCCCAAAGCAATGCGCGCAGCTCTGCCCCTGCTACTCCCGTGTCTGCGGCCGCAGCACACCTCCAACAACGGCACCGGGAATCTTCCACCGGGGCAATCGACAGCAAGCGTCGACGACTGAATGCATCGTTAGGGACGTTACCCGCCGCTTCTTCGAACCTACGGCAATCGTCGCTGGGTCCAGGTACCCCCAAACCGGGGACTCCGGTCTCCAGCCGAGCGGGAAGCCTTGGACCGCGCTCTGTGGCGATCACGAAGAAGGCCATGACAAAGAAAGTTGCACCGCACCAGCAGGTCAAGAAGATCAAGACGATCTCTGCAGGCAACGGGAAACTGGCGAAACGGTCTTCGCCTAGCACCAGCCGGCTCAAAGTAGGCCCTAAATCGTCACCCTCCGCCAACGGGGGTGACGAGGATGAAGACGAATCGATGCTCAGCAGCGCCGACGTCTCCGACTCGGAGAATGCTAGCGTATCGCGACGGGCAGATGATGATATGGACGAGGATGAGGAAGAAGAGGAGGAAGAAGAGGAGGAGGAAGATGAGGGCAATGAGGATACCAAGGTCTACTGTACTTGCCGGACAGTCAGCCATGGCGATATGGTCGCCTGCGACAACGACAATTGTCCGTATGAATGGTTCCACTGGAAGTGTGTCGGATTGACCAGGGAGCCCGTCGGGACATGGTATTGTGAAGAGTGTCGAGAAACACTGGGGAAATAACAAGATGTAGTATCGATATGATTTGTATGCTTTTTTTTTTCTTTTTTAAGATTATACCCTTAATAGCAAGTTTTTTAAACAGCCAAGTCGAAAATCACCTAAGCTATGACTTGTAGATCTGTCTAATATACAAAAAAAGAGATAGTTGACATGCTAGATATCGAGACTTTTAGAACTGCAAGGCATCACAACTCTATTGTTCATGACCATAATCCATTTCATTTTATGCAGAATAATTTTGGACGGTTCACGACGGACCGTACCGGTCTGCGATTCAATGCCGTATAAACGCCAACGCTATGCAAGGAGGAAAGGGTTAGGAAAAAGTTCAGCCTGAGTGTGTGGGAGGGGAATCGATTTTCCCTTGATCCATCTCAGGTTTTTTTCTTCTTCTAGAAGCCTAGGGCCTTCTCTAGCCAGGGGTCAAAGTATTCGCATGTTTCCGGGCTGACAGCGCCGCCGGGGGCGCACAGCTTGAAGACAGGACACTGGCCGCAGGGGGCCTCGGTCATGCCGTTGAAGACGAGGCGGCGACGCTCATCGTCATCGGCGTCCGGGTCGATGGGGCCCGGCTTGCGTGCCTGTTGGGCCTTGACAGCCTCCGGGTTCTTAATGGACCGGTACATCTCCCCGTTGTTCAACGAGACCAGCTTGTTGTCGAAACAGAGGACCTGCAGCAACTGCACGATACTCTCTTCGCCTAGCCGGACGGGCGTGATGCCACTCTCGTTGACCGCGGCCGTGATGGTTGCAACTGTCGAGTACCCCTGGTATCCGGCTGGGAAGGGCAGATATTGCCGGTCGGAGGAACGGTCGGGGAATTTGGCGGCGGCACTGCCGTCGGCGGTCTTGATGCGCTTGTTGCGCTGGACCTCCACGGCGGGTGCCTCGTACCAGCTTTTGCGACTCACGGTGTATTCGATGAAGGTGGAGACGGAGTTGATAAAGTTGGCGTCTAGCACGCCGTCGGTGAACCACGCACCGCCGGTCACATCCTCGCTGGGGGCAAGCCCCGCGAGCATGTACATCTTGCGGGTCGGGAACTTGACATTGTGCACGCTTTTGATGTAGTTTTTCCCTTCCAGCGCCTTGAGGCATCGGTCCAGGATTGACTTGGGCAGACCCGTACGGTTCTGTATCGCCCGGACCCAAATGCCGGAGCGGCCTGTCGAATGGATCACATTGTAAACGAGACTTTCGTCAGGGTTGAGGTTTTGCAGTCTGTCGAATAGCAGTCAGCAACAACAGAAACAACAACAGAAACAACGACAACAACAACAACCAGTCAAATCACAGCTCAATTCCGAATACATACTTCTCTGCATCCTCCCGCGAGATGATCTTCCAAGCTAATCGGTCGTTTTTCCCCTGTAGAAGGCGTAGTAGTTTCTGGTCCACCAGGGTCTGGGTCAACTGGAGCAGCTGCGCGAGATCATTCTTAGGTACGATACCCAGGCCAAGCAGGTCCTGCTGGTAAAAGAGATGGTCGGGAGGGAACTTGCTCAGGCAGGCTTCGTAGAGCCGCGCTGCGAGCTCAGCGGTACTCATGGTGTGGAGGATGGAGGGAAGGCTGTCGACTACCGAAATGGGCTGTGAAATGGCATGTTCAGGGATACTCCTGCAGACACCCTGGCAATTGCGACCAGCCGTCAGCCGTACATCGACAGGAGATCGATCAGACGTGAGGATAGGAAGGAAACTAGCCGGCAAAGCGCTCGAGCTCACGCTGGTGGAGGTGTTTTTTTTGTTCACGTTGAATAATGAGTGGGGAAGGCCGAAAGCAGTTAGCTTCCTGCCTGAGGCTGAATTAAGTATGCCTTATAGCCTGAGGCATAAATCCTGAGGCATAAATACTATGCCTCAGGCTACAAGGCACCCACTTCTTCCGGAAATTTCGAGAAGCTCAGCCAACAGAGCTCATAATCAGGCAGACCACCCGCAGGCAACGGCTGGCAACTTCCTCATCCAACACACCCTGAAGCTCATTCTACAGAGCGCAGTTTGACGTCCAGACACCATGGCCGACGCTTTAAAAGCCGAGGGCAACAAGGCCTTCTCTGCAAAGGACTACCCTACTGCTATGTATGTGTTGTACCCCGCCTTTCCCCGATAGCTGAGAGCGGTGGGTGGATGGGACAACAGTGAGGGTGACTGGAATGACTGACTGGATGACAGTGAGAAATTCACCCAGGCCATTGAGCTGGATCCGAGCAACCATATCCTCTATTCGAACCGATCGGCCGTCTATGCTGCCCAAACCGAGTACCAGAAGGCGCTTGATGATGCCGACAAAGCCACCGAGCTGAAGCCCGACTGGTCCAAGGGTTGGTTGCGTAAAGGAGCAGCCAACCGTGGTTTGGGAGACCTACGTGAGTGAGGTGTGGTCGATACGGGAGATGATGGACACTGATACGGCTGTGTAGTTGCCGCACATGATGCCTACGAAGAAGCGCTCAAGCTCGAACCCACCAACGAGCAGGCCAAGAGTGGAATGAATGCCGTCAAGCGGGCCATTAACGCAGAGGCCCAGGCTGACGGAGTCACGGGCGATCCGATGGGCGGTCTGGGTGGCGTCTTCAATGACCCGAACATGTTCGCGAAGCTGGCTAGCAACCCGCAGACCGCCGGGCTACTTGCGGACCGCCAGTTCATGGAGAAGCTGCAGCGGCTCAAGGACAATCCGAACAGCTTGGGTGAAGAGCTCCGTGACCCACGCTTCCTGCAGGTTATGAGTGTTCTCCTGGGTATTGACATGAGCTTCGGCGCACCTCCGGAGGGCGCCGCGGGAGCTTCTGGTGCTGCCGAGCCGGAAGAGGACATCCCCATGCCGGATGTTCGCCCGGCTGAGACTAAGAAGGCGCCAGAGCCTGTACCTGAGCCTGAGCCTGTAGATGAGGAGACTGTCAACAAGAAGCAGGCCCAGGAAGCTGGTGACGCCGAGAAGAAGCTCGGAAACGATTTCTACAAGAAGAAGCAGTTCGACGAGGCTATCGCGCACTACGAGAAGGCTTGGGAGCTGAACAAGGACATCACCTATCTGAACAACATTGGTGCTGCCAAATTCGAAAAGGGTGACTACCAGGGGACCGTGGAGACCTGCCAGAAGGCTGTGGAGGAGGGTCGTGACTTGCGTGCTGACTTCAAGATTATTGCCAAGTAAGTGACCATAACGGTGTGTGCCTAGTGTACGGGTTACTCATGGATGATTTCAAGGTCTTTTGCACGTATCGGAACTGCGTATGAGAAGATGGGTGACCTGGGCCAAGCGATCGAGTTCTACCACAAGTCGCTGACAGAGCACCGGACACCCGATGCGCTGACAAAGCTCCGGAATGCCGAGAAGGCCAAGACTAAGGCGGAGCGCGATGCGTACATCGACAGTGCGGAGGCGGAGAAGGCCCGCGAGCTAGGCCAGAAGAAGTTCCAGGACGGTGACTTTGCCGGAGCGGTGGAAGCCTTCACAGAGATGACGAAGCGGGCGCCGGACGACGTCCGCGGCTTCTCGAACCGCGCGGCGGCGCTGATCAAGCTCATGGCCTTCCCCCAGGCGGTGCAGGACTGCGACGAGGCGCTCAAGCGCGACCCGAACTTCATGCGGGCGTACATGCGCAAGACGCAGGCGCTTGTGGCGATGAAGGAGTACAACAAGGCCCTTGATGTACTGACCGAGGCGGGCGAGCACGACCCCGAGGGCAAGCACGCCCGTGAGATCGAGGAGCAGCAGCAAAAGTGTCTGGAGGCTCAGTTCAGCGCTCGTGCGGGTGAGACGGAGCAACAGACGATGGACCGCATCCAGAACGACCCGGAGGTGAGTGTTCCTAACAATCTCTCAATTACATCTTCCCCCAAACCCATGCCTCTTACTAATGAGCAGATCATGTCCATCCTCCAAGACCCCGTGATGCAGAGCATCCTGCAACAGGCCAAGAGCGACCCTGCAGCCCTGCAGGAGCACACGAAGAACCCGCAGGTGCGCATGAAGATCCAAAAGCTGGTGGCAGCTGGTGTGATCCGGATGGGCAGGTAATCGAAGCGTGTTAATGACTTCTGCATAACATTGATAGCAATGAGATTGTATCATCTACCACTGTAACTAGTCTGTCTTTGCTAGTTAGAACTCATTACTCTCAACCTATCCTTTAACTTAGTTACTATCCATCATGTTTAGGCTTATAGGCTGGGAGCCTTAGGCATACAGAATCACCTGACCATCACGAGGCACGGGAGCTTCACGTGTGCCTCTCTCGTTCTTTCCCTTTGCCAGACGACCAAGCCTGGACAAGACTCCTATTTCCTTTCAGAATTGGGCTGCAATCTCACGAAGAATATCAGAGTCTCCCTTGACCACTGGGTCGTCAAAGGAGCGGATCAGAGCCTCGCATTCCGCATTGCGCGGCCGGATGCTGACCTCGTACTGACACGGATGGCTGATAGTCCCTGGTGTGAAGTCGACGGTGGGTTCGACTTCCTGTCCATCTTTGACCATTTTGCTGATGTTGAAGGCCGCCAAGCATTTGGAGACGGTCAGGAAGATGGTGGAATCGGCCAAAAATCGTCCGGGGCAGATCCGACGCCCGAAGCCAAAGATCAGACGAGTGGGATCGAGCTGGGGGGCCTGTCCGTTGCGAGCGAGGAAGCGCTCGGGCTTGAAGTCCATCGGGTCCGGGTACGTCTCGGGATCGTGGGTGAAGGCCCTAAGGGTGAAGAGAGCGAGAGGTTAGTCCACGGGTATGTACTCTCTGGCGGTCAGGGGCTGGGGATTCTTGCTCACCAGATATTGGCGACCACAATTGAGTTGTTGGGGATTCGATATCCCTCATAGGAGTCCATGCCGGTAGACCGGTGCGGAACCCCCAACGGCACCACTGGATGCCAACGCATTGCCTCTAATATCAGAGCGTTCACGTATGGCAGCCGGTCACGGTCCTCGATCGTAGCGAAGCCGGTAGTCACAACCCTATCGAGCTCCTCCTGTGCCGCGCGTTGGGCATCGGGAAATAAGGCCATAGCCAGGAAGAAGACCGAAAGGATGGAAGGGGTCTGCCCAAACATAAAATAAATGGTTAGCATTCTATTTCCTTCTGGTGGAGAAAAACCCGCACCGTGTCCGAGCCACCTGCAAACATTGTCGCAGCAGTCCATTTGATGGTGTGTTCCTCATCTGGCGTGGGCTTGTGATTGAGATCTTCAATGTGCTTCGACACATACGAGGTTTCGTTATTGCCCTGGCCCATCTGGTGGACGACAAAGGCGTATGGCTGCTCGGCCACCAGGGCCAAGGTTTGACCCCATTCGCGGGCCGTACGATGGAAGCCTGCGCCGGGAAACCATTCCGGGAGATATTTGACTGACTAGATATTAGCACTGCACCTCGCTTGCCCGGCAGGGAGAGAGGAAGGGCGAGGACCCTGGACAACGTACGCCATGGGAAACTGTCCACTAGCCAGGCTCCAGGCTCGACAGCTAACACAAACTGAGACAAGGATAAATTCACCACATCCATAAGAGAGTCTGACCCCTGTGGTTCGATGGTATAGCCGTACAGGATGTTGAGCATTGACCCTGCGGTGAGCCTAGGCATGATGTCAGAAGAAGCAAGAAAAAAGAAAATACAGGCACACACAGAGGGAGAGAACATCTTCCGATGCACAGTCATCCGTACCGTTGAAGATGTACCCATAGATCTGCCGGGTGCTCCAGTAGGCGTACCAGCAGTCGGCGAGTCTCAACGTCTTGTTGTAGCGTGAAGTTGGCAACAGCCTTCTTGGATCCTATCAGATGGGCCATGTACTTCCGGTGTACCCGAACCTCGCTGGCCGAACTCTTCATAGTTACCGTGCGGTCCCAGCCGGCCCTTATGGGAGATTAGCCAGGGAAGTATCTGTGTACAGGTCTGAAGGGGAAAGGGGCATATACAGTTCCTTGGAGAAAACCGCCTCTGGTCGAGCCGAGTACAGCGAGGAACGCTTTTCCAGCAGTTCAAAGGCGACCTCGGCCTTACTCAAGATAATCACAGTCTGTCCCATGGTCGTGACGGAGCTGATGGGCCCTATTCTTCGTCATTCATCACGCTCATTACAAACGAGCAACTATCCCGTTCGACCCCCCAATTTTTCTCCCTACCATACTGATCCTTGTGTTTGAACCAATGCTCCCAACCCTTCTCGCCTCTAACCGGGAGGTCAGCGACATTTCCAACAATGGGCTTTGGGCGTGGTCCAGGAGGAAGAGGGAGAGAGCGGAGCGAGGCTAGCCTGAGCTTCAAGGCATGAAGGCCAGCGACCACCACCAGGCTGAAGACGATACTGTAGGCGATGATCATAATGGGGATGTGAAAGTCTCAGGTATGTGAGGGAGCATGAAACCCCCCCATGAATTTTCCTTGAGTCACATAAGGGACTTAAATTTCTACATGACCTGAGCAATACCTAACTACCTGTAAGGATCCTACCCGGGCAATACTTTACAGGGCCCTGGAAAGTACGAATCAGGAATTTACGGTTGATGATGACGACCTTTTGACTTAGCAGTCTAGAGTTCTCAGGTATTACTTTTCACTATCTAGCATACTGGATGTCCCTTATTCACAACCCCAATGCGGCTGGCTGCTGGACAAGGATAAACACTTTCCATCACTTTGTTCACTCGGCATATCAGCTAAACCAAGAGAGAAAAAACGCGCTCACGGGGTCAATAGAAAAACTACTAAGTACATTTTATCATCTACCTGTTTTTACAGATTGCCATGATGCTATCATGGAAGCAATTACCTAATTAGGAAGGAGTCAACAGCACGTTTTATTAGCCCTGAGATTATGACGTGTTACAGTCATTCCGACCCTCCAATACGGTCCAGAATATTCTTCTATCTTCAGGGTATCTCGAGACATGCATGCTGTATAGCAGGCCCTGGTCATTATCCACATACTGTATGTGGTGTGGCACATACACAATTGCATACGTCGATATCTTTGGATGCTCTTAACTCCGAGGACGGAATTGCAGGCTATAAGAGTGGGCAGTGAGATGAACTATCACGCCCCAGTATGCAAGTAAAAGTTAGAATCCTTTAGCTATCCGCCATTTCCTCATCTATTTGGTCATCTATTTGGTCACCTATTCCCTCATATCTCGGCGTTCTCGATCTCAGCCTATCATGTCTGCCACACCTAGGCCCTTCTGTTCCGTGATCATCATAGGCGGCGGCTTCTCTGGGGTTGCCATCGCCTGTCAACTGAAACGAAACTTTGATCTAGATGATTACTGCATCTACGACCGAATGGATGGTATTGGAGGAACCTGGAGAGCCAACACCTGTTTGTTGAACCCACCCTGGTTTTTCCTGAAAGAGTGGCAGGCGGAAAGTGTAAGACTCTAATCGTCACACACTGTCAGACCCAGGATGCGCCGTCGACATCCCTGGCGTCTGCTATAGTCTCTCCTTTGCCCCCAGCTCGGATTTTAGCCAGTGGTTTCCACCTCAAGCCGAGATATTGACGTACTTGATGAAGGTTGCCCAGTCCTATGGCGTGGATGATCACTTTGTCGGCTACACCGAATGGCAGGGCGCCTACTGGCAGGATACAACCCATACCTGGCGGGTGCAGATGAGGGATCTACGGACAGGAGAGCAGTTCACACGCGAGTGTCGCATCCTCATCTCGGCCGTGGGTGGTCTTGTCGACCCTCATCCATTCAATGCACCGGGCATCGGGACCTTTCGGGGAGAGGTTATCCACACATCTCGGTGGAAGTCTGATATCAATCTGGAAGACAAGCACGTCGCTGTGATTGGAAATGGAGGTGAGATATCCAGACATCACCGTATGAATATGGTTGCATTGCATCTCATTATGCAGCATCTGCAATACAGTTGATGCCCGCTATTGCCGGCAAGGCCAAATTCATCACACAGTTCATGAGGGTAAGCTCCTCTGTGTCCACACACCCTTCCCTCCACGAAACCAAAAAGGGAAGGGAAGGGAAGGGAGAAGAAGAAGAGAATCCTTGAGAGATTACTGAGTCATGGTCCCAGACGCCTCATCACATAGTACCCAGCTGCAATTACGATATTTCTCCGTTAGCCCGAGCGTTGCTGCGATACATACCTGGTCTTCTCTTTCTGCTGCGCCAACTTATGCTGCTATACATGGAGAGCGCGTTCCAGCAGTTCAGCACGAGCGAGGACGGAATTCAAGACCGGATCCAGTCGGCAAAATCGAGCTTCGATTATGTGCAGGAAACTGCACCAGGTAAGTCATTAATTAGCGTGCAGATCAATTGCATATGAAAACTGGACTAATTGCTGCTTCCTCGGTTTCTTCACGTTCAGCTAAGTACTGGGCACACTTGATACCGACATATGAGTTTGGATGCAAAGTAAGAATACCCCTGGAAGAGTTAAAAAAAAAAAGAAACCAAAAAAGACACAAAATTAAATCAAGTGCACCACTAGAGGCGCGTATTCGACCGCTCGTATACTGCAACCCTCCATCGGGATGACGTCCGCCTGACAAATGACCCTATCTTGGCGGTGCAGCCCAATTCCATTGTGACAAGGTCTGGTGAAACAATTCCTGCCGATATCATTGTAAGTCAAATTCCCGATGTGTGAGTGGAAACCCGGGGGGAAGGGGGGGATAGAATTGGTCATCTGGGTTGGATTGACGTTGACCATCCCAGCTGCTAGCAACAGGATTTTCCCTCACTCAGTTTGACGTCACCCTGCGAGGCCGAGGAGGCAAGACTCGTCAGCAGCATTGGGATGAATACGGAAGCAAAGCAACCTACCAGTCGGTGGCGATGCATGGCTTCCCCAATTTCTTCTATGTTCTGGGACCGAACTCAGGGCGAGCGCATACATCTACCTTGGTATCAATTGAAAGGTTGAGTCCACCCTCAATCCCCCCAATTAGTGCACCTGCGTGGTGATCCCCGATCCGAACCTAGACCAGATGGCTGACGGGTCAGTTATGTGGATCTTATCATCTCTGTCATCAGCCCAATCCTTCGGGGCAGGGACACTTCCGTCGAGGTAAAGGTTGAGGCCGAGAAGCAATTCCACCAGACTCTGCAGGCGGCTCTCAGCCAGACAGTGCATGACAGCTCCTGCGCCAGTGTGGGTGTTACCCCTCCCCCCTCCCCCTGTCTTGGTCTCCGAAAAATCCTCTTCCACCGGTTAAATGATGCTGATGTTTTTCTGGATCTGCAGTATTTCATTGATCGGGAGACCGGGAAGAATTGGTTCATCTATCCATGGAGTTCTCTGCAGATGTGGCTGTCCACTCACTGGGCGGCAGCTGGAGTCAGGGATTGGAAATATGACAGGCATTAACAGGAAGGAAAGCCATATCCGGGTGGCGGCGATAAGTGAGAAGCAGGGATGGGTTCGATGCTGCATGGCATCCCAAGATAGAATTACGCAATTCTCCGTCATGTAGAGAGAGAAGAGAGATATGTAGTATGCGCGAGGGTCAGCCGTCCATTCAACATGGAGGGGTCAAATGCATGGGTTGTTTTTTTGGGCTGGTTTGAGAAGTGTTCGAGGCATACGCTAAGCCACCGTATTGAGTCCTGAGTAGTTCGTCAACACGGAAGATAAACCCGCCTGCTGTCAGTGCAGCGGCAGGGAATGTGATAGATCATCTGTAGACCTGGCTAGCTCCGTTCTGCAGCAACGGGCAACGGTCAACGGGATGGATCTGCATCCATAACTAATTGATTACACATGATAGACAAAACTCAAAAGGGGAGAGTACCCTATAGCAGTGATATTAATCCCCCCCCCCCTAATACATACTCTCCTCCACGAACCAGAGGACTATGGACAATCAGGTTATGTAAGGCGGCCTGCCTAAGTCTCGGATCCGAGTCATCTATGAGAGAATTTAGTATAACCGAGAGTATAAATTTACCTAGTAGGTAGACATCGAAGGGTGCTGTGCTAACTAGTAACTTTTGACGCTGTGCGATATCCCCGTTGCACTCCTAGATAAGAAGAAAAAATGATCATGGATTTGCTTTGGTCGCCTGCCACGACGGTAGGCATCTTCCTCGGCCTGAGAAGCGCGGCACCAGTCTTCTGGGTGATGAGGAGCGTGGCAGCCCTGCTGCTCGCCGCGGTTGTCTCTCTGCTCGTCTTGCTGTTCTGGGCCATCTGGGGCCCGCGCCGGCTGGTCTCCCAGTCAGACAAGTCGGTAACCGTGCTGGGGAGGCCGCTCCTCTTCCCTGTCACCATCACGCATACCCGGCGCAAACCCGTGAACAATCAGTTCAGTCATCGGGTCCTGTTGATCGGAGTCCCCGTGGGTCTTTGCGGCCGCGTGGGTCACCTGCTGTCTATCGATGACAAGCAACGCAGTGGGTCGACCACGCCCTGGGACAGCTGGTTCCGCTTCGATTCAGCACGGTATCTCCATCGCGGTGATGAGCACCTCGGACTGGGGGAGAAGCTGCATCGTTTTCTGCGGGCCCAGGTCAGCAAAGTTTCTTCTTCTTCTTCTTCTTCTTCTTCTTCTTGCTGACAAATAACGTCTATAGAATCTTGATCCTGCACGTTGGCCGTACGCATACATGTTAAGCGTACCGCAGTGGCTGTGGTGGTCCCGCAGTGTGGTGACCTGGTGGTACCTGTACTCGCCGGCCCGCCAGCTCGACGCCGTCATCATGGAGATCAACAATTCCTTTGATGAGAAGCGTAACGTGCTGTTTGAGGTCCGCCGCAGCGGTAGCGACGAGCATGATCCTGTCAAGTCAGCAGCACTTGCGGGTGAGAAAGAAGAAGATCTGGACGCGGCAGGGATGATCCACTCGTTGCCTTCAGTCCCGATTTCTGCCTTCTATCAGGGTTCATGGGAGAAGCACGTTTACGCCTCCCCCTTCGAGAAGGTTGAGGGCAGCATTGCAACCCGGTTCCTCGATCCGCTACAGGAAAGCTCGTGGAGCGCCGCCGTCTCACTTTCCAACACCACAAGCATCAGCCCAGCCGGTGACGCCAAACTCACGACACGGATTAGCTGCCGCGAGCGCCCGCTGGACCCGGTGCGGTCAACGGCACTCTCCCTAGTCTGGTTCCTGGTGCGGTGGACGCTGCCTATCACATTGACAACCCCGCGGATTATCTTTCAGGCGCTACGCATAGAGTATCTAGGTCTCATGAAGATGCTGGATAAGCCTGTCATCCAGCGGGGGAGTGTTCCACGGCGAGCGAGTGCCATCGAGCGGTGGGTAAACCCTTTCACTTGGTGGAAAGTCTGATATTGATATCTGCCTTGTATAGGACCTTGGAGCCCTTTTTTCGCGAATGTCTCTCCCGCCACATCCAGGCGTATCCCGACGCGGTCGAGGTAAGCTACCTGCCATCCAGGGCGCTGTCCAACGAACCAGTCTGTCTGAGATCACCTTCGTGTGTCACCGGCAAGGACACCCCCGCCAGACATTTGGAGGTGGAGGTGCTGGAACCCGGGTTCTTCTCCCGAATCACGCAGTACGACTCAATGGCCAAAGGGCTAGCGGTAGAGATGCGGCCAGTGGGCGACGTGGCCGACACTGCGGCGCAGCAACTGTGGGTTTCTGACCCAGTGTTGCTGGAGGATCTTCTCTGTTCTGGCGCCTCTGGGACGGACAGCAAGCCAGCTGCTGCCGCCGGTCTCCTATGGCGCGTGCGGGCCTGGCTTCGGGGCTCAGCGACCCCGAGCGCGATGGACCTGTTTGTGCGCTCCTCAATGCCCCCATCTTTGCGCCTGCTGTATCTTTTAAGCCTGGTGCAGCACCTACTGGCAAAGAGATTCGCGCTGGGCTCAACCGTGTTGCTGCAGCTCTACGGCCTGGGAGGTGTCCTGGCCCTCCGCTGGGCACTGCTCCAGATTATAGTCTCGGATTCTGGACAGCTCTCGGCCGCAGGATTGGCAGTGTATTTCCTGACACTTCACTTTTTCGGCCGCATGACGAAGAAGGCGATCTATAGAGCATAGACTTCAGCCATGACGTACCACCACAAAATAACATACCGTATTTGCCAGACAGTTTCTGAATTAGCCTAGCGAATATAACCCTGGAGGTAGGGAGGGAGCACGGAATCAAATCCCGTCTTGCGGTCAGACGATCAAGTATATGCATGCAGATAAATAGCCCCTCAATAGATGAATATGGAATCATACCTAACGTCCGCCTCTTGCCTGATCCGGGCACGGTGTGGAAGGTCAGCCTCGAGGGGTGGCAGTAGTGCAGATGCTCTCTCACCCTGGCTTATAAGGACCAAGGCAGGCCCAGCAGAATCCGTCTAACCCATCTGTCCATCTCTTGAGAAGCAACTTTTCCCTCCCCCTCTCTCAGATAAAAGCACCACACAGAGAAACAGACGCCAGAGACATGTCTGTCTCCTTCGAGGTATACCGTGGGGGTAAAGATGGGCGAATAGTAGCCGACACGACCACCCGCACCCTCCAGCCCAATGAGGCATATATTGAAACCACGCACTCTGGCCTCTGTGGCACGGACGAGCATTTTGTGACCTCCGGTCAGGTGCTAGGGCATGAAGGGGTAGGCATCGTCCGCCAAATCGGCTCCCTGGTGAGCACGGTAAAAGTCGGGGACCGGGTGGGATTTGGATATATCCGCCAAGTGTGCGGCGCGTGCGATAACTGCGCGACAGGTTAGGCCCACCCCCCCCCCCCCTCCTCACCCTGCCTTCTTTAGTCTCTTCCTTGGTAGTCATCTTGAGACTCTTTGATGTGGCTGTCCATGCTGATCTCTCTATAGGCTGGGACCAGTTCTGCCGACGCTGCCGACGCTACGGCGAGACAGACCTGGACCTGGGCTCGTTCAGTCATGGTGTCGTCTGGGACGCGGATTGCCTGTTCCCAATCCCTGAGGGCTACACATCGGAACATGCGGCGCCGATGCTCTGCGCGGGAGGTTCAGTCTGGAACTGCCTGCTCTCATTCGGGGCGCGGCCGCCGCAGCGAGTGGGTGTGATGGGCATCGGGGGGCTGGGTCATCTGGCGATCAAGCTGGCGGCCGCGATGGGGTACGAAGTGGTGGCCTTGTCGCGTAGTGAGGAAAAGCGAGCCGACGCGCTCGCGTACGGGGCCTCAGAGTTTCATGTCTGGGACGGTGAAGCGGTTCCCTTGCGCCTGAAGCATCTCTTGCTCTGTGGGAGTATGGCCACGGACTATGCAGCGTAAGCAGGTTTCTTTCTTTCTTTTTTTTTTGGTCTCTCCCCCTTTCATTTTCAGTAGTCTCGTTGATGACAAGAACAGTCTGATTCCACTGATGGACACGGGCAGCATTATCTACCCGCTGACTGTAGCGTTCGAGCCGGCGGCGGTGCCTATACTGGAGATGGGTCTGGCCGGCATCTGCATCCAAGGGGTGCGGGTGAGCTCGCGAACGCGACTGCGTGAACTGCTGGTCTTTGCAGCGAACCAACACATCACGCCGACTGTGGTGAGCTTCCCGCTGACCGTGGAGGGCGTAGAACGGGCTTTGAGCGAGCTACGCGCGGGGAATATCCACTATCGCGCAGTGCTGGTGAGGGAGCCTAGCCAATGATACAATGAGCTTCCAGAAGGGGGGGAGGGGGAGCAGGGCAACAGCAGGCATTATATTATCATGTAACCTCGTGTTGGGCAGTCATGCAGGTTAGTGTTCTGTATAAGAATGTGCCAGGGTCTCCGGGCAGACAGGGTGCAATCTCGTCCGTTTCTGTAAGCGTCAGTTAGACTATAGATATCTTATACCCCCTCCCTTTGGCGGCCGATTCCCAAGCAACAACGAAACACAGCTTCTGTCCAAGGAGTGTAGGAAATTATGTCTGTCCAAGGCACAGCGTTGATCACCGGCGGAGCGTCAGGTAGTACCCCGCGAAGCACTATCTCGCGGGCCAGCATTAGCAAAACGGGTATCCTGACCTCGATCTACAGGCATCGGGGCCGGCACGGCGATGGCCTTCGCCAAAAGCGGTATCTCCAACCTCAGTCTGCTTGACCTCGATTTCGATGCACTAGACAAGGTGCGCGGGGAGATCAAGGCGCAACACCCGGATGTAGCGGTGATGATTCTGGTGGTGGACGTGACGGATGAGAAGGCAGTGGAGGATGGAGTTCGGCAGACAGTGCAGCAGTTCGGACGGTTGGACATTGCAGTCAATGCTGCGGGAATCCGCGATCCCACCATAGACACGCATGAAGTGCCGCAGGACGCCTGGCAGCGGGTGATCAGCATCAACCAGACCGGATGCTGGCTGAGCGAGCGTGCCGAGATCCAGCAGATGCTGCAGCAGGAGTATTTTCTTTCTAGAACGGCCGCTTTTTTTTGCTCTACCTTTTTCTGCTGAGACATGAGTAGATCTCGAGGTTCTCGATACGGCCGCGGAGTCATCATCAATGTAGCCTCTGCACTGGGGCTGAGTGCACCTGCAACCGGGATACCATTTGCGCCATATGTCTCGGCCAAGCATGGTATGTTTCCACAGACGAGTTTGATCTGCAAGTTTTAAAGTGGTATACTGACAAGAAAACAAGCTGTTATGGGATTTACAAAGGCTGTCTGTTCTCATGTCTCCGTCGACAGGGTCAGTGATTGCCATGGCTGACCATGGACAGGACGCGAAGAGATATGCCCCGCAGGGTATCCGGATCAACGCCATCTGCCCAGGGTGAGGTTTCTTTCTGATAGACTATGCAGAAGAGCCTAGATAGCAAGGTGGTTAATGATTTTTCTCTCCCAGGTGGATATATACCCCCATGATTGATGAGGATGTGAAATCCGGCATTCTCGACACGGAGGTGCAGTCAGCGGCGGTGGGCCGGATCGGGCAGGTAGAGGAAGTTGCCGATGCGATTCTATTCCTAGCATCACCGATGAGCAGTTTCGTGTACGGGACCGGGTTGGTGGTCGATGGGGGGTATACGTTGTGATCGACACGAGCAGCGTCTGGAGCTGGACTTGGTCAGTCTGATCATTCATCGATTGCTTGTGATTTCTGTGTCTCACGAGTGTTAAAGAACTGTCAACATATGATATCATGATCCCAAGATCCTGGTCTTCGGTGATGAGTTTGTGAGATATGAAGGAAAGAGGAGAGGAGGAAGGAGAGGAAGAAGGAAGGAGAGGAAGGAGCACCCCGATATCATGTGATAGCTATTTGTAGTTAGCAGTATAATGTTGGGGGGTGCTGCCTAGTTAGGTTTAGCGTTACAATATTGCCTTTTTGCTTCATCCAATTCGTCGTCCATGAGCCATCCAGGCCCCGTCGCCCTGGCATATCGTCTGATGGAATGCCTGTCATATTATGTGTAGTTACTAGTTGTTTATCTCATAAATGAGGTATCTCTACTTACTCCACAGATATATCTAGGTAGGTACCTTATGATATTCGATGATGTGTTAGTTCAAGCTTATTTATTTACTTATCTAGATATCTACCTACCTATTCTTATAGTCACCTAGTCTGTCTGATGGGATGTCCTTGACCTTCACTTTACGGTGTACGGAGTACGGTGTAGTAGTGTACAATGGTCTGTGCGATGTGATGGATCAACAGGATAAGTATAACTATTGCACATGGCTGCAGTACATAGTACATACTTTGCCGGACACGTGTACAGAATATGTAATACTAATTAAAATATATATATATATATATAGTATACTTCATAACTAAAAGATAGCTCCTCTAGTAAGTTTAGAGCATAGAGATACTGCGTAGTATACTACAGAAGCAATATATAGAGTGGCAAATACTAACTCAATAGAGTATTTACTGACTTCTATTAATTACGAAGGAGTACCTAGTAACTACCTAGTACCTAGGTAACTGACTAGTTCACTGGTTAGTATCTGATTGACCAGATAGTTATGGAGTAGTTCATGCCAGACTACTTGATAGACCTGGGAGAATTCGGTGTATCCGAGCAGGTAAATACCGCTTACCCAGCACCATATTTTACAAAACCGCGTATTGAGCGGTATCTAGATACCTACTACCTACTAGGTAGATACCTAATCTAACTCTCGCTTAGGGACTAGTCCGTACCAAAGTGTCCATAGACTCCATAGTCCATACTAAGATAATCCAGCCACTGTGCCACCACACACCCTGTGTGGCGCAGCTGTGGCTCGCCAATAATACTAGATCTGGTACCGGCGAAAATTAGATCGATCCGCCGATCTATACGTCATGAGTAGGAGGACTAGGAAGGTAGCATTTGCAGAGGATGAACCATTGAGTCTCAGTGCAATTGAGTATCATACCCATCAATTGAAAACCATCAGCTAAGGGCTATAGAATTATAGGATCGAATGTCATAGTAAGAGTGGCCTGTTGAACCATACTGTAGTACCCCAGTAAACAATAGTCAATAGTTGATAGTTAAATGGTACTAGAACCTGCTTGAACTGTGCTCGAGCTCTGGTCCCACCAACCGTACGATTCGATCCATTCATCATCCCCCCCGATGATGGCAGCAGCCAGCCTTTTCTTTTTTTTCTTTTTTTTCTTCCCACCCCCCCTCTTCTAAAGATCTTAGGCTGAAATATATTCAATTAGTGCGTTGCCGAGGGTTTTTCATGCAGTATATATAAGTAGTTATATGTAGCAGAATGAGGTTCATGGTAGCTTGAAAACTCCAAGTGGTACCTTTTCTTAGGTACGAGTAATGGTAGCCTGAGGCCATCAACCACAGCTCCCTCTCTCTCTCTCTCTCTCTCTCTCTCTCTCTCTCTCTCGCTGTTCCCAAGATTCCCTCTTCCTCTTCTTCCCCCGCTGCGGAGTCCATCCAAACCTACGCAAACTATTCGATTTCCT